ACGAAAAAACGGTTCTGAGCGGAATAGTATTATTAGTCGTGTTTTTCCCTTTGTCGCCCAGGTAACTAATGAAACCAATTACAAATTTTCAGTTTTTCCCAATTAATAAAAAAACTACAAGGAAAATTAAAAAATAACCTTCGCAATTCACCAACTAGATACAAAATACTACAAGAAAGTTCCTATAGTTTTTGACTGAGGCGAATATTTCTGATAGAAAAGTTATTGTTAACAGACAGAAATATTTTTTTTTTTATAAACACATGATAGTCAGGCGTGTTTACAAGGGGAGGGGTTTAGAGATTCAACGCCGCCCCCCCCCCCGAAATTTCGTGAAAATTATAATAAAAATAGATTTTTAATCGAGACTCACAAGTGGTTTCTTTCAATGAGGAAGATAAATACAATTTTGATTTTATTTTTATCTTCTTACTAGATAGTAGATAGTATATATTGTTATTATTGTCATTTCTAATTTGTTGTGATTTTCCTGCTTTTAGAAAATTGTAACTGATACGGCGATATCGCATAATAGTCCGCATTATCATCACACTAATATAAATTACGTTATCATTTAGGCTGTATTTACTAAGAAAAAAAATTAGGTAAATGTAAAATTTAGTAATAGGTGTCTAAAGGTTAAAAAGCTGTCCTAGGATAATGGTGACGAGTGCAGCCACTGTTACCTAGTAATTTAATATACAACTGTAAGCAACGATTAACCATTGTTAACAAAAAAACGATTCTAAGCGGAGTCCGGTTGATAGTATTGCTTTGTCAATAAGATATATTATATCATATTAGGATAGAATAATTACATATGCATTAAATATTTTCTTAAATATTTGTTTAATATTGTACTTATTTACTCGTTATTCCTACGTTTTTTCTGGTTTTCCCGTGTTTTTCCATTTATTGGAAAATGTCTGGGAAAATCAAAGAATTACTTTTCTAAAGTACAACCCCGGTCAGATTTCCTTTTAGGAAAAATGCTGTAATTGTATATCGGAGTAAAATTGCTGGTAGAAAAGTTGTCCACAGAAAAAATAAAAAGTAAACAGCATTGTAAAACCAATAAATTCATTGTTTCACCCAGAATCTAAAATATATTAATGTTATGAAATATTGACATTTTAAATGAAAAATAAAAATAATCCTACATTTGAAAGAATGTAATTTTTTTTTATTATACGAGTATGAAAGTGTAAAACATTGAATCCCCTATGAAATATTTTTTTGTAAACGCACCTGATGATAGTAAAACTACAATACATTCCTCGCTGCGTTTTGAATCTAAAAAACGTATGTACTTGAAACAACAATATTATAACGTAAAATTAAAGATGACAATATGTATACATCAGCGTGTTTTCCAGCATTTCCATGGTATTTAACGGGTTCATATGATATTAATATAGATAGAAATTTATTTTGGAAAAATGCATGAAGTGTATATTGAGGTATGCCGAATTTAATCATTTTATTCAAATGTATAGTGAATATTTTCGTCATTATAATTTGGTGAAAGAATTTTTTTTTTTTTCAACCTACGTCGATTGCGACTATAGATCACCATTGGGGAAGTCCGCAATCGGATATGTATAAAATATCTCGAGGTTACAAGACAACCAGAAGTGGTTTTCACGTAGGATATATTGAATAATTCATGTTTTATTAGTAAAATAGTTGTCCGGAATCATTTCAAAAACCATTAGGTATGCTGTTCTAATATTTTATAAATAAAAATAAAATTGTTTAATTGACGTACAAACTAAATATAATAATTGTAATAATAGCTATACTGCTGTAGATATGTGTAGGCGCTTCAAAATTATTTATAATTTAAATATTTTAAACTAATGTTAGAATAATTATAAAACCATAAAACTGATGTAAGCATGGTATAATACCAGTTATCTTCTCGTAAAAAATTGGTAAACACTAAATAAGCTTCGGTAAATAAAAAAAAATTAGTAACCCTCTAACATTTCAAAAATATATACAAGGGGTTTAAATGAAGAATGAAAACATCAAGTGCCAAACTTTCTCCAAATCAAGCCCATCTGGTTACTATCACGTGAAATATTTATATACCTACCTATACAATATTTGTTTGTGTGCTAACGTTACAAACGATATAATGCATATATACCAGTTGTTTTAAAATTTCTAATTAATTCTAAAAAAAATTTTAATTTCGAGAAAAAGATTAAGTATCATTTTGCTTGTTATAAAGTTAAAAACAATTATAAACAAACACAAATATTTGTATTTATTAGCTGCATATAGGTGCAAATCAGGTTGCCGTATTCCGAATTTTCAATTAGGAGTGCCCAACAAGCAAAATAATCAAATTGCATAATAAGTATTATGGGTACGTTTTATTTTAATAGACAGATTGAATACTAAATAAAAAGATAAAATTTCATTGTCTCGTATACATAATCGAACATTTTTCATGTGCCAAGTAAAAGTTATATAACGTAACCACCATAAACTACACACGTTCATTATTATTTATCAAATATAAATATGTATAGGTAGGTACCTACAATGTATAATTAAATTAACTTATATTTAGTTCAGCAAAGTTTCATTATGACCGAACAAAACACTACACGTTTTAGATGAACGCCAGTATAACTTTACACAAAAGTTCCGAAAGAGGATTAAAAATGTCCTGTAAGAATATTAATGAAAATATGACCCAGCATGACGACATGTTTTTAACAATATGAGTCACAGAATATATGATGATGCTTTTGAATTCTGTGCAAATTTTGTAAGATTTGATTAGGACAATATTATAATATATATTATTTAAATGTGTGTTACGTTACCTACCTACCTATTTAAAATGATAAAATATAATGTATTATTGTGAGTCACGTTGTCGGTCTACGTAAGCCCCAGATTGTATTCGTATTTTAAATTCAACCACATCAAAGGAAATCCGATTACAACACGCAGATACAATAATTGCGCATTACCAGTCATGTATAAAAATTACTTTTAAAAAGTAGTTAAAATACCTAATCAAAAAATAATTAAAATACTATACATAAATGGCAAATAGGTTATAAGTTATAAGTACCCGATTTCATTTAAAACCTTTATCTACCCGAGTAGATTTCTAAATGTACATAGATACTCATACTTGAGAAGTATTTTATTAAAAACCTAGGTAGGTAAGTATGCCCGCTCTAAATAACGAATAAAAAAAATTATTTTGAAAACGATGTTTTATTAAATTTTATTAATTATTTGATTTATGTAACACTTCATTAATATCTGAACGTAATAATATACCAGTAATATCCACTAGAAGCGTGGGTAATAGGTATAGATTATTTATCGGGAGGGGGGAGGGAGAGAGAGGTTCTGGCTATTATTTGTAAATAACGAGTGAATTGGTAGTTGAAAAAGACGGATCACTGTTGTAAGTGTGGAATTGGGAAGGATAGGAATATGGATAGTAGGATAGATAGGAATTTTTTCTATATCTGTACGCAACGATAAAACCATTATTGCTAACGAAAACCGATTCGGAGCGAAATATGATTATACATGTTTTGAATGACTGTAAACGTAAGACCGTATTTACGATTTTGGTCATGTACGTAAATTTTCCAATTTTTTCCTACATTTTTCTCGGTTTTTCCCAATTACTACGATAACCGCTCGGAAAATTAAAAAATAACATGAGTAATCTATATTCTAAAGTTATTCCAGTACGTATCCTGAATTTTAAAATAAGTATTATTATCAAGATTAACAATATGCAAATAGGGAATTAAATTTAAAATGGTTTAACCGAAAATAGTAAATGATGAAAATAATTCTTGAAAATAAATGAATTAGTATTGAAGTACTAACACATCTTTAGCCTTTAGGTAGGAATGGACTAAACACTCTCATCTTTGTTGATTGATTTCAAACATTTAACACCTTCTTTAAAAAAATACGAAAATACGTATTTTTTAATTATGAACCATCATGTTAAAACGAATATACAAAGATAATATAATTTTAATAATACAATAAAACAGTTAATATTAATAACTATCGACTACAATTTAAAAATTAAGTTAAATCAAGCGAACGTATGATTTACTAATTAAAAAATGTACACTTAAACTCAATTAAACATAGGTATCAGTGGTATCGTATAGAAATGATAGATAACATGACGTGGTAGATTTTTTCTCGTAGAGCTAGCTACGATTCTACGAACTAGAACTAGAGCTATTATTGTTTAGTCTAGAAGTGTACACAGTATCTAACGTACTCACTATAGATTCTATTGTCTAGACTCTAAACCGTCTAAAATAAACTATGATATACACTGTACACAAAAAATAGATACCATATTTATATAAATCTAGGTATTTATTGAATTTAAATAGATCAAATAGAGTACGGGCATTTATTCTATATGGTTTACGATACTTTAAATCGTTCAATACATTTCCCAATTACATCTACGATGTCCGGTGTTGCATGGTACAAAGATAAGAAATATAAATTCTTAGAATTTCTGGTGTCGAAAAAAAAATGGTGTTGCCATTTACAAAGTTGTATTGTGCATGCGCATACCAAGTGTTAAAAATTTTTAATTTGTCTGAAAATGTGTATTCCATTTCAATAATAGGTCATCCGACTGGAATATTTAATCGTACCTCTTAATGTGAACGCAGATATATTTAACAGTCTCCCGTAACTTATTTGTACAAATACATGTAAGCCATACTGCCACAGTATAGATACACCACTGAATATAATTGGTATAACAATATAACTGTTAAAGCATATCGAAAAACTTTTTAGAAATAATATTTATCACCTAGGCAACCAGTGGGCATTTTTGAACAAAAAGTTTGATATTCATTTTTTAGTAAAACTGTGAGACGTATTGTGTAATTGAATGTATGATTATTGGTTTAATGGTTAAAAAAGTATTATACAATAATACTTAATCTACAAATAATTAACATACCAGTTTACCCTCCTGCCTCTAGTGTTCAACATATTGTACATTAATTTATTGGTTAGAAAATATTTTTAAAATTGTATAGTAAATAAAAATTGATGACTAAGGTGTTTAAGACAATTAGGGAAAAGAATACAAACCAACAACTGTAGTAAGAATAATTTATAATGAAAAGTTGAACATTTATTTATTATATTGATGTATTAAATTTAATGTACAAAAATATTAATCTTTAAATCTTATTATTAAAATAATAAGCTTGTAACATTATTAATTTAAAGCACAATTATTTTTATTTTTATTTGATAAATCGGGTAATAGATAATCAAAATATGATAATTTAAGTAACTATCTTACATTTTTTAACGATTTTTTCATCAAATGTATAGCATTAAAATCTTCTTTGACTACTTTCTGCATTTCGGAAATCATTGTTTCTTGAAGTTCTAAAAACTGTAAAACCAATAAACTTTATTAACCCGGTGTTAGGTCTGCTGATGTAAATTACACCATTAGTCACACTGTGATCTTTTTGATTGCATTATAATTTTTAGGCAAAACAGTTTTTATACTTTAGATTTATTAAAACAAATCAAATTAGTAAAAGTTTAAAAAAAAATTATTTATGAGTAAAAAAGTGCTATAATTTGATCATAGTACAACCAACTCAGATTTATGTATGTATATTAATAAGTACATTTAAGTATATTTTATACTTACGTGTTTAATTTCTTCAGCCACTTGAGGAATACAAGCTGAATTACTATTTGAGTCTTCAGATACTTGTGAATTTTTCAACCGAACTAAAGTAGCGATTTCTGTTAACCTTCCCTTTAAAATCATAATTAAATTAATAAATTAACTACAAACTTAATATCAACTTATATTATATGTATATAAAAATATTGAATATTTTAATATACTTGAAATCTTAATGGTGAATTAATATCATTGTATAAAACTTCTAGCTGATTTTTTATTTTTTCTTCTTCAGGTCTAAGAGCCATTCCAGCATTTAAGAAAACCATCTGTCCAACTAACAATTTAACAATTCTGTGTGTTAATTGATCCATTTTGTCAGTATACTGTTCGAGTTTAGATTCCACTCTAGTTTTTTTTCTAGCTAATTCTGTTAACCTTTCAGCAATGCTATTAAGTGTTAACTTATGTACTGTCACCTGTTCATTATGACATTTATATTTCCAACATAACTCTGAAAATCCAACAATAGGAACTGGTATGAATACAGCTGAATTTGGATTATCTACTTGCGCTTGTTTCCACACTCTTAAATCAATCCCTAAAAATGGAATTTTATGATCAATTTGAGACACATTAATGATATAAATAAACTTTCAACAGCACACACTTATTCATTAATGTTTACCTTGTGCATAGAACCTTCTCACCTATTCTGTTGCACAAAGTGAACATTTTCCAAGAATACTTTTAATATAATTACAAATTCTACAATTGATAATTTAAATTTTACCATTACGCAAAAATAAAAAAAAAATATACAAAATATACATAAGTATATGCATTAAATAAATGGTAGATCCTACCACTAGATAACAAAGAAACTATTAGTAATTTTATAGAGATATTATATATATATCCATGTTCAAATCCAACACTAACAACGTAAATAGATACCGTAATAACAATAACAACCACTACAAATAAGTGATTCAGATAATATAAATTTAAAAATAAAAATAAAAAAATGTATAGATTTATAAAATATAAGGAGCTTATGTAGTAATAATTAGTCAAGAAGATAAAATATAAGTCGAGATAGTGTTTACATTGTCTTAAATTCCAATGTCCAGATTTGTTAGCCAGTTTGTTGCTGCTGCTGTAACCTTATGAAGATGTTCCATTCCTCCTAGTATGCTGCGCATTGGACATTTTTCCACGATATGGTTGACTGTCTGGGAATTGTGTCCGCAATCGCATTGTGGTGTATCCCTAAGTTCCCATTTATGGAGAATTTTTTCTGTTTTTCCATGACCATAGTCCTTAGTCTATTTAGGGTCACCCATTTCTTCCGGGGTAGTTGGAACCCCGGAATCCTTTCTAGGGTTGGTAGGTTGTTCAATGATGTTGAATTTGTTAGGATTATTTAGTCTCCATTCATCAGCTCATTTAGAGTTAAGGTTATAGTTTCATTAATTAATTTTTATGGCAGCTTCTAAGAAGGCTTACGAGATTTTAATCTTTGGCTGGGATTATTATTCATGTACTTGTGTATGGGTAAACTTCGATTTAAAGCAAGATTGTTATTTTCTTGAACTAGGAAATTGTATCTTCGGAGGTGAGGTGGCACTATATTACTCAATACTGGAAGCCAAGAGGCTGGTGCTGACTTAATTTCTGTGTTTAATTTACTTGTATGTGAGCTGTTAAGCCATACTGGTGCATAGTACTCGGCTACTGAGTAGGTGAGGACGAGTGCAGATATCCTAATCGTGTTCGCATCTGAACCCCAAGTAGTCTGGGCTAGCTTATTTATTATATTGTTTTTTGGGTTTTAATTTTTGCTGCCACCTTGGTTAGATGTTCTCTGTATGTCAACATTTTGTCCAATGTTATTCCTAAATAAGTTGGGTTGGAATTATTCCTTATTTGTTGCTCGTTGAAGACCATCTTTATTTTCTGTCTTGCCATTTTATTGTTGAGATGGAACAGTGTAACCTCAGTTTTAGATGGGTTCGGTGTAAGCCTCCAGTTATTGCAGTTATTTAATTCATTCAGGTCTTCTGTGGGGTATTTTTCGCAAAGTTTGAATGTTTTTTCTTGACATAGAAGAGCTATATCATCTGCGTAAATGAATTTATTTGACTGTTGTATGTTGGGTAGGTCACTGGTGTTTAAGTTAAATAGTAAGGTGAATTAAAATAGTTAAGGTAGGATATAAAGGCGAATTTAATATATATCTATGTGTAAAGAATAATTGTTACTAACAAAAAAAACGATTCTGAGCGGGGTTCAGTTATACATGTTTTAATTTAATATTTATAACGTGTCATCAAAATTTAATATTCAAATTCTTGTAATGAAAAATTACTGCTATGGATTCAACTTTTTCTTGTTGACCACTAAGTATAACTTATAATGAACCTCCTAACCTACCAAATAAAAATGACTTGAAAATCCACAAAATTAAAATGCCTATAAACAGCTCAAAATTATTGAACATTTTACCAAGTCTAGAAAAGGCAAATATCAATTTTCTGTCTAAATTTCAAGTTTCTACAAATATTTCGGACTGAATTACAACAAAATAATAAAATTTAAAACAATAAAAACATAATTTTTGTAAATTTTTCTGTTTTTCCCAATTATTATGAAAACTGCTTGAGATTTCAAAAAATGACTTCTCCAAAGTACTAACTAGATAAAATTCCTTTTCAAAAAAAGGTGCTACACTTGATACATCAGAGCAAGATTTCTGATAGAATTTGTGAACACATTATAAAAAAACAAAAATAAACATCATTGCAAAACCAATACATTCCAGAATGTATCAACATTTTCAGAATCTAAAATTAATGAAACTAAAAACTTCCTAAAAATAAAATAAATTAAATTTTACCCTTATCTTATCTATTTCCTCCAATGGCTTTACACTTTAACTCTGAATATTAACATTAATTAAAATATATACTATAAAACATTTAATCAATAATAAAAAAATACAAGATGTTGGATGTCTATAAAATTTATAACACCTACTTGTTTTTTCTTGTATTAAATTAATGATTTCTTTTTTATCTAATAATAACCAAACCCTGGTTTAAATAATAATCTCTAATTTAATAAAAGTTAATTATTTTCATACCAGCAGGTGGATTATCATAATATTCACGTAAATTTTCTTCAGTAAAACCACCGTAGGAAAATATATTTTCTACACCCATAGATGATAACTGTTGTTTGGGAGCTGGTTGCATTAGATAGTTAACTATATCATTGCTTGAAACTCTTTTTGTACTTCCTAAAATCAAACAATTGACAAACTATATTATTTTTCAAGAATGAAAATGAAATAAACACACCATTTTGGAGCTTTTCTTCAACATATATTAAGGCCATAGATTTTGTTTCTGTATACCATTTTAATGTATCTAAATGTACACTTAAATTAGGTTTACTTCCTAAAACTGCAAACAAATTTGATGTTAATTGCACTTCTTGCTTTCTGGAAAATAATACACAGTAACAATCAAATACATAAATATTTGTAATAATTGATTTTTTTTTTTCTAATGATTAATGTACTTTTTAAATTTTTTAACTGAACTGTATTGTTTCTGAAAATTATACATCAACAATAAAATGAAAGATATGTTTAAATGAATAATTTTTGTTTTAAAATCAAAAGTTTTGTATTTTCTCCAAAAGCAAATTTTGTCTAGTTTTTACATGAAGCAGGTTTGATTTTTCTTGTAGTTTTATTAATAATTAGGCAAAACATAAAGAAAAAAAGAAAAATGTATACAATTAACGATTTCTGATATTTTCTATTTTATTTTTTTTTATGTAATTTAGTTAAATATCATAATACTGCCTTTAGTCTAAATTAATTTAGATATTACAATATTATTTATTAACCATATTTAATGAATTCAGGATTTTAATTTATTTTGATCATAATTACCTGATTTCTTCCATTTTTTTATTTATAATTATTTCCACAAGTGCATCTCTACTTGATGATGTTGGTTTAACACTATATGTAATAGCTTTAAAACGACAAAGTGGATTTTGTGGTGTATAATCAACATGTGGTGTATTTAATCCATAATAACCTAAAATGACAGAAAAAATTATAATATAAGTTAACTTAATGTAGCTAATATATTTAAGAATATTATATACCTTTTCCAGTGCCCCAACAAGCTTGTAATAAGTTAAGTTTACAAATAACTTGATCTCTTTCATCTCCAAATAATTTACAATTTACTATTGAGTTTATTACCAAATCATTTGTAGTAGGAGCAGGTTGTTGCTGCTGTTGTTGCTGCTGCAGTTGTTGTTGTTGTTGTTGTTGAATAGTATTATCTATATTATTTAAAATATGATTAAAAAACAAATATAAGAAAATTGATGGAAATCTGTTTACTTAGCCCAAAAGATGAAGTTAAACCAAAAGGTGATGCAGTTGTTGTAGTTGCCCCAAATGGTTTCGCTCCAAATGATGTGCCAAACCCACCAAATGATGGCGCTATGATAATTATAATCAATAATAAAAATCAATCATTATCTATTTTTTTTTTTTTTTTAATTGTACCTATTGAAACATATTATTATTTACCAATTGAAGTTGTAGGTTGTGACTGTCCTAAACCTGAAAATATTGATTGTGAAGTTGAAGGTCCCGTAGTTGCACCAAATCCAAAAGATGGTGTTGCATTTGTAGTAGCTCCAAATCCAAATGTTGGTGCTGTGCTGGTTGTAGAAGTGGCAAAACCAAAAGAAGACCCAGAAGTACCAGATGTTGTTGTTGAACCAAAACTACCTAATGTTCCCGAAGAACCAAATCCAAATGATGGAGCAACAGATGTTGTTGTAGAACCAAATCCTTAAAATTATAATTACAATTCAATGACAATGCAAGTTGTGGTTGAAATCTGACTTCTGAGTAATGAGAAAACAAATTTCAAATCTTAAAAATTGTTTTATGTAATATTTTTTTGTGTACCTACCCAGACAATTATTAATACATGATCAGATTTTTCATTTTCAAACTACTTTTTACAAACTTACAATACTTTAAGATCCTGCAACAGTGTAACTAAAGTATCAAGAAATTCTTATAGGGGTAAAATAGAAAAACAGAAATTATTACTTACAAACTATATTTTAAGTAGCTTTACAAAATCTATGAAGCATTTTTCAATATTTTAACCTATTTTCCAATTGTAGGGTGTAGTTGAAAATAGATGAAATTTGTCTGGGTTGGTACCCAAACAATTGTTAAGTATATTTGATGATTTTTTTTTAATTTTGAAATTGTTCCCATTACCTAAAAGCCAGAAATCAACCCAAATTACTCAAAAATATTCGATTATATTATTAACTTTTAATCAATACAATAATATTAACTAATTCTTTCTTTTAAAATAAATATAAAGCAATAGGTATTATTACCAAATGGACTAGCCGTTGTTTGAGTATTTATTCCAAAGCTGGTTGACTGTGCGCCAAAACCAAAACCGGTCATTGTACACAATTATTGCAAATCTATTAACAATGTCAAAAAAAATTGCAAACTACAATTGCTTACATAAATGCAAAAAAGTAATACGATCGAACGGAACAATAATAATGTACAAACGTTAAATTAAACTCTGCAACGCAAGCGCAATAAGCGCATAAACCAGAGTTGATAAGCATTTAGTTGATATCACATTTTATTTGTTGTTTGTATTCTTATCAGTATAGGTATACGTTAAAATCACAGACTAGTACTCTATGGTTAAAATAATTTAAATTGTTTACACCTATTTTAATCTATGGTATAAGTATCGTATATATCGACTATCGATGTATTTTTTTTAATATTGCTTTGTTGAAACATAGCCACTCAACTTCAACTTTGTACATAAGTACCTAATACGGTAATCGGTAAAAAAGAACAATTTTAAATTTTTTTTAATATAATTTATAAAAAAATTTGAAATATAAAAAATATATTTCTTATGAAAAAAATTGGGTTTTTAATTGTAAAAAGTATGCGAAAAAAGTATTTTTAAAAAAATCTAAACTTTACAAAATAATGAGTAGTTGCAATATAACTTTCATTCCTTTCATTCATTGCTTAAATCAATTGAAAGACCTTTCCATACTTCCATGCTATTATTTGAGCGAACTAAATTTAGTCTGGCAAATGTCACTAGTGTCAAAGTGTTCTAGTATTTTAATATACAATTTTTTTTTTTCTGTGTAATAATCAATTATTAACTTTAAAATTTTAAAATTGTTTTCAGGGATTCACCTAATACCTATGGGATTATTGGAATGTAATTTGTAGTTGGCAGTAGCATGACCACGGATAAAAAAAAACGGTACGCAGTTAGGGATAACAACGAATATTTAGACATCTTAATTCGTGGGGATAGTATATTGAAACAAAATATGAATACCTATCAGTACTTGCCACTTGCTAGTATCCGGTAGTCACGGTAAATTATTAGGTCGTTCGAAGTGGCAACATGATAATGGGGTCTGTGCTCTTAATAACCGGACAGGGAAAATAGTCATGCACACGTTTTGTTATACAGCGGATTAATGTTTTTAATTATTATTTATTAACCGGGGAACCACCTATTATGATACATAGGATACGCAACTCAACAATATGGTTTTTGTGGGCCCCGGGAACATGTCCCCCTCCCCTTAATTCGAACCTGTACGCAACCAGCCCTATGTAACTCGGTGAGATGTAATCACCCGTGATTTTATTGACCGGACGGAATTCTAATACACTAGTACTGCTATCTATCAACAACGTATGACAATAATGTCAATGTCAATGATATTATTTCGTAATAAATTATTGCACAATTTATTTATATTATTTAAATAGAAAAATAACAATTATTACTTATAAATTATATATTAAGCAGATGAAGCATTTTTCAATATTTTAACCTATTTTCCAATTAGAATGTAGTAGAAAAGTGATGGAATTTCGGCTATTCTACTATACGAATGTCACATTCCCTGGCGTTTTTAATTTTCCTATTTTTTAGACGTTCTATCAATAAGGGCATTTTCCTTGATTACTGAAAAATGTGTTCTTTGATTCCCATTCACAAGTCGGATGATTCAATTAACATTGGCAACTACAGGCCTATCTCTATTCTACCACATCTTTCCAAAGCTTTTGAATCTATTGTTTATTCCTGTATAAAGAGAAGCCTTAATCACATTAAAATCGACAAGCAACACGGCTTTCGACCCGGCAAATCCACATCTACCAGTAGTATTTTTACTTCTTACATATTAAATAGCTTTAAGGATAAAGTTCAGATAAATGTAACTTGTAAAGATTTTATAAAAGCGTTTGACACAGTAGATCATTCACTTTTGATAAATGCGCTTGAAGTCCTGAGTCTCAGGAATCTACTACTTTCCTGAATCAACTCTTATATTATATCTCGAATGCAAATCGTAGGGATTCGTGATACAATATCTGAACCGTTATCTGTTACCTCTGGGGTTCCTCAAGGTAATCACTTTAGCCCTCTACTAATTCTCTTCATCAACTCAATTGGTAAGTGCATAACTAAGGCAGAATTGTTCCTATTTGCTGATGATATCAAAATATACTTGAGAATCAACTCTTTAGCGGATTGCCTTCTATTCCAGGCTGAATTCGACATATTTTGCTCTTGGGTTAAACGTCTCTCTTAATTTAACTCTTAACTTCGATAAATGTAATACTATGACATTTTCGAGGAGCCGCTCCCCTATATTTCATAGTTATCTCCTTAATAATACTTTACTCCAGTGGGTTTATAATATAAAAGACCTTGGAATCCTCCTTATGCCTTCTTTAAATTTTGAACAGCACATAATCACTACAGTTTTAGAGTTTTAAAAGTGTTAGGGTTTGTTAAACAAAATACAGTGTTTTTTACCACTCTTAAATGCCTTCACACCCTCTACTTTTTCTTGGCCAAGGCCTTTCCCTAGCCAAAGACCAATTAAGATTAAAACGTGTTCAATATAGGTTCTTGTCCGTATATACCCAAGATAGATCATCCTCCTCACGATTATTTCCTGTTTCTAAATACCCTAAAAATACCTCTACTTTCTTCTCGATGTCTGGATGCTGATTTGGCTTTTATCATCTCCCTTTTAAATGGCTCATTGGATGTATATTATATTGGAACATATATTGCTTTGATACTTTCAAATAATATCTTGAAAAAAATAGTAAAGGTATGCTAAAATTTGTTAAAAATTAGTTGTAGTACTCAGCCCCCCCCCCAATTCGAGCACTGGTAACAAAAGAAAATAGGTGGTGAAGTAAGATACAGAAGGGAATGTAATGTGTAAAACTGGAAAAATGAAAAAAAAATGTCCTCCTTAAAGTAACTCCCTCTCCCCGCCAGTCAGATTTCCTTCCAGAAAAAGTGCTTCATTTAAAAATCGGAGCAAGATTTCTGGTAGAAAAGTTATACATAGATAAAAAAAAAAATTCATCACGAGTGTCATGTTTTCAAAATTAATTTTTTATTTTATTGTTTTGCTAATAAAAAAATTACACAATATAAAACAAAAAAACACAGGTAATAAAAAGAATATTCTTTGGTAAATTTAATAAAATTAGTATTTTTTGAAGGTGTAAACCTGAGATTCTTGATTTTGGTGATGATACTCTCCAGCTTTTGAAAATAATTAATCACTAGGAATGAATGCTCCAACCATAGTGAAACATATAAGTGCTTATTTTTAAAGCATAGGAAATACAGTTTTCATATCTTTCCTGCATAACTTCAGAAAATTGGACCTGATAAATATAACAATAACTCATCATTCACGAATGAAGTTAACTTTTCTTTTGGCCATGGTTATAATTAAAATATCTACAAATAGCTCAAAAATTACTTAAATATTTTGTCTACATTTCAAGTCTCTATGAACATTTTAACTTAATGACAGATAATAAATTAACATCACTGTAAAACTAATACATTCTTCACTTTGCTTAGAATTTAAAATAATTAAATATAATAATATTATGATGCATTCAAATACTAGATATGTTCATAATATTGGTCATTGTAGTTTTGATCATTTTTCAAAGTCCTCAATAATATGTTAAATATAACTGTTTTATCTTCATCATGATGCAGTTTTAGATTTGTTAAAACTTTGAATTTGTTCTAAAATTAATACATAATCTATTGTATTGTCAAAAATTATTAATTTTTTGTATAATCTATTAATGTAATATAATCTATTCAATTCAATATTACATACCTAATTTTTTGTTATTTTTCACTTTCCATTTTGGTCCAATTTGTGAGCACTAAATCTATAGACCAAATTTGTACAAAAATTACATCTTTCCTTATTCGGTTCTACTATTTTAGGACAGTACGAATGATACCATATATTATTTGAATCTATTTCTCCATATTTGTCAGTGATTCCTATAAAAGATTAATTAAGTCGTTTAAAAATCATAACTAAACAAATATTATTAGGAATTGATCCTTGTAGTTTGGTTAAAGTACAAAGTTAAAATTATAGCTCATAACTATAAACAATTTTTTAAGTTATCCATTTTTATTTCACTTTATTTTTCAGCATTATTGTTATTAATACATATTTGCTTACCATCGTGACAGTGTCACTGTAAAGGTAATCTGAATGCAATTTCAATTACATGGGTTTATGAGCTATTTATATTTATATTTTGTATAATAAGAACAAAATGTCAATAATTTTTAACCATTTAGTGTTTTTGAGATTCACTAAAGTACATGATTATAATAATTTACTTATTAAAATATATGTTTGAGATCATTTTAATATAGATCTAAGTAAAAATAATTACACTATATGTAATTATTCTGTAGAGATTTTCTCAAGGGATAAGTCTAATTTACACATTACAGCATCCTTATGGAGGCATTTAAATTTTAAACACAAGAACCGCTAAATGCATCGATCTATAACTTATAAAGTTTATAATTTATAAACAAATGAAAATTTCATACTCTTATGAAAATAAAAAACTCATTTTTTTTTTCAATAGGTAATAAAAACTTTTAAAACTAGAGTTTAATGTCTGAAATATTTCACCATAATACAAAATATTGTATGTTTATTAATTATTTCACTTTTTTGTCCTACTGCTTTACAAATATAAACTTCTCGCCAATTTAGTTGATAATTATCAGTATTAACATTTTTCAATGAACAATGAACATTAGTATCACACATTAAAATAATTTAACTTGTAGCTGGTACCACAGAATAGAATTATATGCTCGTACATTAATAATGTAATGTTATAAATTGTGAGTACTGTGTTATTTTCTTCTTCATGTAGTATAAACTTAAGTATTTTTTGTTTTTAATAAATTATTACAAGTAAAAATACAATTATCTGAATATTAACATATAAAGCAAAGAGCTGAACGCATATAATTTTAAAGAAATGTAGATGAGTAGATTAATGTAACCTTATTTCTAATTATGTATCTATATGAGTAAGTACACATGTAATATTTTACAAAATATTAAATAAATAAAAATATAATAATGAATACCTACCTGGATAATCTATTTTGCTTGGCCCACCTACACAAACACATTTTGAAGAAAATATACTGAGTGTTCTTTCTAGATCTTGTGTTTGAAAAGCATAAGCTAAATTAAATAAATCGTCATTTTGTTTTTCCAACAGCTTATTATTAACATAGTAATTAATTTTTGAATCATGTGTGAAAACTATTTGTTTTTCAATCTCTAATTTAATGCCGCTTGTAATGCCATGTTTCAAAAAATAAAAACTTAAGCCAGTTTTATCAGAAAATAAGTTCCAGCCTGATGGCAAGTTTATATACTCTAGGTACAATTGTAATGACAATAATGAATCAATTAATTTATTCTAAAAAAAAAAAAAATAATAATAATACGATATTTGATTAGCATTTGTATCAATATGTTATAATTTAAATATCAACAGTATTAATTACCTGATAAGTAAACTCTGACTCTAATAATGTCTTATCAATATGCTCGGATTGTGTTGTACAAGAATTTTCTTCGGACCAAATTAATTCTTTTTCACACAAACTATCTGGCGTTTGTGGTGATAATATATCCTGACCCGCTTCCAAGACTTCTTCTCTTATTAAATCCTATAAAGTTTAAATAAATGATTAATTAATTAGAGGTAAACCTAATAATAATGTAGATTTAAATATAATACCTGTAATAGAGATAGAGGACCACTTCTATATTGACTGTAACTAGGTTCGTCAGTTTTATTTTCGTTGATATTTTTAAAAATTGACGGAATTGTGTTTTCTCTCAATCTTGGTTTTTTCCGTCTTGGTACATAGTCAACCTTAATATAATTAATTAGTGTGTATAAGTTAAATGCATTGCTTAAATTAAAATTGTATAGATGCTTACTTCATTCTTATTAATCAAATCTTCCAGTGAATATGATCGAATTACATTTTCAGGATCAAAATGTTTTTCACAAACAAATGTTGGTTTTGTTAATTTACCATTGATTTTGTTAACAATTTGTATCCATTCATTCCGGAGATAGTCACATTTAGGAAATTTAAACAGGGAACATTTAACGTTACTCAGTCGACGAGTTTGACAATCTGTAATACAGCAATAATTCACCATATTAACAATGACTATGAATGTAATTATTCATAAAAACATATCATGTAAGCTGGCGCTGCGATTAAATGTATCGTATTATGGTTTAAAGCCTAATGTTGGCCAACAAAGGTAAACTTGGCCAGTAGTTGATTTGTGTATTGAACACAATATGGCATTATGGCTTATTGAGAACATATATCGTAAGCATAACACATCCAAAAGATTCTTTAATGGATATAAAAGAATTTGTATTTTGTTAAGCACGGTTACCAATAGACTAGGATAAAGGGGATTGAAAATGATGTGATTGGCGGGTAACGGCCGACGGAGAGTCAGGCCTGAAGCCAAAAGTGCCTATAGATAAGGATCAATAAGGAACACGGTCAAAGATAACGGACTAAATTTTACCGCGAAACGATCGCTGCATCTCGGAGGACTATGTTATCACAAAATGTTCACTTGCATCAAATGCATCACATTCTATTTTTTTTTCACGAACATATCCCTCGATTTGTTGTACAAAACCACCGTCGTGTAGAAGAAAACGTTTTATTTAAAAAAAAAATTCTATTTAATAATTTGTTTCTTGAAAAAAAAGGAGATCCAAGTATCTCACGCGTGACATTGACCATTACACCACGGCATAATACAATGTGGAATGCGAATGCATGCTATTTAACCATAACCATAACCGTAACATTAAATATATACTGTAATAACATAATTGTCCGAACTGCCGCGATTGCCTTCTGATTAATCAGCATAGATAAGTATGTCAATTACCAGTAGTGTTCAGTTCATCACGATTTTTAAGATATCTTAAATAACTTAGACCGTGATAAAGATAGCACTTAGTTTCTCACTGTTTTGGGCTATGTACCCTTCTCTAACTTATTAGTATACATCAAATATGTTATGGTACATAATAAAATATTGATTTAAGCATTTTTTCTCATATCCTTGATAAATTTAAAATTTTCTGATATTTCCAGATTGCATAACAACACTGCGACATTTTTGATGACACCACATTTTAAAGTCATAAATTTGTAATTATAAAAACTAAGCACAACAGAGTGAATACTAGGTATGTACCTAATTAAATTTGTTTAGATTCAGAGCGTTTTAAATATATATTTTCATGGACGTTCTTTATGTCATTTGATTATTAAGAATACATTTCTCTACAAATGATTTATTGTTGATGTTTTAAGAAATCATGAAAAAAACTTTATACGATTGTTTGGAACTTACCCTTTGCATCATTTCAAATAAGGAAAGTTGGAGTTTACTTTCTTCCGTATGCATTTCTCCCCAGATATAATTTTTATTTTATATATTATTCAAATTATACTTAGTACCTATATAAATTGTTTTGTGCATACCTCTTAAGCTTTTTGATGCTTTTATGATTATTGTATTATATTTGCACATATAATTCTAAAATTTTAGAAGACCAAATAAATACAAATTTAAAAAAAGTTAATTTAATAAATGATTTTGGGTAATAAAGTTAAATTATTATTGAAAACAATCCAATGGAATTCATTTTATTGGAGATTTTTGGTATCATTGTCTACCTTACCTGTTTTACAAAGATTATATACAAGTCCATAAAGAAAAAGCTGCTTACAAACACTAAAAATGGAATATACTGGTACGACAAATATATGAAAACATAAATATTTTTTCAATTCTAAAATATTGTATTATTAACACTTACTATACTTAGGCCATCAAAAGAATGCTACATCTGCTGCAGTGGTGATAGTGTTAGGGTTGAGGGTGGGAATGCAAGAGAATGGAAGAGTTTTAGTCGCTGTCCAGTAGCGTTTTCTCGATGGCCTAAGTAGTTATAACTAGAGCTGGGATATTGATGCAAATACTTTGTTTTAGTGATCTAAAACATATGTATGTAAGCACAAAATTTATTGCATATTTGAGCAATTTTTTTTAACTAAAGTGCATTTTAAGAGGATTTTTACAGAATTAGTTTTTAAGCATTTTTTACAATTTTTTAATTTAGTAAATGTGAATTGCATTTATAGATGGGTCCACATCAAACATGCACCTGCACACATTCTATAATGTTGCAAAACGTTTTGTGTTTAGTGTGGATCTGTTTTATCAAGAAACCTATCATTCATTCGATAATAATGTGGTAAGCTATATAGTTCTTTTTTATACTTTATACTTTTTTATTATTTAGTAGACTTTCTGTGCTAATATTATCACAGTTAGCAAATATGCAATTATATATATTTAATTTTACTACATAATGTATAGATGACCAATATCAATTGAAGCCCAGTTAGTACTACGATAGAAATAATTTTTTTTACCATGGTTAGTACATATGCCATTGTAATCTTGGCAGCATTTATTATTTCTGTTACATGTGATTTAGTTCAATAAGCCAAAATCAAATCAATTAAACGAAGTATGTCAATGAATTCAGTAGACATATATTTTACGGGCAGTGAAATAATATTTAACAAATTATGTGAAATAAAAATGGCTTCTGAAAAAAGTTTAGTATTGTATAACACATTTCCTACGATAAACATATATAAGGATTACTAAAAGACTAACATTGTCTTAAAGAAAAATAAAGAGTTAAAAATACTACAAAATATTTCAAAAATTATAAATGGTGAAAAAATTGAAGAAAATATCCTAGAATATCATATTTTAAGTATGTTCTAGTAACATCAGTCAAGGGTGAAAAAAATTGTTCTATTTTTACATTATTTAAATATAAAACAGCACATTTGCATACAGCGCAACAATAATTTAGTTTAGGTAATAACAATTAAATGAAAAAAAGTTAGAATATTAATCATTAAAAAATCATGATTTCAGAATAATTTTTAAGTTTCTAAAAAGTAAGTAAGTCAGAATATGTATCCAGTATATATATTATTATTTTTTTTAAAAAAACAAATATAAATGTATTAATTTGTAATTTCTTGAATAAAAAAAAATTGTAATGAAATTTTTTTATCGTTTGTACTTTAAATATTATAATTTATAAATTATAAATAAATTAAAAAGCATTTTTAGAGTGCAATTTTTCATTTTTTAGGACTTTAAAATCTCAGCTTTAGTTACAACTAAAGTTTAGTTTTTAAATAAAAAAATAATTTTTTTTTTTAAATTTCAGATAGCATTTTATGAAATCAAACATAACATTTATAAATGTTAATGAAATATATTGTGACTTGTTTTGGAATGTATAAACAATGAATGCAGTATTCAAAAATATAAAATTGATTTGGCACACAAATACAATAATGATGTAGCTCAGATATAATATATAAATAATTCAATCTAAAACATAATCACTTAATTGGTTAACACAATTATAAGTATTATAATCCTGGCATGTAGAATTTTTCAGCAAAGTCTTCTACTTCTTTTGTTAAGGCTTTGACACGGTCAACAAATAATGGATCTGTTGTAAGAGTAGATTTGAAGTTCACTAATTTTGGACCAGATACTTTTTGAGCATCTAACGCCAATGTCAAACCTACAAAACATTCAGTAATTTATTATTTTACTCTAAAAAAGTAATATTGATAAATAATACCTTTATGAACTAATTCAGCTACTAATATGATATCATGTTCTTTCATTCCTCGTGTAGTAAGAGCTGGTGTTCCCAAACGAATTCCATACGGATTCATTGCACTTTTGTCACCAGGAACTTATATTTTAAAAATAAACTATTTAGTAATTTTTTTTTTTATAATTTAATATTATATACCTGTGTTCTTATTACAAACAATTTCGACTGTTTGTAATGTAAATTCTGCTTTAGATCCAGTTAAATTAATTGGTCGAAGATCAACTAATAGCATGTGTACATCAGTACCATTGGTGGATATTTTATATCCAAGTTGCTTCAGAGATTCGGCTAATTGTTTACAATTGCTTAAAACTTGTTTTTGATAATCTTTAAATTCCTGTGTAGTAGCTAAACGCATTGCAGCAGCAATACCACCAATAACATTGTTATGAGGTCCTCCCTGAAATCCTGGGAATACGGCAGCATTAACCCGGTCTTCTAAGTCGTACATAATATTTTCACCAGATTTTGAGACTGATTTAACTCCTATATTTAATAAATGTAAATATTAATTTTTAACAAATTCATAAGATAAATTACAAGTTTGGAAGAAATTTATGGGACTTCAATGTAAGTAATTATTAAAACTGTGATCACATTTTCATGTTATCAAAGTATAATAAATCTTAAGTAATTATCAACAATTTGAATGATAACTGATAACCAAAATAATAGCTTACTTTATAAAGAAACCAAAAGCTAACCTTTGCGATAAAATATGACACCAGCACGAGGACCTCTTAAAGTTTTATGTGTAGTTGATGTAACCACATCACAGTATTCAAAAGGTGAGGGAATAACACCAGCAGCAACTAAACCACTTATATGTGACATATCAGCCATTAAATATGAATCGCTGGCTTTAGCTATTTCTTTAAAACGTTTGTAATCCAATGTCCGAGGATATGATGTTACACCTACAAACAATAGATCATACATTTTAAACAATACTTCTACACACATTTTAAATTTACACAAACCAGCAATAATAATATCAGGTTTAAAGTTTTTTGCAGACTTTTCTAGTTCGTCATAATCGATTAAACCAGTTTCCATATCTACATGGTATGGTAAAGTTTCAAAAAATATTGATGCTGCAGAGAGTCTTTTTTTTTGAGTCATTAAACCATGACTAATATGACCACCATCTGGTAAATCCAAACCTAAAACAAACAAAAAATGTGTGTTAATATCATATATGTATTATGTCAATTTCATTCATTATTCATCATTTATATTATTATTTTATTTAATGTAGGTAGTTAAAAATTACAAAAAACCAAATAAATATTAATTTATAGTCATCTAGAAAGATTTTATTTTCAAACTAAATCAAACAGGGTTATGAAAGCATTTATTTCGAAATTTATAGAAAAAATTAGATAAGAAAAGAAATTACTGTGCTGATTCGATAAGGACTTTTAAAATTAATATAGCAAGAAAGGAAATTAATTTTATATTTTTAAAGACTAAAAGGTTTCACTATGTGTCTAATGACCTTCAAGTCTACTAAAGTTAATGTAGCAAAGTTAATGTAGCAAGGGTAAGAAATCATCGGTTGGATGGGAAATGTTGATGTAGAGTTTGGACTCTTGATCATAATATTACCTATTATTTAATTTGTAAATAATAAATAATATTTAACAATTTTTTTTCAACTAAAATTTTATTAGCTGCCAATTGATAATATTTTAAGTAAATATTTAAAGTAAAATCAACATTATTATACCCAATTTAAGGATTTATGTTTAGAACTTATTAAATTTCATCTATTTATTGAGTGTGGTGCTACTAAATATAATTAATATGTTAATATTATATATATGATAATATATTTACCCATAATTCGACCCCTGCTTCCACCAATAAGAGCAGTATATGCTTCAACATTGGCAGGGGAACCAGAATATGGCTGAACATTGACACCCCAAAGATTAGGATCCAAAGAAAATGTTTCAAGACATCTCTTTTGACACAAAACTTCAATTTGATCAATTATTTGATTACCCCCATAGTATCTAAGTATCAAATAATAAATTATTAACTAAACAAAAATATAAAATACAATACTTGAATCACCTTGCACCAGGAAGACCTTCCGAGTATTTGTTAGTTAAACAAGATCCCAAACATTGTAAAACGGAGACTGAAGTAAAATTTTCTGATGCTATTAATTCAAGTCCTTTTATCTGACGGCGAGCCTCTTGATTAACTAAAGCATACAGTTCAGGATCGGATATCTCCAGGGGTAAACTTAAATTTGACTCGTTTACCTTTACATCGATTCCATTTTGTTCTGCTTTAGTCGACATAGTTACAAATCTGAAAAGATAATAAGAAAATATCCATTACATAAGTGTATGTACAATAATTAAAAAAATATAGCATAATTAAATCAAAACTATTATTGAATTTAGTTGTAAATATTTCAAATGTAAATGGTGAAAATATAATCTATATAATTTTAAAATAACCTTGTTAATTACTAAAAGAAATATACACATAAAATATATTGTATATAACTGTGCACAACAAAAGAGAAAAATATATACAATTTAAAAAAAAACACAAGCAAACATCTTACTTGTTTCTGAAAGATAGTCGTTGAGCACTTATCAAGGAACGTAATATTGGACGTAAATGCATTTTTTTTGGTTTAAGTTACTATAGAATTATTGAATAATTATAAGTATTAGTTGTTACTTTAATCTTAATAAATAACCCATAAGGATTGTTGTAAAATAAATTGTTCAAAGTTCAAGGGTTATCTTTTTGGACAGTGAAATTTGTTTAAAATAAATATCATTTAAAGAACATAATATATTTAGTCATTTTTGGTTGCTTACCTCGACGTATTAAAGATCAATAAATAATAATTAACGTGCTCACGTTAAAAAATTTTGCACGAAAATAATTAATCAAATTAATGATCAAATTATAAAAATAGGTAGATAATTAATACAATATATTGGTATTTGTAACAATAAGAATAATAAAACAAAAATATTATACTCCTTCTATTTCACAGTAATGACGATTAAATACGTATATAAGTGGGTACAGCTACGTAATTATAACGTCTAAGATTGTATTGTATTTTCAGATAACTAAATCACAGCTAAACACGATGAACACATGCGGTGCAAAATATGTAGTTAGTAGTTACAAGACGAAAACGATTATATACAGAAAAAAAAAAAATGAATTCTAACTTCTAACCTAACATATTTAACAATAATAATTATTGACGATTACGAACAAATCGTAGATAATACAATTTATGAAAAAGACCTAACCGGTACTGATTAATTGCTGTGCGAATCGATCAGGAAAACTGAGTGAATCGCGTGCGGATAATGATTATTATTAAATATTTACACGACTATTTTTACAATAATATTTTTGATTACGTATAATATTATTGTAACTCATGAATAAAATACCGGTTTGTCGTGTTATCACGTGACGTAGATCGGCGGTGGGTGCGAAAACCCTCGCGTAAATTGTTATCCAACAGGTGGGGCTGTGCATTTTTTTTTTTCATATTATGCGATTTCATATCGTGGTACAATAATAAAATCTGTATGTATAAATATTTTATTATTATTTTTTCTTTTTTTTTTACACATTTGTCTATAAAAATGAAAATTATACGTATATCTACGTGTATAAGTTAACGGGCACGAGAAATAACAATAGAACACAATTGCAATTATCGTATAATAATTTTTTTTTAATTTTAATAAAATGCTAATAATAATCGCTCGCCATGTAGAAAAAAAAAATATGATAAATGTATTATATTATACTTGTTCCGTGATGTATTATTTGTAAATAGGAATTGAATGCATTTTGATGATGCTAGGCACCTACACGGCTGCAACTCGTGTTATTTCGATATTCGTATACTAACGTTTATTATTTAATATAATATGTATGAAAATAATAATTTCATCATCATTAAATATAAATCATTCATACATACTTGTATATTATAATACATGAAAATTGCACGGTGAGGTACAGAGACGTGGAACAAAAACTGATGTATAGGTACTTAGCTACTTATTTTATTACCTGCTACTTATATCCGGCTGCAGAGACATAATATTTATATTTATGGAAGCCTGGAGCGCTATTCTTTTGGTGCCAATTTATGGGAAAAAACATTTTATGCTGTCCGAATTAAGGATAAATCTTAATTCGTGATGTTGTCTAACACACTGGTATTTCGAGCTATCAGTGCGTTTTTATTTTAAATAAAAAGTGTTGGGAAAGTTCCTTTTAAAAATTTGTTCCCGTTCCTCGTTCCTTAAGGAACTCCTTTAACTCATTATTTGCCATAATGATTTAACTCAAAAGTAAAAAAATGCATAAACTAAAATATAGCCAATGGGTTATTATAAGTTATGACCACGATCGACACGAACCACGAGTATAGCATATACTTACATTTAAAACGCAGATTTGTATGTACCTAGGTATATTTTTTCCTTTTCACATTTTTGAATTTATGTCAGTAATCATTATGAATCCTTAGTAGTTCTTTAAATGGAATATTTATTTTTATTATTGCATATTTAATGATTATTGTATATTTTAATAAAATTCACAATTTATCGTTTATAATATATGCAAAAATTTAAAACAAGGTATAAAATAATTTTTATCAAGCGGGAAAAATAAAAAATAAATTAATAATAATAATTGTTAAATACAAACACATTCATTTTTATCATACTTACTATAAGCCAATTCAAATTTTAGATTCCGAGCGTAGCGAGGGTGCTATTGGTTTTACTAAGATTTTAATTTTTTTTTTTTTTATTCTGTGCACACGTTTTTTCCTAGTAAACTTGCTCTGAAGCAAATTTTCTGAAAGCTCAAGTTGTCTAGATGATACTTTAAACAGGTCATTTTTTGATTTTCATTTATTAAAAGTACATAAGTGGAAAAAAAAGTAGGAAAACTTACAATTTTACGATTTCATTATTTTATAAAAACACAGACAACGTTGTCTACTAGAAAAAATGATTTCATCGAAAACTCACAAAAGATCTTTTTTATTTCCTTTTTGATTTTCTTTCTAACGGTGATGTAAAACAGATGTACATTAAATTTCTCCTTCAACTATCTTTTCAACTGCTCACCTACAACAGCGGTGAGTGGGGTATCCCCAGTATCAGCTTTTTTTTTTTTTATAATTGTTTATTATAATAATACAATTATATTTAATTGCACAACTGGTCGAATGATAGTTTGTATTCTTAATAATATGGATTATCCATCGGCCAAATTGATGGAATCCGCGAAACAATAATAGTGCATACCTATTATTATTAATTAGTTACCTAAATTATATTTTATTAGGTATGTACAATGTACATATAGCTGGATATAGGTACAAATATCCTAGAAATATTGATATGGTTTAACACCCCATAATATTAACTATGTATGTATGTACTTAGTATTTATTTGATAAGGGCTTGATTTAGAGGAAGGTTTTGGGCAAAGTTAAGGGGGCTACACCCCTTTCTTATCTGTGCCTATGTATATAATTGTGTATGTACGGTTATTACTGCACTGGCCACTGGGCCAGTTGTTTAAATCAAAATTGCATTCAAAGAGATCGAAATAATACTTATATTCCAGATTTGTATGCTTAATGACTTGCTAATAGAGTGGGGCTATTCGGTTTTCGATTTATGGATTAATCGAAATTCTATTCGATTAATCGATACAAAATATGCAAATAGTAATCTCTCGTAATCAGTATCTATACTGTATACGTTATCTGAAATATTTAATAGATATGGGATACAATTCTGTCATCAGTAGCGGATTAACATTTTTCTAGGAGGGGTCCTGAAAAATAATATGTGTTTAAAAGGTATCTATTAATAGATGCCTTTTTTTTTTTAATAAAAAATATTGAATTATTTGATAAATTTGATAAATTGAAATTATATCAGGGTCTAGGAGGTCCAGTATAACGTTTAGTTGAATCAGTCGAACCATAGACCTAGTATAAGGTTTATGTGTCGAACTGATATTAATATATTATTATAATGATTTGGTCTGGTAATATTATTTTTTAACAGGGGTATACACAAGAGGGAGGAGACGATAGGGGCGATCTTGATGAAATGAAATGTTAAATTTTTTTTCATGTATAATACTTATAATACTTATTTTATTATTATTAATCAAAAATTAAAAAAAAATGTTTTTTTTTTTTTAGACGGAAATGGTTATAGTAAACTTGTTAAGAGATTGATAAGATATTAGAGATATTGTGACTATCATCAACACACATATATATATACATATATATATATAGGTATACCATAGATTAATTATAATGTAGTGATAGTATTACTCTATGAGGTACACCTACTGTTATAATAATTAGGTATATTGTGAATGTCTGTACAATTGTCTGCACTCTGCAACCGTGGTCCGTGTTATTAACTTATTCAGTTTTCGCCAATATACCATAGAGCCGTGATAACTATGACATAACAAAAATTGATAAGCTTTAATGGAAAAACGGCCATGATAATACGAGTATGGCACTGCAGGTCTGCGGTGATTTTCGGCATTTGTACTAACAGTTTTCATTAATACTCAATATTGAAATTATTAATACACTTATACACGAGCTAATGGTTATATAAATGGCTAATAATAGTTATCAAGTGGGTAGAAATCAATTATTCAAGTTTTAAACAAGCGAAATGATCGAAAAAATTTGAACTGCCGATCTATTTATAATCTGTAACATTGTTGTTCATATACATATATTTTTATAACTAATAACTTATAAGTATGATTCAAGTTCAAATTTCGCCCCCTCTTCTGTAAAATGAGCTGAATACGCCCTTGCTATAAAACGTAAAAGACGGAAAGTTTGACCGATGAGACAGATAAGACGGATACAAAAATGTCCACCAAAATTGTGGAATTTTTACGAAACTGCCATACTTGGACTAACTCGTACAAATAATGGTTTAGAAGGATGGCATAACATCCTTCAAGAACAAGTTGGTGGTCATCAGGTGACAATTTGAAAGATGTTTGAAGGTTTTCAAAAGGAGGTTAGACAAGCTAGATTAAAAGTTGCACACTTTGAGGCTGATAAAGAAGAGCAAAAAAAATTAAAATGTAAAAAAAAACACAGAAAATATAAAGAGAAGGTGGAAAATTATTTAAGCGAGGTCATTATAAGGTATCTAAAAGTTTATCACACAATATTGATTTTTAATATTTATTAGTAGGTATTAAATATATTTTTGTAATTTTTTTTAATATTGACACACTTGATTGTGTTGTTTTTTTATATTTTTACACAAAATAAAAAAATTGTTTCACCGAATTGCCTTTCGCCAAAAAGTCCTAGATCCGGTGAGATTTGGGAGATAATATATTTCTCACTTTGAATCTATTATTTACACGATTACCTATTTTTCAATTCAAATTTCTTTACTTTCTGTCAGAAAAATAAAAAATTTGATGGTTCGGTACCTAGACCTATTATATTTAATAATGTTAATTTATCAAAAACTTTGATAATGTATACATTGTTTTCTTTTAAATTAAACCACTAAAATAAAAAGGAATTTAGATTAGTGTTTATAAATCGTAAATTAATTAATAATAATTATTTATCTAAGTAAGCCTAGAATTGTATGTTACTTACAAAAAAAAATTTAAAATTGATCCTTTTTAGCCTGGGTATACGTTATACAATATGAGTATATGACACAATTTTCAAATTTAATACATCCCTCCTTGGCAAAATACTAAGTACGCTACGCTATATGTAAATGCACCCCGTGAATTTCTTTTAAAATATTTAAACTATTGATATATGCAGATAATTTCATAGAATTCCCAGTATAATATAATCATTTTGTAATCTTAAATTTAAAACAAATATTTTTGTAGTTTTATCACAATAATTAAGCGATAATCACAAATCACATAGATAGATTAAGTATATCTAGTACTGATTTCTATATTGCCTTTTTTTTTTTTTTTCAAATATAATTTGATGAGTATTAGAAGACATAAACACAGCATAAACATTATAATAGAATATGTATTAATAATATATAAGTAATGGAATTATTTATTACTAAAAAAATATAATATTTAATAATTATATACACTGTTTAGTGTAGTTTGTGAAACTTTTATTAACAGTATTAATTACTTCCATTTTTTGCATACCCAATTTATGTGTGTTCATATAAAATACCTAATATTATATACTGAAATAGGTTTTTGAATATTGTATATATTATCAATAATTAATGTAAATACGTTAAACTTAATTGAATATAATTTTTATATGCGATCAATAATCCACTATTCCATCACTATTCCATTAAATTTTTAATATTCGTTCTCCCGTGAAAAAATGTGAAATGGTGCCCTTGCTACAGATAAAAAAAAGAAATACAGCTGATGGATATGACACTGTTGTAGGTGAGAAATTGAGTTGGTAGGATAACTAGAGTTAATTTATTTATACATTTATGCAATGATAAATCATTGCTAACGAAAAACTATTCTGAGAGGAATTAGGTTATTCTTATATGTTTGAAAATGCTGTAATTTTTACGATTTTCATTAAAATTTGAAGTTAAAAGCTTATAAAAAAACTACCTTTTAAACCTTTTGGACCAACAAGTATAACTTGTGATGAACTTAGTGTTAGTTGTTTAATTATTTCTATTTGGCTAAACTATTTTATCCACATAAAACCAAATAAAAACTAAAAAATATCAAATGCCTAAAATAGTTTGAACATTTTACCACGTCTAGATAATACTGTATAAGTACTTTTCTTGTAAAATTTCAGGTCTGCATGGTTATTGTTAACTGAATTATAACTTAAGTATAAAAAATAAACAAAATCAAAAATAATGAAACTACTAATGCGTACAATTTTCCGTTTTTTCTTAATTATCTAGAAAACTATATAATAAAAAGACTTTCTTTGAACACCAACTGGACAAAACCGGATTACTGGAACAAGATTAACAAGAATATTTACATAGGTATCTATACCGAAAACTAGCTTTTTCCAATTCCAACTATACATATTTTAATATTTTATAATAGCGATACTTCGTAACAAATACGAGGGGAAAGTGTTTGGGAGTTTCGAAAATAATATAATAGGTATATCAAAGTAATAAATAATGACGAATCAGCTGTGAAGAACTTAAAATTAGACGACAGATGATGGTTAACAAAGGAAATATACATATTATTATTATTATAATAATATTATCTGAATACGACAAAATAAATGTGATAGGTATTGGGTGATTTTTTTGCAGTGCGCGTTGGGTGTTGAGAATTTTTGTACCTAGCTTTGTACTACACACGGGGTGACTGACCCCAAAAAAAGTGGGAGGAACCGTACCGTGGTGAAGGGTGGGGAAAATAATACCTTTAAGAATTAATTAAATAGGCGGGTATTATTGTTTGTAACGTTTGTATAAAACTACAATTGTATTACTTATGCAGAAGTGCGTAGTGCGGAAGTACACATAAGAATCTAGTCATTGGATAGAGTAATAAGTATATATATATATATACTTCGAATAGGTATTAGGTATCTAATTAAAAATACTGCATTGACGCACGACGAATACAATAATACATATTAACGCAATTCAGTGGCGTGCGTAGGTAAGGTGTTATACTTCCCCTGACTTAAAAATACAATAACTATGAGTGTTCGTTTAATAATTTTATTTTGAAATAATAAATTGTGTTCAATTTTCAAAGAAAAAAGCTTGATTTATTGAATAAATATTGACTTTTTTGTTTTCGGGTTTTAAATTCAGGTTAGTTGTATAACAGACGCATTTATATTATGATTCATGATTATTATAAATATAAAATATTATATAACAATAAATAAATATAAAAATGTATGAATCATATATTTGTATTAACAATTCCGAAAAAAGGTACCGTATACAGATTACAGACGCGTCCGTTTATCGCGCGAAATGCAAATCGAAACGTGTAAACATACTGCGTACCGTGCAAGTCTGGAACAAGTGAACATTTTGTTATCAATGGTTTTGTATTGTCGTTCGGGGCAAACAGCCTAGGCGCTTGTTGATAAGTCCAGAATCAGTCAGTGGTGCAACGCGTCGGGATTTTCCCGCGAAGTGAGAGCAGACTGTGCGTGGTGGGTGCGCGCGCGCGGTCCCGTTTTATCGGTCCATTATTTGCTTCATTTGCGGAGTTGTAGTAGTACGTGGTGTAGTTGGCCGTATCGCCGTCGTCGCCCGCGACGCAAAATCGGCACCTTTCATTGGCCAACGGACGGCATTCCGACGGCTACCCCCCACCACCCCCGGGCACTGGGAAATCTGGAACCGCTCTACCACCGGCGCCGAGACAGCTCTCAATCCCAGTTGTCCGCGTCTCGACCGTATCGTTTGTTTTACGGCCATATTTCTTTTGTTTTGTTTTTTTTTTTTTTGTATTTATTTCATTGTTATTATCATTAATTATTATTATTATTATTTTTATAATTTTAAAATATAGAATATAGTATAACGTTAATATTATTTAATAAATTTTGATCGGATAAGGGCTGTTTGAATTTATTTCGAAAATAATAGTCCATGTGATGCATCGTCGTTGTTTTTTGTTTAATAAGACTTCCCCGAGGAAGTCTAAGACGTGCTGTTCGAAAACAAAGTGAATAATATTTTGGTCGGTCGGTTCGCTGTGTATTTTTATTTTTTGCATATGTATTCAATTTTGTGGCAGTCGTATTTCCGAGGATAACAATCCACACCAACATCACTCATTAAAGAATCTCCTTGCTTCTGTTATGCTGCTTATGTTTTGCTCAAACAAGTTACAATGTAAGAATATCATCAATACAATCATACATTTGCTTAGGCATAATTTAAATGTACATAACTAGTACTTTCAACTGGATGTTAAAAAAAATAATTTTGTGGTCAGACCTATACCAAATCATTGCCCTATCTGTTTTTGTTTTAATACCTATTAATAATTTGGATTTATAAGCAATTTTTGTTGTTTGACTAGTTACTAGTAAATATTTTGATTCGGTTTTAATTGTATTACAGAATTTGTAAAAATGAATAGTATGGATGAGCATAATCGCATGATGCATCCAACCAGTGCGATGTTGCCTCAACCATATGGGATGTCGTCCGTAGATCCAAATCACGGTGCACCTACGCCACCCGATCAAGATACTCGTAAGCAAGATATCGGTGAAATCTTGCAGCAAATAATGAACATCACTGATCAATCGTTGGATGAAGCTCAAGCCAGGTAAAACCTAGTTCATTATACATATAGAATAATCTTGGCTATAATATAATATAGCTACTTAAGTTTTAGTTTCTCACTTTTTTTTGTTTGAAATACTCTACTGTTTTTTTATCAATAGTATACAATTTTAAAGAAATTACATTGAGTATTAGTTGCTATAATTCTTTGATGAAACTTGGTAGGTATGTAGTGTTTAATAAATGTTTGTACTTCAAAAGATAAAATTTTATTTTTTGTGAGACATTTCTTAAAATATTAGTAGATTTAGGTTTTACTTAAAGACTTAAACATTAAAATCATACCTAGTTGGTTGATTCTTATCACTGGTATACAATAATTTAATATACCTGCCTGTTCTTATCAATTATTTAACTTTTTTTTTTAAAAACATTAATTACTGAATAATTTAATTTATAATAAAATAATAAAGTAAAAACAAAATTAATAAAATAGTTAATACTAGTAAATAATTAAAGTAAATAAATATTGTAAAATAAATATATACATAAAAAATGTATATATAAAAATAAAATAAATAAATGAATCAATGAGTCGTCTGTAGTATTATGGTTAGTGTATTTTATTTTTACTTTGATTAAAAACCGGTTGTATATAATACACTTATCATAATACTCCAGGCGACACATTGATTCATTTATTTATTTTATTTTTGTGTATACATTTTTTATTTACTATATTTAATTACTTTATTTAATATTATTTACTTGGATTTGGGTTGTACATACCTAATTAGATCTGCAAGTGTATTAAGTTTCAATTATATAATAGCTTTGATTCAATTATCACGATACTGATATAAAATATCAAATTCATAAATTCAAATTAAATTTGTGAAACTGCATAGGAATTAAATTCTTAATATTTATTTTATAATATAACACTATAGGTATTGTAGTAGTTATCCTATATTATAGGTACCTATATAACTTTAAAATTAACATTGATACTTATATTTATTTTTAAAAAATGTACCTACCTATGTTTGGATTTCAATCAAAATTGAAATGTAATTAAGAAAAAATGACTATAAATAGTACTTTTAAAATATTGATTATTACGTAAGTAGATAAATGTAATAAAAAAAAATGTAGACTTTTAAAAATAAAGATGAGAAAAATTGGATGTATTTAATTCATGTAGTACATGGATTTGTTTATAGTTTTAACACATCGGCTTTCAAAATATCACTTATTACCCGACTGCAAAGAGGGTATATGTGTTTATAGTAAGCATATTCAACTAATAATATATATCGTCAAGGAAATACTTAACTAGCAACACTTCTATTTTATTTAGCAAAGATTTATTTCCCAATTGATGTTATGAGCATTGTTAAAATGATAAAATTGCGCCAATTGGGTCTTGTTGAGTGCAGTTAGCAGGTCTATTCATGTTTCCATATTGTTGGCAGGTCAATTTTTCTATCACAAAATAATTGAATATATTTTTATTTTAGTTTTCCTAACTAAAATATGCAAAATATGCATTTGTTTTTATATGAAACAATGCCTATTAATAAGTTCTTAATGTTTTTTAAAACTTCAAATCATTTGTTTATTTTAAATTAATGGTTAAAACAAGTTGAGTACAATTTATCAATACAAATGTAAATAAATTTAGTTTTATTAAACTATTAATTTTAATTACATTTTTTTAAATCCGTTTGGTGATATTTTACAAATTAAACATAATTGTATAAATAATATATATATTAAATACAAAATTTGTAAAATACATTTTTTATGGGATTTTTTGTACAAGGTGTTAAATATTATACCATAGAAATACATTTTATTTTAATATTATTATATACACACATATATATTAGGGGTAAATACCTAATATACACATTTTTATTATTTTTGCTATAATTTTTACTGTTGGTGCTTTAAATTGAATATCTATTGAATTATAAATTATTTGTATGATTACCTATGACAGAACATATCCCTATTTCATAATTATCATATAATTTTATAGATTGGATACCTATTGTTATTTTTTTAAATTTTAAAGTGTTGTTCGTCTCCACTTAAAAATATAATTAGGTTTTTACAATTTCTTTTCAATTTATTTGCTATGATTACTTTTATTCCAAATGTTTTATCAAGTAAATGGAGATTAATATTTTTAATAATATATAAAACAAGCTGGATACCCTTTGGTATATTCTTTGCATAACTTTGGATAGAACAGATACATTAAATTTATTATTTTTTACTGTTTTAAAATTCAAAACAATGATGAACAAAAATTGTATTAATCATAATTCAGTGTAAAACACTAAATTAAAATTTTTTTCAATTATTTCTTTCATTTCTTTTAATAAGTTTAAAATTAAAATTTAAGGTAGAAGTATTTTTCGGATAATTGTTTTGAATTTATTTCTAGATTTAAAGATTAAAGTGATAACCTAGGTTATAATTAAGAACACTTGTGATATTATCTAAAACTCCATTTTTCTTTCATAGTATGACATTTTAGATTCTGAGAACAGCAAGTAATGTATTGGTTTTACTATGTTTCAAAAAAAAAATTAATCTAATAAAACTTTTACTCCAATCGTCAACTGCAGAGGTGGTTTCTGGTTTTAATTTATGTCTAGTTAGTGTGTAAGAATGGTCATTTCTTGAATTTCTTTGTAGTTTTCTTAATAATTGAATACAAATATAAATAATCATAAAACCAGGAAAATTCATGTAACAATGGTTCTTTCGATTTTTCGATTTTTTATTGGTATTATTTAGTTAAAAATAATGAATGAGACCTGAAATTTCACTGAATAGTGAGCAATTTTATTAACCCTTTCTAGACGTTAGTTAATTTTCATTCTAGTGACTTTTGAGACATTTAAGTAGTTACAGCCACTTAAAATTATTAAATTTTCTTTATTTTTATTTGTGTTTTTGTAAATACATTTTTTTTGACTCGGTAGATATATTCAAAAATTGACCATGAGGTTCATAATAAGTTCTACTTATAATGGTAAAAAAAAGTCTATTACTAGGGGCGGGTGCGAATAATGTTGTAGTTGGGAAGGTGGCATACATAAAGTTATTTAATTTACAACTGCAATCAACAATAAACTATTGTAATGAAAAACGATTCGGAGCGAAATTCGGGTATACATGTTTTGTAAGCCCGTAATATTTACGATTTTTATCAAAATTTGATTTTAAAATTCTTTTAAAAAAATATAACTACATTGAACTCAATTTTTCTTTTTGATTACAAAGTATGACTTATATTGAACCTCCTCATTTTAACCAATTATGTCAACAATTTACGTTTAGTCTAACAATTTAATCCATAGAGTACTTATACCAAATAAAAATTATGTTAACAAGTTGTAAAACTAAAATGTTTTTATAAGTAGCTCAAAAATAATTTCAAAATTGAAAATTTTACCGCGTCCAAAAAAATGAAAATATAAAGTTTTTGTCAACATATCAAGTCTCTACAAATATGTTTAACTGAAATTCATTTAAAAAACAAAATTTCAAATAAAAAACACAGTTATTTTCGTAAATTTTTCTGCGTATTTTTCCGTTTTTCCTAATCGTTAATAAAACTACAGAAAACTTTAAATACGACTTTTTTACTTACCAACCTGATTAAAAGTGTAACAAAAAAGGTATCTTGTTTTTCCATTTGAGCAATATTTTTTGTGGAAAACATAATTCGTAAAAATATAAAATAAAAGAATCGTAGCACCGTAAATTTATTAGTTTTAATTTTTCATCATTCGCTGGATTTTCTTAATTATTACCAAAACTACAAGAAAAAAAAAATCAAAAAATAAATTGTTTCTTTATTAACTAGATTCCAAATGCAATACAAAATGTCGTTTGTCGTGTTTGCGAAAACTTGGGTAAAATTGGGAAAACCATATAAATATTGCTCCAATTAAAATATTTATTTGGTTTTCCCAATTTTTATCAAAAATACTTTAGATTTCAAAAAACAACTTTCTTTGACATCGACTGTATATTAAAAAAAACAACATTTTTTAAAAAGACCGACATACTTTGCATGTAGGAGTGCTATTGTTGTAGGTGACATATCTGCACGCAACAATTAATTATTTTTAACGAATAACGATTCTGAGTGAAGTTCGGTTAATAGTGTTGCTTTGTTAACTAATAAATATTAACATTATGGTGAAATAATTATGTATTTTTTTTAATAATGTTGATTTAATATTTTATCTATTTTCTCGGTTTTTACCATGTTTTTTCCATTTATTAACTTAAGATTGCTGGGAAATTCCTAAAATGATTTCCCATAAGTACCTCTCCAGTCGGATATAATTTGTAAATCGAAGCAAAAGTGCTGGTAGAAAAGTTGTTCGCAGGGAAAAAAAGGCCGTAATACTTTTTATTAATACCTAAATTTCATACTTTATCCCGTTTTTTCACAGTGTTTTCCATTTATTAGAAAAATTCCATAGAAAATCAAAAAACGACTTCCTTAAAGTAGCACCCCCGGAAAATTCCCTTTTAGAGAAGTGATGATTGATGAAAAATAAATTAAAATTATCCATGTTTTTTCTTCTCGAAAATTCAATCAAATTTTAAACTTAAAGTGATAAAAAATATAAAATCGTGAATACAAATTATCGATATTTGTATCAAACAAATCATTAAAAAATATCATAAGATGTTTTGATGTACTTTGTATTTCATTTTTGAGTATCTTTGAGAAGTCAACGAAATTATTTTCACATAGAACCAAATGAAAACTAAAAACAATATAATTTCAAATGTCTAAGTACTTATACCTAAATAGCTTAATAAAACGTTAGAATGTTTTGATAATTGTACCACGACTAAAAAGAGCTAATATAAGTATTCTGTAGAAATTGTAGGACAATGCAATTATTTTGAACTGAATTATTATAACGAAATATAATATAAAACTTAGCAGAAACCGTTATTGAAAACGTTTTCCCGACCTTTTTTCAATATTTTTCTTAATTATCAAAGAAAATAAAAATAAAACTTATCAAATGTTATAACTAAATAAAATTAAGTACCAGAAACAATCCCTGAAGTTTGTAATCAGAACAAGATTTCTAGTAGAGAAGTTATCCAGACGGAAAAATAAAAAAAAGCACACATCATTGTAAATCACTAAAACCAATACATATACTTTCAGTATTTGAAATGTTTTAAACATTTATAACTGTCCGGTTTCGAAATGCACGTTCGAACACAGAAACTAACTCTATACACTTGACTTATTCTATACCTCTGACCAAGACAGAGTTATAATTATTAAATAAATAAAATATCAAATGCTTGAAAAGCAACTATTTTATATAGGTTCCTTTTAAACCAGTTGTAAATTAAAATTTGTTTTTATAATATCTCACCTAAAGTCAATGTAGGTCAAATTATTTTTTCATGGAAAAAGGTGGGGGATGAAGTTTATTTTTTTAACAATTATTTGCATTTAATTTTTTCTTTCGTTAATATATTTATACTAAATATTGAAGGAATAAAATCAAAAGTCAGAGATCAAGGCTTTTGAAATGGAATATATAGAATGTAAATAATCAAAAATTGTACGAAATAAAACTTATTCGCATATTCTCGTTAAAAAGGAATCGACGATAATTCTTTAGATTTTCAATTTTTATACCAGTCTCAAAAGTTACAAGATGTCCGGAAAACAGGTAGGAAAATCTAAAAATCGAAATTTGACAGAAACTATGGACTCCTTATAAATGAAGAAATACGCCTAAAAGTCCTTATACGGTTTTGATATATTTAAATTTGTTCAGCCGTTCTAAATGCTATGTATCGTCTGAAAAAGGTCATGGATATATCCCTCTATCCCCTCCGGTTGACCACCCTCTGCCAAAAGTAGTTATTAATTGATTAAAATGATATATTTAATATACCTATTATCGAAAGCCGATTTAAATCTTTCAAATATCTCAAATTACAATTTATAATATGATTGTAAAATATCCTATTTTAGTTTTAAATATTTACGCTAGTAAAAATGAACAATTATCCATTTGAAGAATTAGTTTATATTCGCGAATTGTTTGTATACAGTGTATTTATAAATCAATTATGATTCAACTATTTAAGACATAATTTATTTGGATAATTGGTAATGAGTCGATATTAATAATATTGTAGATAACTTAAATATTTTTAATCATTTAAGTGTTTTCAAAGTTGTATATGAAAATTTAAAAACCACAAAGTTAAAATTACGGTTAAATGCCTATAAGTATAATATAAGACACGATATACATTAGTTTCATATTTACTATTCTTATTTATTTTTTAATTTTATTAGTGATGTTTGTTTTTTTTTTCTTGTCCGTCTGTGTGTTAGGATTTGACCAGAATACTTCTTTTAATCAGAAATGTTAGATTTCTTACATCATTTTGAACCCTGTTGGCGAAATGGAAAGGTCATTCCAAGTAATTTATTAATTCGTTTTATCTAGGGAAAATTTATGCTACATGACAAAATCGATTAAATTTTTTTTTTAATACTGCAGTAAGCATTATTATCATAGAAATCTGACATTTTCACCTTATACAGCTACCTATAAAGCTTTTAAAATACTTTTAATTTTTTTAAGAATTTAAAATTGTTATTGATTTTCTGTTTGAATGGATAAAAGAGTTAGCAAAAATAATATGTACCTAGTTATTGTTTAGTCATTTTTTCGATAAATGCTAAGAATTTATTTCAGTTCAGTTTAAAATAATTTTTAGAATCGTTCTAACTAATATAAACTTTTTATTTGCATATTAATAGTAATTTACAAAGAAGCAGTTATGTTATAAAAATTAAATATAAAATATGGATGCATGAAATTTCTAATATATAAGTTAATGGTGCAATTTTTGTTTACAAAACTGTGTTGTTTAAGTTGGCCGAATCATTGGCTTTTAAAAGGCCGTGTTTCTACAAATTTATAAAAGTAAGCAATTAGTTCAAATTCAGATGTTTTTACAAACAAATTGTAGGTTCTAGATTTAACAACAAGCAATAATGTTGATGATAATTGATTACACGTATTTTATATTGGGTAATGTGCACATTATGAATATTATGATATTATGAAGTGAATCGCTTTATATCTCGGTTGATATTTCTTATTGTAACATCTTTTTTATTAATTAATTTGTTTGGAAATATAATTTATTTTTCATTGCCATTTGCGTTAGCTTTATATGGCACTAAGTAGATATACGAGTAATTAGTTAAAAATATTAATTGAATTGTCGAAATATTGTGTACTTATACAATTATAAACACGTGACGTGACCACCTATATGTACAAACATGTTATTTGGGCACAATATCTGTGGCACTATACCGGGTTGGCTAAAATTCTAACTTCTATAGGCACTTAAATGTTTTGGTTGTTTCGAAATATACATATATACAGGCCCATTATTTTATCGTTGAGCATTAATTATTTCGTAAAGTATTGACTTTTTCTATGATAAAATTTGTTGAGAGTTTAAGAAACAAGAAGCTCTAATGTTACATTACTATTACATTTTTGAGAATTATTTTTGGGCGTGAAACGTCTGTCGACTTTTGATTTTCAAATGGTACATTAAAAGGTCCGTAAATAGATGAAGTATTAGTTTTGATAGTTCGGTGTTGACATTTCTAATTTCCTTCAACCCGTTCATGAGATTCCACTTTTAAGTTTAGGTAGGGGGAAGTAGCAGATAGTATTATTTGTGTGGTGTTAAACTTAAAAGTGGAATATTTTGGAATAAGGATGACAAAAAATAGTAATACCTTTAACATTTTAGATCTGCTTGTTTCTTAAACTGTTAAAAAATTTGTTTTTTTGTTTTTTTTTTTTTAAAAGCCTTTAAGAAATAATGAATGTTCAACAATAAAAGAATCACTCTGTAAATACTTTTTGTAGGATTTTCTTGAAAATGAAGATTATTACACTATATTGTTTCTGTTACCTATATAATATATCTTTTTCCTGCTACATTTGAACATCTATAGTGGCTTCCATTGGACCAAATAAACTCAAAATTGGGACTAGAGTTTTTTTGTAGGCAGATTGAAATGATAAAAGTTGGGTAAAATTTTAATATAAATTTAACCATATTGGTTGTAGACGGAGGGTGTTTTTATGATTTGGACATCTTAATTAATTACTCAAATGAAGCCAAGAGGATGAAATTTTGTGTATGCATTTCCAAGATGTATCTTTTGGGAGTTTTATCTTTCTATCTCCACCACTTAAACTTTTATGTTCGAATTTTATTTTGTTTTGTTTGGTTTTAGTAGTAGTATCGTTGAATACTGTATTATTAAAATATCCGAGTATTTATTGTTTTGCGAAAAATATTTCTGATATACATGAATAACTGAGGAAAATTCGACGGAATTCTGCTGCTCATTGTTAATTTATTTTTACACGGCAACAGATTTATATTTAGCCTTTTAAAAGTAATATAGTTATTGAAATTAATTTTTAGTGACAATTTACGCATTTTATAAATGCAATTAACAAATTTTTTCCATCATGTGTGCGTAAAATCACTAGATATATAAATAATATCCAAGTTATTTTAAACTTTATAAAAAAAGAGTTGGCCCAAAATTAAATTTGGTACGTATTATGTTAATTTGTTGTAGTACTTGTAGTTCACATTCATATAATGTTTACAAAATTGAAATTAATTTTACAACAACGAATTATGGCAAATTGTCACGACAATACATACTACTTTTATTATTAGGTTTTTATGATTTAAATGCAAATTTATTTAAGTTTTATATCGTACATTCTAGGAATGTAACTATGCTCATGGGAGGAGACAAAAATTGCTGAAAAATATAATATGAACTACTGAGGGTTTGTTTTAAAAAGTAATTACAAGTATTGTGTGTTCATTAAATTTATTACAACAAAAATAAAACAAAATGAAAATAACGAATCTTAATACTGTAAACTTTTCATTTTTTCCTTCTTTTCTCCAATAATTAAGAAAACGATAAATAAAATAAAAGACGACCTACTTATGCAATCAACCGGACAAAATTGTCTTTTAGAAATGATGGTACTTTTGAAATTCTGTATACTATTTCCGATGAAGAAATCATGATACTTTTATTGTCGTGCATTTTTCTTTTGTCTTCCTTTACGTTTTTATTTGGGTTTTCTCAATTAATATAGAAATTACTTGGGAAATCAAAAAATAACTTCTTAAGCGTTACCAACTAGTCACAAAAAGGTTTGTCATTTTTCGATTGAAGCAAAATTGGTAGAAAATTTGTCTACAGATAGAAAAAAAAACACATTCATATTAAAATCAATGTACTGCATGCTACATGATCTTAAACCAAAAAATAATAAATTATAATATCTGTTTTAAATTTAAATTATCTATTTTCTTAGAGCAGTGGAATACTATTAGGTATATTATCTGTAATTCATTTAATTAGGTAAAGAGGGTGAGTAGTGGAGCAATATTAATTTACTCTACTGTCATATAAATAATACTTCACTAATATTTCACTCTCTCCCCCTTCCCACCCAAAGTGGAATCTTGTCAATGGGTTGGAGGAAAGCAAAAATATTATCATCGAAATGTATTTAAATTAATAGTCCATCTATTTAATTTTTAATTTAGGTTACCATTTGAAAAATGGTTATCGTATTACCACCAAAAATAAATTACGAATGTACTATTTTAGAGATGTTTGTTACCTTAAATTGTCAAAAAAAATGAATACTTTCTGAGATATCGCAGTGGGTATATCTTCACGGGCCACTTGTATGTTTAAAATAGTTAATAAAATCGTTTAAAAAATATGATTGAATTATTTTCATTAATTTATTTAATTTTCCGTTGTTTTTAAAGTTTATTATATATATTAAAAATAATCCAGTACTCGTTTGTGCTATGTAAACGAATTGTAAGACTGCGGTGTACCCGTTTTTTTTTTTTAATCGATAGTCTAATCAACTCGGTTACTTTACAAATTTAGGTATTTCAAGTAAAAACTTGTATTATGTAGTCATCATGTTATATACTATTATGTTAAAAAATATTCAAAATATCAATATTATAACATATTTATTAATTTTATTAGATAGATAATAAACTTAACTAACTAATTTTTTTTTTTTTACAGAAAACATACATTAAATTGCCATCGAATGAAACCTTCTTTATTCAGTGTTTTATGTGAAATTAAAGAAAAAACTGGTAAGTCATTTTTTATTTCATTTTGACATATTTAAAATAATTGTTTATGTCGGTAATATAGTATTTATTAGCCATCAATCGTTATTTGATTTTAATACGTTGTAGGATAGATATAACGTACTAATTAAATGGTTCTTTTACTATTCGAAGATTTACTCTTCAATTCTCCATGCAGGATGAAAATCGAGTGGTATATCACTGATATCCCTGTACCAAAGTTTACTCATCTAATGTAAACTTTTTATTTTTATATACCAGGTGATTCATTTAAGTACACCCATTATCTCAGAAAGTATTAACTTTTTCCTAAATTTGTTTTCTACAACATTTAAAAAACAAGCTGCTCCAAAATTTTATATTAGTGTTATTTTTGTCACCCTTTTTTTTGGGAATAAAACAACTACCTACTTTTGATTTTCAAATGGTAACCTATATTAAAAAGTCCATAAATAGATTGAATATTAGTTAAAATAAATTTTAATGTTGACGCTTTTGATTTATGTCAAGCCGTTAACGAGATATACCATTTTTAATTTTAGGTTGGAGGAGAGTAGTGGTGCATTATTAACACGCGTAAAGACTAATCTCCTCCAACTCAAACTTAAAAGTGAAATATCTCGTCAACGAATTGACGGAAATAAAAAATGTATTTTAATTAATACTCAATCTATTTATAGAATTTTTAAATATAGGTTGCCATTTGAAAATCAAAAGTAGGTAATGATTTTACCCCCAAAACTAAGGTTGACAAAAAATAACACACAAATATAAAATAGTGGAGTAGCTTGTTTCTTAAATGTTCTAGAAAACAAATTCCGGAAAAAGTTAATAATTTTCGAGATAATGAGTGTACCCACTTAAAGGAATCACCTAGTACATTATAAAACTTAGTATATACTCGATCTAAAATCATTCCAAACAAAAATTGATTCCGAGTGAAGCTCGACATTTTTTTTTTATTTAAATCTACCATTTTGTCAAAAGTTTAAATTCAAATGCCTTCCTCGTTATTGGAAAAAGTACAAAGAATTTAAATAATCTGTCTAAAATGCAACAACTAGGTAAAAAATGCTTTTGGATATCATCCCTTTTACGGTGTAAAATATTCTGGTCCTAATTGTATTAAATAAACCAGAAAAATAAACACACATCATATAGTAAAACTAATATAAGTTTCTCGCTCAGTTTAGAATCAAAGATGTAACTAATAACGATAAAAATACATCAGTCAATTGTAAAAAGACGAACATATTTCGCACGTGGGTGCAGCCGCTATTGTAGGTGGGAAGGTAGTATACATAAGGTTATTTAATTTATATCTGTAAGCAACGTTAAACCATTGCTGACGAAAGACGATTCCAAGCGCAGTTCGGTAATACATAATTTGAAGTGCCGTAATTTTTTTTGCAATTTTTGTTTGAATAACAAAAACACTTATTAAAAAAAAAAAGTCGTTTGATGATTTTGGAAATTTTACTACGTCTAGGTAAGTCCAATATAAGTATTATTACTAAGTTTCGAGTCTTTACGTGTATTTATAACTGAATTACAGCAAAAGAACTCCAAACAATTAAAATTCCTTAAAAGCTCAAAAGTTTGGGCGATGATACTTTAAGAAAGTTAATCAAAAAGGCAATAAAAAAGGTAACTTTTGATTTTTCGATTAAATCATTTTTGCTGGTAGATAACGTTCATATTTTTATAAAATAATGAAATCGTAAAATTGTACGTTTTCCTATATTTTTTCCCACTTTAAATGGGTTCATTTAAAAATGGCGTCGAAAATTAAAAAATTGACTTCTCTAAAGTACCATAAAGACAACTTAGGTTTTCAGAAAAGTTGTTACACTTAAAAATCGGAGCAAGTTTGCTAGGAAAAGACGTGTCCACATACTAAATCAAAGAACAAAAAAAAAATAAACAGCATTTTAAAAACAATAGCTACCCTCGCTACGCTGGGAATCTAAAATGATGTTTGAAACGAAAAATTTAAAAATAATTCGCCAAATATTTTTGTCTATAAAATCATTGAAATTGATCACTTATTTGAACTTTTATTAGGTATTGTAGGTATAACTAAAGGCCTGCGCAATAATCGTTCGTAATATTCGGTAATCGATTATCTTAAAATAAGATTGAACTCGATTAATCGATATTATTGGAACTATCATCTCATCATAAATGAAATAAAATTGCGATTCGCGATTAAGTATTTTTAAGATTAATTTTTTTATTACAGCCAACATAACAGTTCGTTTAAACTTTTAGCTTTTCAAAACTAAAATTATAAACTGTATACATTTCGATATAAAATTATGCGTTATTGTAATACAGTACCTAGTGGCTTTAAACTTTTTTTTGTAAACGCTATGTTTTCCATATACATTTTTCACGGCACATAGTATATAGCATATAGTAAATAGCTACAACAGATAACAATCTTTTCTCCTCAAAGATTTATCGAGATAGGAAAAATATAAGCCATTTTTTATTTTTAGAAGGTTCGTAATTCCATGCATTACTTTTGAAACTCCAAATGTCCATGGTGCATCGATTGAAAACTACTGCGATGCGTATATGAGAATAATATTTAAACGTAATTAAATTAACCTATAATTGAGCCTATTGGAATTTATAGTTTTTAGATCTAGTAGAAATAAACATTTAAATGTATTTAATATTTTCCGAACCTTTTAATAGGTAAACATTTAGAATTATTTATTCCAAAAGTGATAGATATTACAAATTATCATATCAAGTCCCATTTTATATTCTTGTACATAAAGAAAAAAATCCATCGGATTAATAATTTTTTGTGGGAGGGATTACATTTAAAACCAAATATAACCAATCTATTTTGCTTATAAAACTGGTTTGTTGCTGTAAATTAGTTACTGTAAGTAACTTAGTTGCTGTAAGTTTTATGTATTAGTATAATATGATAAGTGTATATAAATTATCCGATTATTAGTTAACTAGTCACATTATCTTTATACGCTCAGTAAATTCTATTGAAAAATTGAACGTTTAAAACTTTAAAAAACCAAATACTTCATTAAATTTAATCCTTGGAAGATGGTCAAGTCTAAAAAGATTATTTTTTTTTTTTGTTCGATGTCATTAATCAAATTGTTAGTTTACAGTACGTAGTCGAGATTAAATTTCAAATTGCCACTATTATTATCTTAAATGGGTAGAAACATTTCAAAATATGTTTCTGTATTATTTATTATTAAATTAAATTAATGTTATTTCCTTTCAATTTTCTCTTACCGAATTTAATTATAATAATATTTTCATACTGCACATGCATGCGCGTTTCCAATAATTTTGTGTGCCCATAAGTTCTGAACGTTCATTATAGGCAGATGCCAGATATCGATATTCAATATACTTATTGATTTCTTCGGTACCTATAAGATAAGCCACATACTGTACAATGTTTATTTCTCGAAACAATATTTTGTCCAAGGTCTCGCAATATCAGGTATTGTCCCCGTATCTTCCCACGTCGCCGACTACTAATTTGCCGACATCTCATTTTGTCGACAGATAAATTGGTTTTATAAGATATTGAAAATCTTTCCATTTTGCCTATACATAAGTCTGTTGTATTATTATTTTGAAATGAAATATTATTGTTGCAATAAAATTATTGCAAAAGAAATTTCAGCTCCACAATCATGGCATGAGCTAAAGTAAATATATAAATTAAGTATTATAGAAAATACAAAAATTAGGCATCGACAGTAACAATAGGTAATCAACGATTAGATGGATGTTCAAAATAATTTGTCTTAATATTTTCATAGTTAAAGTTTAGTACAATGATTGCATGTGATTATTTTCATTTATTTTCCATTTTTTTTTTTAAAAACTAACGACTTTATAATGGAATATATATATATTTCATTTTTGGTTAAAGTTCACGTAGTTTCAAGTATTTTAAGTTAACTAGTGTAATCCCTGCAAAAACGACAACGAACACAAGTTGTTTTAACATGAGCTATAGTGGGGTGAGGTCATGAGTAGATATACTTCAAGCAACATACGTCACAGGGAAATATTAAAAAAAAAATGTCGGCAACGTGAGAATGAACCCCATCGTCTCTGCCCATCTGGGATAAAAACCTATCATGTTTGCTCTATCAAAATTGACGTTATTAATGTTTAATGTGAAACTAGACCAAAAATTACGCAAGGATCGATATTATAATGATGCAATTTGGAATTTTTATACGTCTCTTAAGATAATTTCAGAATTTCTCAATGGAATTTTATTGCGTATGTAACATGTTAAACTGTATGTGTTAATCTGTGACTTATTAAATCGTTTTATGAAATTTGTATGATAACTGTAATTTAAAAAATATACTTTATCAACTTAACCTAACTATAATAAAAGGACACGTTGAATCGTTAACACTTCTATATAATTTATTAAATCATATGATGATTAAGAACTTACTTAAATTATCCGTATACTTCAAAAGAAATAAATACACACGCATTTTGTTTTAAAAAATTATAAACCATAAAGTGCAATAATAATAAATATCTAATATTTAATAATAATATGTGGTTCTCCGATCAATTTTGGTTTATTATTTTATGTGCTGAACTATTTGAATTGTCCAAATGTTTGATTAATTTGATTAGGTTTAATTATTATTTAAAAACTTTAAACAGTGCTATAAAGTTCTGTGCACTGTAAAAATTGATTTTCATTATATGGAATTTTTAATTCAATAATAATAATAATAATAAAAAATTCTTCTTTTGGTGTTATCAACGCTTCTGTCAAATGCTCGTATATTTATCGTAGACACGGGCCCAGTAACAAAGACAATCGCATTTCCCCAACTCCATAAAAAATATTATTTTATTTTATAACCTGTTGATTTATAATATCACATCCATCATTATTTTTATATTATATTTTTCTTTATTATTATTATTATTATTATTATTACCTATATAATTTCATCTTAGTTTAATGTACTTATTTTAAAGAAAAGTACATTTTATGCAAAGTTTTAAGGAATTCTCTGTTTTTAATTATTTAATAGATTACGCGATATAATATTGAAGTAGACAATAAAAATAAACAAATTATGCTCATTTAATTTTCTGTTTATGTATTGAAGGTATACGAATTATTATCGTATAATGTCGAAGATAGGACGTGTGAAAATATGAATGGGTTCTCTTTTCATTTAAGTATAATTTTTAACTTCATACCGAAAACTCGTTTTTTTTAAATGGTTTTAAATTTATTTTAATAATCACTTGTATACATATTGTTTTTTTAACATGCAGATACGTATGTTAATAATTCCATACACGATTTAAATAAATAAATACGAGTTTAGTTTTATCTAAATAACTGAGTATTTAACTTATTGTATTATTAATTATTATAATAACTAAAATCAAATAACCATTTTTAATCTAAATAATATTATATTTTCTGCCCTCAACTTATATAATTAACTATTTTTTAAATCTATCTATTTCATGGATTCATGGATTCATTATATAGATATAAATTACAATTAATATGTAACTATTTTAAAAATAAATGGTTCAAATGTTTATATTTTCGATCATAGTTAATAAACACCTATATTTAAAATACATATAAAATGATCTATATCAGAAGGGTTTCCTTAATTTTTATTACAAATTTAGTAGGTACACAAAAATATAATATTAATACATATTATTAGCTGTGAATAATATTTATTCACAGGTCACAGCTATAAATTACTTAGATAATTCAGTTTACCATAATTGTAAATTTAAATAAAAGAAATTATAATAAATAATTTATATTTTCTTAATTATTAAAATTACACTAAATACGATAATTGTTCAGTATCTACATAAAATAATGTATGATTATTACCTGTAATATAATTTGTGTATAATTGACAACATGATTTTAGATAATATCATTTTCTAATTAATAATTGATTAACTTACTATTATTCTATGCCCGTTTTGTATAATATGCAATTTCTGTTATAATCTAACGTTTTAAAATCCCATATTGGTTTATTAGTTATAGGTTTTATATAGTAGGTATTATATTCACAATCACGAATTTTGATTTATATTTATTAGCTACCTATACATTTTAGATCGTCGAGTTATTTGTTGATATAGTGGAATAATATCTTTTATCGCACGTGACAATTAATTTCGGTCGAATCCGGCAAAGCATTTAATTATTATTTTTTAACTATATTATAGACCCCCAAGCCTCAAATTCGGTTTAGTAAAATCGAACGGTTTTGTTATAATTTGTGGTTTTTTAATAACACGACAATCCTCATATTATATAACCATCTGTTTAAACTTCAGTCAACTCTGTATATAGGTACAATATGTAATATAGGTGTATTAATTTATTGTACTTCGGAGGGGGGAAAATCATGTTTCCTATTGAAATAGATTCTTCATTGTTTGAATTGTTGGTCAGACTGAGTCTACTCTGTCACAGCGTGCGCTTGCAGCCAGCTCAGGATCGACTAATGGTGCAATGGTTCCAAAATATTATTTAACTGGTTATTATAATATTATTTTCGATCTCGTTTTGTTTTATTATAAATCGTTTTTACCCGTAGTTCTGTAGCAACACGGCAGTACAATTTTTAAAACATTTATTAATTTAAAAAAAAAAAATGTTACTAATATGTAATACCAAAACAATTATATTTGTTACGATACACATATAAATATTAATGTCCGAGCATTATTTATTTACGTATACGATTATAGCTAAACTAATAATTTGTATTTTTATAATATTATATTCGTATATTATTACGAAAAACCTGATGCCTCGTTGAATCGTACACTTCAGACGGAATTATATCAACTGTTGAGCATCCCTGGACCACAGTTGGTATAAAATGTTTTAGAACTGGTTTCTTTGTGCATATTAAACCTGCCGGTTTGCCTCACACCATCATTATGCTTATTCTTATTCACATGCTGGGACACCCCTCGTGTGTCCCGTCCAAGTACATAATATCTAAATGAATCAAAAGATTTCACCGGACCAAACGCTTTATAGAAAGAAAAAAAACCTAAGGTTTTTTTTTTTTCATTGTATTATTTACGGTGTATATAAACGACTACCTAACAAAAATATCGTATAATTTATTGTAATGTTTCATATTTTTTATCCGTTTTTGAGAGATGGCAGCGACTATCCTGTCTTTGTCGTACAAAGTTAAACCTACCAAAAAAAAACCTATACCGTCGTCAGTTATCACCAACGTATTATAGTTTTATCAAGACGCATAGGTTTCTAGATTTTTATTAATATTAATATACTTGTGTATTTTGCTCTTTTTTATAATTATATCTATTTAAAAACAAACAAAAATCCGTGTGTACCTATATAAATATAATATTTAACCTCAAATTATAAGTGCATAATATATTAATATTTTTGTTAATATCTGCACAATAATACAAAATATCGTGGATATTGTAATACGAATGTCATTATTTTAAGTGATTGTAAATATTTACATTACAAGAAACCATTCATATAGGTACTGTCCAACGATTGAGAACGTTATACCTTTTTGGCCGAACGATTGAGAACACTTAAAATTCACAAAGAACTCACAGCTGACCCAAAAAAATAATACGATTGAGAACGTATTTACGTGCAACGTTGCCGTATCATTTATTTGGCTATCGAACGATTCAGTGCGTTGTATTTTTTTGGTAGAAAGATTGCTTTTTAGCTTAGACATGGTCACAATAAGTCAGTTCTTATCAGTTTAAGAAAAATATTTTTTATTTATATTTTTTTTTTTTGTAAACTAAAATTATAAGCGTCAAAAAAAAAAATACATTGTTAGAATACACAATAATAACAGTTGAATTAGATAATACTAGATACTCTAATTATATCGAAAAATTAAATTTCCACCATTGTGGTGTGAGAAAATTAATATAGTTTTAATTTTCAACGACAAACACCCTTATGACAATTATAGTACGAAATTAAACTGAATGTCGTGCTCAATCGTTCGGTAAACATTTTTCAGTATGGCAACGTTGGAAAAAAATCAATCGAGCGTTCTCAATCAATTTCTAAAAATAAATCGTTCTCAATCGTATCTTTCCCAATTATTATGAAAATTGCTTTGAAAATCAAAAAATAATCTTCCTTATCCAACTAATAGATCCAATATGATGCAAAAAAAAATGTCTTGTTATTTTTAATTGAAGCATGATTTTTGATAGAAAAGTTGTTAACAAACAAAAGAGAAAAAGCACACATCTTAGTGGAATCAATATATTCGTCACTGCGTTCAGAATCTAAAGACGAAAATAATTCCAAGGTATCCAAATGTACATATGAATGTGAAGAATACTATGTTTTTAAAATTGAAATCCAATACAATTCGTACAGTTTTGTCTGGATTTTTCGGTCTAAAATGTCGTATTTTATTTAAACACGTCCTTTGTGTGCCTCTTCCCTTAAATGGGCATCAAATAGAAGATTAATGGAAAAGTCGTATTAATTATAGGCTGTTATTAATATGTTTTAAAAAAAAACGTACAAAATTAGAGTAAATTTTGGAATCCATCGGCCGTCACAAAAAAACATAATTATTGTTGTTTTTCTTTCAGCTTTATAGGCCATTTAGGTTTAACACTGTATCACACATTTATTTCCATTTGTCTTTTACTAATGTATAATTTTTGTATAGTTTTTTACTCCTAAACTTTAAAAATCTTTCTCAACTATTTATCCATTTATTGTTGTTTAAATCGCCCTATAGCGGCCTCTTCGAAGTTTCCAATTTATGGTATTTTTTTGTCATTGGGCTTGATTTCGTTACAATATGGTTTACCAGCTTAATCTCTTATTGCAATTATAATATTAGGTTCTTCGACAATGCTATGGATTTCGTTGTTCGGATTTGGTATATCTGCATGTATTTCTTTATTCTTTTTAGGACCATCAATTTTTTTTAAAAAATATCTTTTAATCCTGTAATGGTGTTAGCCACGTTAATATTGAGATAAAGACTGCTGATGGATTTGCCACTGTTTTAGAACAAAGTTGGAATGCAAGATATATTAAGTAATTTAATTTGTATCTACACGCAACGAAAATCGATTATGAACAGAGTATTATTAATTGTATTTTCTCTTTTTGCCAAGGCAACCTATAAATCAACAAAGTTATACAAAAAATTGCTTATTTGTCCATCTATGGAGAAAATCAAAAAATAACCTTCCCAATGCTCTAAATAGATAAAAAATTATACAATAAATGTTCTGTTATGTTTATGATTAGAGCAAAATTTCTGGTAGAAAAGTTATTTAAAAGCACAACAAATTAAAAAAAAAAAACTCATTATATTTAAACAAAGCTTCCCTTAGAATCTAAAACGTCTCTATCTTTTTATAGACTGTTTTGTAAGAGTTGCGGTACGGTATTTATATTACATACGGATAAGAATAATAAATATTCGCTTATACGTATAACGTATTGTTCGTTTATTATCTCCTAGTAATTAACTCTTACTACTACTAATAATAAAAATCTAATAGTAAATAAAGTATCATGGTACCGCGGTACCTATACTTATAATATTATTATTTATTTATTTATTTTTATATTATTTTAACGTCTTGTCAGCTTAGTTATATAGGTAGTCCAAAGGCATCGATACTTATACTTACGAGCATCCCGCTCACTATGTATACACGTATATATTATTTCTGCCCCGTTCTCTTTGTTGTATGCCGCTGTCTATTAAAAAAAAAAAAAAGAATAATATGATGCTGCGGTTTCATGGCCATTAGTTCTAATTATCCGATTCATTAAAAAAATAGTAGATCTTAAATCGTATTATTAATTACGTTTATCGCGTTGGCATTGATTGAATACTGCATCCATGCATGTTACTAGTTGAATTATTATAATATTTATAATATTATATATGTACGTGAGTCGTGTATTCTAATATATATATATGTATATTTTTTTTTTACGGCTTCAGAAGTCATTAACCTATAACGTTATATATAAATTTTTTTTATATAATATACATACTCCCGCGAAAGAATAATATTTGTATATTTAAAAAAAAAAACAATAGGTACCTACTTAAAATTTATAATTATTCAGAATTATTACAGGGGTACCTGAATACATTATTTCTTAAAAACAATTAAAAAATATACCATTTCCCATGTTTACAATAAAATACAAATCTGATTGGTTTTTTTTTGTCGGTATTAAATTCGGTACATTGAAAAATCGTAAAATTAATACTTAGATTTGGTCAAAACTTTAAGTCCTTTGTGCTTAAATCAACGAGATATAATAAAAATAATAGCGAGGCTCCTTAATTGGTTATGAGTAATTTTTTTTTTTTTATGATTAGATTCAAATGACATTTTTACGTACATATTTTGTATTTAGCACACAAACCCACTACAAACATATTCATTGATTAAGAATTATTATTATATATGTAAGAATTTTATAAATAATTGGAAAAAGTCTATGTTCGAAATACGGTAAAGAGTTAATCAGGTTCGTAGATGATTTTTTTTATTTGATTTTTTTTTGTATAGAAAGTAGCGTATCGACACAATATGTTTCTTTTTTTTTTTTTTATGAAGAAATATACAATTTGTCATGGCATCTCATAACATCTTTCATTTTTTCCCCTTCATCACAACCGATTTTTTTTCTTCTTTCGAGGTCAATGGATGTGTAGTAGTTTTATATTGCCACATAAATGGTTTTCTTCTGAAAAAATGGGAAAAACTACCTATTATAATATTAATATCAAATAACCTGTAAAATGTTTTGGCTTGGAATTTTTGTTCTTGTATTATCGATTTATCGTACATACAAATATAATGTATAATATTTTAATGATAAAATAAATTGTACCGTGTATATATATATAATGTATCTGTCTATAAACATAAATCTATATATGTTTTTTAATATTTATTTTTATAAATTAACATATTTTAGCTGTTTTTTTTTTTTCTGTACTTGTTTAGTTGTGCATATTATATTATGTAGTATTATAAAATACGTATACGCGCGCGGGTTTGAGAGTAAAAGCAATATTGTAGTAATGCATGGCGGTTTTAAATTTTCAAACTTCGTCTGAGTAGTGGGCTCATGAATAATTCAATGACAGTATAGGACCGGCGGCGGCAGCCATTACGAGTGGGGATTCCAGGGTCCAGTCTGTCTACCTCCTCTCATCCTTCCCACATTTCCTCTCACATGCAAACGCAATAAGTTATTATGTCCGAGATAATCCCCTGTATATACAATATACACGCTGTGGACAACAAAGATAAAGAAAAACTTTTTTTTTTTAAATGATTCTTATCCTATAGTCGAAACTATTTTAACGTTATCGCGTTATCAACATTCAAAATCTTAAATAAATAAATTTAATAAAAAAAACCATATATTTAAATTGAATCTCGTGCATTTCGACTTAAAGAACAATACGAGATAAAAACGGATGTTGACATTTTAATTGTATATCTTATAATATATTATAATAAATTCATTAGGCATCCTTTTTTCCATAGATAACAGGAGATAGTAGATGACCTACTCGACTTAAAAAGTCGTTCCGCGTTTCCTGATTTTTGTATTATATATAGGAAGCTTAACTAAACTACCGTATCACATAGATTGAATATATGGACCATGTTTATCTTTATTTTGAATTCATGATTTGAATAGTTAGCGTTCTTGGCGTTCGTCTACTAAGTTAGAGGAGCCGATTATTTGTATACGGAATTAAAGGAAATCTACCTTATTCTCTGACATTTTATGTCTATACCTAGTTAAGTAAATTGTTTGATTTATTTATAAAATCACCCGCTCTTGTTTATAATTGTTAATTATTATTATTATTTTTTTTTTTTTTTAACAAAAATTGTTTAATATTATAGTTTAATAATAGTAAAAAAAAAAACCTCATAGTAAACTACTTTAAACAATTTTTAATTAAATATTAAAAATTCTTTGGACGTATGTAAAAAATAATATTTATGATTGTCGTTATTTCGTTTTGATAACAATTTGTAATAAAAATGTTTACCCTACAATTGCTGTTACTGCTGCCGTTATTTGTTTTACACGATTTTTAAAATTGTACGCTTACGATGTGTTTTTAAAATTTACAAAAACACTTGTTTCGTGGAGGTTAAATAGGTAGTTTTTTTTTTTCAAACAATGTATACCTATATATAATATAATATAATATATTATAGTTTGTTTAGGTGTAAATTTCGGTTAACATTACTTATCTATTTAATATTATAATATGCTCGTGTTGTAGTATTATTTTGAGCCGAGAATCTCGTTTGACTCCAATGTCGATACGATTATGAACTATACGTAAACTACTAAGAGTAGTATATTTTATTTTAATTAAAAAGAAAAAAAAAATATGTCCACATAAAATTGAATTAAAAACCGTGAAAACGTATAAATAGATTAAAAATCGTCAAAATGTTTTCGAAATTTGACTACGCGATAAATGTCTGATGTACACAAGTATGCTGTATACATTTCCGGTCTCGACGATTGTTTTTAACCGAATTATGCAAAAAAAAAAAAAAATCGACAATAATGAAATCGTGTACGTATTGCTGTACATTTTTGTAGTATTTCCTACGTTTTCCCCGACCATAAAGAAAACGTTTGGGAAAATAAAAAAAAAAAAACGATCTCCGCCGCGCATCATCCCGGCAAAATTTGATTTCGGAAAAGATATTATTATACTCGAAAATCTGTGGATGATTTCCGGAAGAAAAATTGTTCGCGAACGGAATAAAGAAAAAAGTACCCGCGTCACCGTAAAACCAATACACAACATTCCCCGCTGCGTTCGGAATCTTAAAACAAAAATAATAATAATGCTTTTTTTTATATATATATTATTTACTACAATATACAGTATAGCAACGATACGACAATAATGGTATTGTACCGCTATTCTCCCTTCATTTCGTAAACGGCAGTCGTATTTTTCCAAAACAAAATGTATAATAATATAATAACAACGGACGACCGTTTCCTATCAAGTAACAATATTACAATGCATAATATTTTATAATTTTACGACGCGGCGGCGGCCGCGCATCACGTTTTCACGTGAAAACTTAATATTCTTATCGAGCACGCGTAAAAACGCGCGCGGGGTGGCTTTGGGGCTTTATAATAATATCGTAACGGAGAAAAAGCCTTTGTGCCGCGCGCACAGTTGTTGCAAAGGGTATCCCGCATTGCGACAGACCTTATACAGTAGTATAGTGTTGTAGCTGGTGCAGTATACCTATAATAATAATAATACACCACCCCATCACGTGTGGTGTATCCATCAAAAATAATAATATAACGCCACATGGTGCTCTCGGGCCCGTTTCCTGCAGCAGCAGCAGCAGCACGGAGGAAATATAAAATAAACGGCGGCGGTAATACTTTCCGCGCGCGTGTCTCTCTCTTTTACTCTCTCTCGCTCTATCTCTCTCTTTCGCTCTCTCTCTCTGTTTCGCCGGTATCTGTCTGTGTGCGTGCGCGTCTCCCGGACAATAATATTACATTATTGGAAACGTGTAAAACAATACGAGAAACGCGATTATGATACGAACGTTCTGTACGTATATATATACAATAATATAATACAATATAACATATATATATATATATATATTTCCGCTCCCCTCCCCACGACACACAAATCCCGTCACGTATCGCGTTTAATATCGTATACGTTTGCGGCGGCGGTGTTCCGCGATCGATGTGTCTCGGTGTGTACGAGTTGTCGTCAGAAGTCTCTCTCTCATGGCGGCGCGACGCGCGTTGACAATCGTCTGACATCTGTTCGTATTATTATTATTTGCCGTCGTCGTGTTTCCCATTTATAATAATGTTTATCATTTTTTTTTTTCTCCATATTTTATATTCCTATAATGTTCGAACTTAATATATATACTACATAGCTTATAATACGATATCAATTTTATTTTTATATTGATATTATTATAAAAAAAATAATACATGTATGTGTATATATATATGTATAAAATATAATATATAACTGCGGTATTATAATATTATACACGCGTTTTAAATCGTATTATTATTATTGTACAGGTACAATATAATGATAAAAAAAAAAAATACATTATATTATCGTAATAATAACTCTGAATAAATTATAATAAATAATTTGTGTGTGTGTGTGTGTGTGTGTGTGAGTAAAAGAGAGACGGGACGAGAGAGAGAGAGTGTGAGAGTGAGTGGTAGGGTGGGTGGGTGGGAAGGAGGGTGTGTGTGCGAGTGTGTGTAAAGAATGACAGACTTTGGTATGTGTGGATGACTGAAGCAACGGCGGCGGCGGCGGCGGCGACGGCAGCGACGGCGGCGGCCGCGGCGGCGATGGTGTCGGTGCGGAGGGGCTGGGGCGCTGGTCCTTGGAACAAATCAATACCTAACGGGAGGGAAACGAACGCGGACGCGAACGGACGGGAAAAAGGCGGCCTGGCAGCCGAGTGCCATTCCGCACCGGCTGATATTGTGTTGCGCGCCCGTGTACGTGTTTTTCTTCGTCGTCTTCAATTCCGATTCGCGTTTTATACTGTTTTATTGCACCCGCCGCCGCCGCCGCCTCTGTGTTTCTTCCTCACTTTTCGGCCGGCCTTGACGCGAGAACCCCTTGCGCGCACACTACGCCCGTTATACATATTATTGCAATTATTATTATTATTATTATTACACGAATGCCGCCGCCACTGCTGCTTCGACTAAAATATTTACTTAAAAAAAAAAAAAAATAATAATAATAATAACAATTGTTTAATTAAAACTCGCAAACATTCCTGCCGCTGCGAACTTTCTACGCTGTCCCGTCACTGCGGGCTGCGGACCTTTTTTTTTTTTTTAATCCGAATTTCTTTTCGTGTCGCTGCACCGCTACTCTTTATTCCTTTTTCGCGTCTATATAATATATATATATATATATATATATATATACATAATGATATATCCGTTTGTTTGTTATTTCGAAAATTACGAATTTAATATCGTTGAGTATTAATTTCGAACGTCGCTACAGATCGTACGGCTTATAAGAATAAAGCATATGGCATGAAAATATATATGAAGAGTAGTCCGGTTTTTATTTCAATTTCGAGATCCATCCGGTGAAAGAAAGTCCGCAGCCGGATAATCGTGCCCGAATTTGGCCGCCATGATTATATTTCACCGCAAATAATAGCGGGAAATCAAATCGAAAGATCTTAACGATACGCTGACTTGACAAAAATTGCTACCGGAAACTACCTCTCTAGTGTTAATGATTGAATCAAGATTTTTGGTCAAAAAGTTTCTTAACGATAGAAAAAAAAAGCAACACATATCATATTAAAACTAATATATTCCTCACTTCTCTTATAATCTGAAATATTTTCAGAGAAACAGTGGCGAATTAACAACATTTTTCTGGGCGGGAGAAGTCTTGAAAATAATATGTAGTACTTGACATTTTTAAAACGGTTAAATAATGTGTAGTAAATATTTCCAGTTATTAATTTTTTTAACACGAGACTACCTAACACTTGATATTTCATTTCACCTCGAGATTTCAAAAACGCTTCACGAAATTTGCCAAATGCTGCAACTTGTATACGTGTATGTGTTTAATACAACCATAGAAATCGCATTAACCATGAATACTGCGATTTAAGGTTTTTACCTTTTTGCCTTATCTAGAAGCATCTTATGTTATTGGAGATGTATAGTTTATTTCTGGTGTTCAGACTTTATTTAACATGTCGTCAATTTCATTTTGTGAAAGTGTTTATTGCAAAATAAACTGATATCATAATCAGTGTAGGTTAAGTACGAAGATGGATTCGCAAAATCTTGTTTAGTTATTTTAGTATTAGTTATTATGTTATTAGGTGAAACTGATCTTTTAGTTGCTACATTTTCTTCTATCTAAACAAATGTTTAGATAACATTAAACGTTCCAATTGGTTAAATAAAAAAAAATATATATATATATATATATTGAACGGTTGCCTGTTTTTGTATACGAATTTATGATTTTCCGTAGTGTTAATTGTTGGCGGTCAAATAAATATGTATACATTTGAATAGTATAAAATAACAGAAACAGTCATATAAATCTTTCCCTCTAAAAGAACTTGGAAGGCATCGTATGTACTGTTAAATGGACATAATATGCATGGTCATCACCGATTTATTTGGAATTATAATTGTACATTCGACCAGATTGAATTACTTGACGGCAGACGATTTTATCGCATTGTAAAAATATAACTGTTCAATTTTTTAAGTTATTCCGGTATATTTATACACTATACAGAGTCTGACCTCTGTATATAATATATTAGCTGTGTAAGGAAGTAGATAGTTTTGTAGAAAATTATCTTACACATTGTAAATATGTGCTCATTATATTATTTTGTATTTTAAATTATTTTATACACTATATACCCTTTTGACTCTCTCAACTATATACACTCGACGATTTACTAAAAAAAAAAAAAAATGACTTTTAAGTCGAGTTCCGTTTTCGATCCATCGTTTTTGACCTTTAAAATATTATACCGAGGTGCTCTATACAGATTGTGTTTAGATCTCCCGCAGTTTTATACTGTTATTTCTCCCGCTGCGCTACAACGACGACGGTGAACTGTAATTTACTCAAAATGACTTGACAACCGAAACTTTAACCGGCTCGTTTTTTGTTTTTTTTTTTTTTAGCGGAAAATAAAAACAAATATATTAAATAAAATAAAATAAAAAATATTCCCAGTCCACTTTTTTTATAATAAAATATATGACAAAGTGCCCCGGTAGTCGGTGACATACGGTTTAATAATAATTATTAGTATTATCATCATAGACGCAAACAGCTCAAATATTTTTGTTTGGGTGGATGGTGGCTTAGTTGATAAGAACTTGATTTAAGTGGAGAGATTTGACTGATTTTCTGAGGAACTAGGAAGCCCTTCCTCGTATTTGTGGCTATGCATTTATTGTTCGTATTAATTTTAGATACCAAAATGCATTAATATATTATAGTTAATTGTATTCATAATAATTGTCGGATTCGATCGATAAAGTATTTTATTTTGTGGTTTATACACGTTATTTTTTTATGCCGTAAATAATAATTTAAAATTTGTTTAAAAATTACAGAAAATAGAATAAAACCGTTGTAGCACAATATATTTAATTTCTACTTTATAATACGCTTTTAAAACAATTTCAAAAAAAATATAATACCCAATACCAATTATAGGTACTTGATTTATAGTGATATTAACATTCTTCGATGTTTATTTATTTATTATTGAAGTACTAGTCGTTATAATATTATAATTTCGTATATAGCCGCTTAAAATAATACGTATAGGTTTGTATAGTGTTCGTTTTGAAGTGGCCGACGATAGATCCTCTCCACCTCTTTTGCACACCGATTTATCTAAAATGCTCTTTTGAAGGAGTTGACGTTATGATAATATAATATTGTTTATTTTACTCGTGTGTGTGAGCGTGGAAAATTGTGATAAGTTGTGTGTGTGTGTAGAAGTTATATGAGATATGAGGGTTAACGTTGATGTGTATATGTTTATATATATATGTGTGTGTGTGTGTGTGTGTATACATATAATATATAATTTATGTGATCCGAACAAAAATGTGTTTTGCTGTGGAGGAACACATGTTTTCACCAGAAATAACTAGTTTATAAATAGTGACAGTTGTGAAGAGCTTCTGTTGGCTTCGGTCCCTATATATTATAATATATTTATGTATAAATGTTCGATTATATTTTATATTAATGTATAAATATTATTGTATAGTCATTGCGTATGCGTACCTACTCATATTCGTATATAATATTGTCAGAATGATTTTTATTTTTATTTCAAAACGAATCTGAAAATATTATGTTTTTTTTTTTATGTAGGCACGTAACTTTTTCCCTCGGAAAACAATTTAATTATTATAATATAACCCTTAAATAAGGGAAATATTCAAGTTTTGAATATTCGTATTGCAATTCGGTTATTATAAAAAAAAAAAAAGGGGGAACGATTGAACTGCAATCTGGTCAAAAATATGCAATAGTCGAATTGCAATTTTAGTCGAAAAAGATTTAAAAATTAAAAATAAAAAAACACATTTTTACCATGTCAATGATAAAATTGTAAACAAGAATAGACATTTTTATTTTTAAAACTTTTAAATTAAGTTTTTTTTTTAGACCATTTTTATTGTTATGTTGAAATACATTTTCTTACCTAAGTACTTTTCGATCAGAGTTTAGTTCAATCATCACTTTTATTTTTTTTAATTCAAGTGTAATTTGATCTTATTCTTAAATAAATTGTATCAAAGAACTATTGTTACATAGGTAATAATATAATAACTGTCATTATAATATAATACGACTGTTAAGTCTTTATTATTAACGTCCTTTTTATTTTACGATCCGTGTACAACTTCATTATTATTATTATTATTAATAGGGTGATTGCATTTTTTGCCCGTTTCCTTGTGTGCATTAAGTGTGCAACCGGGAATTTATTTCTCAGAAATCGTACAAAACACGCGATGATAATGATAAACATGTATACAAGTATAATACGCCTCACTGTTCTATATTTTAGGGTCGTACAAATATATTCTTTAAACGATTCCCATGTTTATTATTATCCATATTTTATATTAATATTTATAGTATATAAGATAACACATTTTAGTCTACAGTGAAATTGATTTTACTATATTGGGGTTATTTTTTTTTTTGTACAAACAACTTCTCTATCAGAAATCTTGCTCTAATCAAACATTTTATTAACATTTTCTAGTAGTATTTTTGATCAAATTAGTGTATTGGGAAAGCAGTTTTTTGATTTGTCTTATAGTTTTCTATAAGAAATGGGAAAAACTGTAAATTTGTTTTATATTTGTTGGCAATTTCTGGGTTACTTTGGCAACAAAGGAATAAACGCGATTAATAATACTATGCTCAGAATCGTATTTCGTCAGCAATAATTTATCGCTGCGTGTAGATATAAATTAAGTTACTCTCTATATATCCTCTTATTTAATTTCTCTCCTAAAATAATGGCACATGCGTCAGCAGTATCAGATTTATAACATGTATTTTGGATTCGATTATATAATGAATACCTAGTAACCTACCTATTTTTGTTGCTATATCATAATATGTTAACATTTTATCTTAAGACAAACGTATATCTACTATATACGAGTGTGCTTACGTGTTTTTTGAAAACGAACAATAATATACCGAGGTTTGTTTTATGCAAAGGCGCGCTAGTAAATTTATAACCCTTTAAAATGTGCAACAGAAAACGCCTGTTTAATTTTGAATTATTCATGCACCGAGCGCGTAACACATTTTACCCTTCTCCGGCTACAGCAGCTGAATACTTTCCTCCCACAAAGTTTCTGGGCGTATTTATAATATTATAATATATACGTATAACATTACAAATGTATAAACGGAATCGATTTAAATTATGTTGGTTTTAATTCTCATTATACTCTTATATTATTATTTTACACTAATACAAACTGTGTATACATATAAAAAAAAAATAATAATACCGGTTCGATAATATTTGTTTATTTTATGTTTGGCGTTGTATGTTGTACAATGAGAAATTATAAATACAGCTTTACTATTATTTTTTACAGACATGTTTAATGAAATTTAAAAATGAAGTGATACTTATTTATATCTGTACTATTTACAAACTATTATAATGTTGTATTCTAAAATTTAACAAATTCGTTGATCGATTTTTTTAAGATTTTTTAGAATTAATAGAATTAATAGAATTAATAAAAAACCTATTATTATTTAACCTATTTGTATTATAATATAAATATAAATGAAATATATAAACTTAAAATAAAAGGACTTATAACGATTTTATACATTAAAACAAAATCTGCAATCAAAATGTTGTACATATTGCGTGTAATGGGTAAACAATGACTAAGTATACATAATTGTATTGTTGTATAGTTCAAAATAGTATAATTTTTACCGCCTTGGGGAATACTCGCACGCGAGTTTTATGTTCATAATCGTATATTTAATCTAGGTATACATTTTTTTCTGTTTTGCAAATGTATGTTTTGTTATTATATATTTATTTATTTTTTTAGATGTATAAAAAAAAAAACCCAGAATTAATTGTAGATTTATCTAGGTGTCTAAACTAACTTTACTCATATATAATGGGGGTAGTATCAAAACAAAATTTGTATGATATAAATATCAATTTTTTCGTGCTGTAAGTACTAAAAACACTCGAATACATAGAATCAGTGACGTACGCAGGGGGGCTCAGCGGACTCCAGCCCCCTCTCTTTACTGATCGTATTAAATGTACTACTTTTTCAACTAAGTATATAAATAATTGTACTATATATAGGTAATATTATACATTCATAAATGACTGTTGTTGATAATTTCTGCATAAACAACTAACTATGGAAAATGTTTAATGAATACTTTTTGTCCGTATTGTCGTATGTACAAAATATGCAACATAATTAATTTGTAACGTTTTGTTTTTCAGTATTAAGTCTGAGGAATACACAAGAAGAAGAGCCGCCAGATCCACAATTAATGAGATTGGATAACATGCTAATCGCCGAAGGAGTGGCCGGTCCCGAAAAAGGAGGTGGTGCCGGAGCCGCAGCTAGCGCATCGGCTGCAGCTTCTGGTGGTCCCGGGCAACCGGATAATGCCATCGAGCATTCCGATTACAGAGCAAAATTAGCTCAGATCAGACAAATTTACCATCAAGAGCTGGAAAAATACGAACAGGTAACATAACATTGGTTTCTTTTCAATATTAAAACCTGCTCGTTTTTGAAATTCAAAAATTTTTCTTTTTTATGTAACGTTAACCTGAACAAAATATTTTAGGTTTATACGTGGAATTAAAACAATAATATTAGATATATACATGTTTTTATTTTCTATAAATAATTAGAATCAATTTTTTTTGTTTCATTCAATTAAAGTATTATATTTGGTGGCGTTTTAAACACTGAAACGTTTACTTTCAGGTTTTTTTGATACATTAACTAAGTTCCCAAAACATTTTTGATTTTTCATATTAGAATAGAAATATTAAGAAATCTGAATTTAAATAACACGTGGTCGTATAAATAATAGATGGTAAAAAAAAGTTTAAGGAAAAATATTTTTCTCCTTAATCTCCTTCCTTGCATACGCCACCGTAACTTACCAATAAGTGTATATAGCAATAGAATTCAATATTACGTACTAAGCATAGTATGTATTTTTATTTTCTAATATTTTAAATTGTGTATCAAAAAAAGGAAAATTTGGGGTCATAAAGCTTATAAATACCATAATTTCAGTAACGAAAAATGTGTATTAATTTTTCTAGTTGCTTTTGTTATAAGGTGTTTTATTTATATATACCGGCAATTGTAAAGGAAACCCTATAGTACACATTATTATATTGTAAAATTGACTGTAATTTGAATTAATCGAGGGAATATTACTGAAGCGTGCAATTATTATTTGAATTGTACGGGAGGAACTCGTTGTGCGATTACCGACTGATGGCGGACGGACGGGGTATCCATTCCAGAGATTAATCGGCCTAACAACCAGATCTGCACATCACGCAATCTTTTTTCGATTTTGTTACATGGGATATATAGAATGATGAGTTTTATACATTTAAAAAATATACACTAGGTATATATCGGTTGAAATAATATTATAGTTTTCATTTCGGGCTCTCCAGGTATGGTCGTGTTTTTGTGCTTTCTCTTGAACATTTCGAAATCACATTTAAATATTATATATACCTATACATATATATACGTATATAAAGGTAGGTACGTATATTTGTTGGCCTCGCAGGACAAATTGCGTGAAAAATAATCTACGAGATGCATATTATGTTAATGGTAATAATAAAGTAGATATCCTTGAACCTGTGTTGTCTTGGTGTTCGGTTTGACATTTAAAAACATTTATTTTAATATCGTGATATGCCACAAACGGCATGTGATCAAACAAATACACAGAGAAAAAAAAATGATTAATTATATTTTGGTTTTTTTTATTTTCCGAATAGATATATATATATTCACAGCGATAGGTTAGTAATATACCTATATATCAGACACGTAATAAATATTATAATCTTTTGCCTTATGCCGTTTGCGGTTAAACGTAAACGTAAAAAAAAAAAATCTAGACTAGGTTCTTTTTAGCCGATATTTAATACAGTTACTTGTATATTAAACTACGACCCAAAATGATATAATTTATCAATATAATATAATACCTATAATTATTATAATTCAAGTTATCTTTATAGAAATTATAACAAAAATTAAAAATATCTATAATGTATTGAAAAAAACCTAAGTGTATTGCTTCGTATATTATATTATATGATCATTTTTTTTTAAGCATAATAAGAGTAATAAGACACGTCTTGATAATTTGAAATGTTTAACAATTTTATACGAAAAAAGTTTCAATAGATATTCAAAAAAAAAAAATGTGTCTTAAAATAGAATATTATATTATTTAAAAAAAAAAATTAAATTCAATCAACTTTTCAAAAGAAATATTCGTTATTTTTTTAGTTACTATAATTTTAATATAAAGTTAAGAAGAAAAATATTTTCTTGGTTGTATTTTTATTGCAGCTAAACTCTTAAATTATTACCTACATAATAATATTATGTACCTATTTATATTTTCTATATATTTTTTTATTTAGTTGGAGATAGATTTTAATGATCACATTTAAATGATACAACTTATCCGATAATTTACTTCCCGATACCCGTAAGGAAGGGAATACGACCGATTTTAAGAATGAATTTGGCATTTTATACCGTAAAGTAAAATTATAGGAATTTTTTGACAAAATACTTGAGTACATTTTTGAAAAATTTGTCAAAAATACAATTATATTGGTTTACGATTCCCCGTAAAAAAATTAAATTTCTATTATCAAAATATCATATAAATTATAGATAATAAAAACTTAAAAAATCATAATTCGTTTACAAAATTGAAATCCGTCAAATGCAATTCCTATACATAATTTTGAATGGCTTTTAAGTTTAAATTTTAATAAATTATTCACCGTCACCAATTTCCTTAAAATAAAAATTACGTGTTTCCTTTAATACAGGTTTTTTTTTTAAGCATTATATTTAAGATTTTTATTATTCCGTATTATATTGTAATTTTGTATACATAAAATAAGATTATGTTACAATATAATATATAGTATACAATATATTATTACTACCTATATGACTATTGCTTGTTTGAAAATCAAAAGTTAATATAGTTTCTTTCAGTATAACGAAAAAAGGATAAAAATGTGTGCATAGTAAAACTATATTATAGATTCGGAGCGTATCGAAAAATGTATTGGCTTTACAATGAGGATTATTTTATTATATTTTTATATCTGTGAACAACTTTTCTATCAGAAATCTTGCTCCGATATTCAAGTTTAACACTTTTTCCGAAGGGAAATTTTCAGGAGCGGTACATTAGAGAGGCTATTTTTTAATTTTGTAAATGGTTTTCATAATTATTGGGAAACACGAGAAAATATACGTACAATGTGCACGTATAAAATACGGATACTTCACTCCGAATAGTTTTTCGTTAGCAATGTTTTATCGTTGCTTACAGATATAAATTAAATTCCTTTCTATATCCTACCCTTCCAACTTCCCACCTACAATAGTGGCCCATCCATCGTGCGAAGTATGTCCGTCTTTTTTAAAGTTTTTTATTTGTATAAAAGTGCATGTAAAACGAATAAACATTTCTCAAGTAGTAAGATAATAATATAATATAATATTAGTGTTTTACGCTTAAAATCACCCGGTAATAAATTCACTTTTTGTGTGTGTAATTAAGTACATATTTCATATTTTATTTTTCAGGCCTGCAATGAATTCACTACCCACGTAATGAACCTTTTACGAGAACAATCTAGAACGCGACCGATTACACCGAAAGAGATCGAACGAATGGTGCAAATAATACATAAGAAATTCTCATCCATACAAATGCAACTGAAGCAGAGTACTTGCGAAGCGGTCATGATTCTTAGATCTAGGTTTTTGGATGCAAGGTTTGTATTTAAAATGAATTGTAAATATTTTACATGTATTTTGAAGTAATAATAATAGTGATACTATTTAGCTTCTAATTTCTATATACCTATAATATGCAGTTATTGTATTGTTTCGTAATATTTTTTATAGAAGAAAAAGGCGTAATTTTAGTAAACAAGCTTCTGAAATACTAAACGAGTATTTTTACTCACACCTAAGCAATCCATATCCTTCTGAAGAAGCGAAAGAAGAGTTAGCTAGGAAGTGTAGCATTACGGTATCTCAAGTACGTATTTTATAATAATAATTCAACAAAAACCCCCGAACAGTTTTCATCATATTACGAATTTTAAAATACTAAAATTATAACATTATTAAGGTATCAAATTGGTTTGGGAATAAAAGAATTCGGTACAAGAAAAATATCGGAAAGGCTCAAGAAGAAGCGAACCTATATGCCGCTAAAAAAGCTGCCGGTAAGTCGAGTTGTGTTCAAACTGTTTTAAATTTAGTATTTAATTTTAACATATTTATTACTATAGTAAATATTGAACTAGTTGAGGGAAACTGCTGTATATATTATTACACAGTGGTGTAAGTGGGAAAAATTTTCAGGGGTGCTAAGCTAAGAAGCGTTCCTAAAAACTAACCTGACCCAACCAAATTTTCAGGAAATTCATAATGGAAACGAGACTTACAATATGTTTTTCCCACACGTATTTGTTCATACAAATATTATGCTAAAATGGTCTAAAAATAAACTGCACCTCCCCACCAATTATTGTCGTTCACATATGTTTGGTCAGTAAAAATAAATTTTTGATTAGTACTTATGTAATACTGATTACGTATAAATCCAATAGGTATCATCAAACATGTTATGTTAATTCGCATAATCATTTATGAGATAGGTTAATTATGGGTACTTAAGTAACACATTTTAATTTTTCGTACTTAATAACAATACGATATTCCCCGATTATACGGTATTAAATACCGGTATTTGTAAATACTTAACACGGACTAAGATGTACAAAACTGGACACGCGTGACTCTGGAGAGTATGAAATGTTATAGAATAACCGGAGTACTGGGGTATTTTTCCTTTTAATTTTACTAGCACTGATACATATACAATACACATAATAACAGAAATTACGGTATATCAAAAAACCGCTAGCTAAATTAAATTAATTATTTTTAATAAAACTATTTCAAGTTATTAAAATTACATTATAAACATTTTAGTGATAACAACTAAAACATCCCCTAGGACTTATACCAAAGGAGACGGATAATTTTACCTTAAATATGAAGAGGAACTTCACTCCTCTCCAATTTAACCACTGTTCGTTGTTACCTATACCGGAGATATTTTTACAGATTGCATATATTATTGTAAAAACCTTATTGGTGTTTAAAACGTATAAAGAGAAAAACATGTAAATGGAGAAAGGGTGAAGTTTACTGTAGGGATTTGGAGAACGACACACACACATATATATATATATATATATATATATAATATATAATATTATACGTATATACCCACACGTTGGCGGTGGTAAGCTCCAAAATGGAAGTAATATATCACCGGGACCCTGGCTTTGAGCTTGACAGCCCGAATGGTTTTTCCTGGTTTCCTCATTGTCCCGGCGTTCTACACCCTCCGTAAATACAATACGATGTGTGTGTGTGTGTGTGTGTGTGTGTGTGTGTATTTTTTTCCTGAAGTGAGAGCATGTGTAATGTGTATATGTAGGCATCTATACGCGTTCACAAAGCGCGCGCGTGCGAGTATAAGTTTTGTATATACTGCGACTTTCTTTCATTATAATATAATAATTTAGGTACAAAGGTAGGTGTGTCGCCTGCCAACAGATTATAATAATTTCGTACGGTTAGGTTTTACGTTTAATTAAACCGCAGATAAATAATTAATAAATATTTACAAAAATATAATATTAAATAAAAGACAATAAATTATAATATTTGTTGATATTAGTCATATAGTACCTACCTATAATACCTAAATACGTTTTGATTACAAGATTTTTATTTTCTTTATTATCGTAACGACGATTTTATGCAAATACATCAATGCATAATATTATCGCATTATACTCGTGCATTTATTTCTGGATGCAAATTTTTAGAGTTAATATTATTACTGAGTAGGTATATTGTTTATTTTCCGCACGGCGATCCTCTAAACACTAAATTGGATAATATATTATTATAATCGTCTCTGTCGGAACCTTAAACGCAAATTAATGTCGAGTGAATTTTTTTTTAACAAAGTCGACTTTATAATATTATTAGTTAAACAATATTGTTTACGTTATTTAAATTTTAACACTTTGTATTGAATGGCATTTTGACCACATCTAGATAATCATAATTTGTCTTATACTACTTGTTCAATGATTATTATACAGCTAGTATTTTGTGAAAATCTCATGTACAACGGAACATATTCATCTAAAATATTATTATTGTAATGAATTACAAAGATTTATCGGTTTCGATAACAAAAAGAACAGGTGGTTGTTAGATAGGAGGTAGACGGCGTGGCGACGCACGACGTAGGAACCGCTGACCGATGATTGACAAGACATAATTTTATAAGATATTTGAGTACGGTATAGATTAAGTAATGACGTAATCATAAAATATTAACAGTTACAATTTTTACAAAACCGTTGCGCTGATCGATGGCATACATAATTTCGTAATATTATTATAATTATTATTAAATATTAAAAATACACTATTAAATATTATATTTTAATACTCAAAAGTTTATGATTTTTGAAAAAAAAGAAATCAACGTTGAAGTAATAACTGGTTTATTTTGGGCCATGTGATGACATATATTATTAATAAGTCCTTTGGATATTTTTTTGTAATATATGTACCTATACAACATTTTTATGTCTAGTACCTACCACGTTTTCCTTGGTAATAATTAATATTTATTTTTTTAATTCAAATCGAAAATCTGATTCTGGAAAACTGGAATTATTGTTCGGTGTCTCAAAAAAGTTTATCACAAATTAAATATTATAAGTCTTCAGAATATTATTTTGCATAAGTTTTATATTATAATAGATTTTCTTTGTATTTTAAATTTGTAATACATCAATATATTTGTTATGATAGACTCGATTATTATGATCAATTATTATTTAAAAAGTGTACATTTTAAAGGTTTCAATTCTGTTATGTGTTAATTGTGGTATACTTTTTACAGGTGCTTCTCCATACAGTATGGGCCCAGCTTCTCAAGGAACACCAACTCCTTTGTTATCCCCGGCTCCTGGCGGTGGCCCACAAGACAGCATGGGCTACAGTCTTAGTTTAAATGGTGGCGAGTACAGTTCCCCTATGTCTGGATCACAGGTTTGTGTGCGTCATATTATTATTAGTTATAAAGAATTATTATTTTGTTTTATTTTTGTTGTCTCCACCTAATAAATTATTAATAATAATTTACAGGCACAGTATTCTGATGGAAGTCTCGGATATGATCCAATGGGACACCAGGTGAGCGACTGTGAATAACAGGTTAATAAAATGATATAATATAAGTGTCGTTCTTAGAAACTATTAATTTAATCTAATGAAACCAAGCTGCTTTTTGACTAATACTAACCCCCCTTTTTTTGTTAACCAGGCTAAAATACTTTGCAATGGACACTTGTTTTATACTTTTTTATAATTATAATGTTAATGTTTCAACAAGTACCAAAAGTAAATGATTGTTACATACCTAATTTTGAATTTTGGTTTTTGTAATATTACAGGCAATGCCTAAAAATTCTGGATCACCATCTACTGGATGGAACTCCAGTCATGAATATCAGACTCACGGCATGCATGACGATAGCGAAGATTCATCAGATGATGTCGATATAAAGCGCCCAAAATTATCTTAAGCATTTTTATTCTTAATAATAACTAAATTTGTTCATTTTTTACGTATATAAAACGATTGCTTAATTTAATCTTTAGACGTATGCGAGTGAGAATAATTTAGCCTTCACACTTTATGTATGTTGACTACATTGTGTGTGTTCTAAAAAACACTCAACTCACTCTAACTAATAACTTTTATGGATCTACTGTAATGACGAAAACGAAAGACTTAGGCCTTTGGTGTGTGTGCTTGCATGTTATAACACTCAGCACACATCACATATAAGGGAACGTATATTATATTGTATAAATAACGTTAGCCTAATATTTGATTACCATACTGAAATTCAGTAGATACAGTTTTATTATAAAACTATTTTTTAGTATCTTATTATTATTATTATTATTATTATTATTATTATTATTATTATTATTATTATATTGTATAATTAAATTTGTAATATTAACTTGAGCTTTTTGAACGTTCATCGTTCATAATGTAACATTGGTATACGTATATTGTGCACATCACCAGATTATTAGTAATTTATATAGGGAAAAAAAATATGATAAAGATATAATTGTTGATTATGTTTACTCACACATTTTTTTTTTTTTTACTATCTGTGATCTCAAAGGAAATCAACACATGCATCAAAATCAAGTACAATCATGTCCAGTGTTTTTCTCCTTTTTCACCAAGTATACGATATACACACGGTAATATTATTTTTCATAATATTTTAAAGTTTACATTTTAAATATAAAAGAGTTTTGTTAATAATTGTTTAATATTTATTGTATTAAACAAATAAGTAGCATATTTTTAAGGCACCATGACTAGTAACGTTTAAATTTTTAATGCTTAAAAAAAAAAAAAAAAAACAAAAAACAAAAATACAAAAAAAAATATGAAACATATTACAGTTTAATGTATACGATATTTATAAGGTTATTGTGTTGTCTGAACAGTACATTTTTTATTATTATTTTTTTTTCTCTTTTTCCTCTTTATTTTTTATGCTATATTTGTATGCTTTTTATTATAACTATTAATAATTAAAAAGTATTTTTAAAAAAAAAAAACCTATACCTATACCTATTATAATAGTACTCTACTCCCCTACTCCTCTTCCTTTTTATGTACTATTGTAATAAAACAATTATTATTAGTAAAAAAGACACGGTGCCTATGAAATCAATAAAAAAAAAACCATCAAACCACAAAAACCCTCATAGTTTTAAATTTTTTTCCCCACACAAGACATGTAACAATATTTTAGAATGATAATAATCTTGTTCAAAGAATATCAAACAATAAATATATATATATACATGCTGTACGAAAGTGGGGTTTTTTTTTTCATTGTCATTTCTTAGTCACTCCTGTCGCATACATCATGTATACTTTTAACACATTTTACACGGTACACAATGTGCTGATTTCAGTATTGCTCGAATGTTACACATACATACGTACATATTTATTTTTTGTGTATATATATATCTTATATACTGTATTATTATTATATAAATGAATAGATATAATTTGTATATTTAATATTGTAATTTTTTTTTTAGTTTAAAAACACAATCTGTTTCCCTATAACTCTTCCTACTTACTAGGACAGTATTTATTAATTTTTTTTTTTGATTATTCATATAGTGAAGTTGAGCTTATAAACAACCGTTTAACAGTTACTATACACATGTAATATTATTATAATTAGTTCATTAATGGGGTGTTTTTCGGAAGGGGGAGGGTTGGAAAAGCCTATGGAAATCTATTATGTATCCCCTATATCCACAAAAATATATTTTGTTTTTAGCATTTAAATATATTATATATATATATATACATATATAAATATGTATGTGTGTATGTGTGTGTGTGTACATATATACTACACACACTCATTATATTATATTGTAAAACTTTTGTATACGATTTAAAAATATTCACGAAACGTTATATTATATTATATATATTATTATTAAGTAAAATTTGTTCGTGGATTGTATTAAGAATTTTTTTTTTTTTGAACATATTAGATGCCTATATTATATTATTATGTATACGATATATATACATATATATATATTATAAATATGTAAAATTATTATAATATTTAGGGGCTGTATTTAGATAATAAAATAACGCGAATGAATATTTATTGTACAGTTTCTGAAGAAAACAAAATTATAACGCTTGTAATTTAGAAACGAACATGTTTTTAGTTCTTTCATTTTCACCATGCTGTCCAATCCTACTTGTTGAATTTTTAAAAAAAATATGTCAAGCTACTTTAAAAACCCAGACCTTGATGAATTCATTTGAAATATGAACTTATTCATGAATAAAAAGAACTAACTATTAGTTCATAAAAAAAATATTGATTTTAGTTCATGAGCTCGTTTATATACAAATATTGTAAATTAATTAAAAATTAAATTTATTATTATTATGATTTTATTATATACCTATTATAGTCCCCAACCTTTATGAACTATTTAAATAATAATTTACAATAATATAAAAAAAAAAAACTAAATATTAAATTTGGAATCTTTTAAATAAAATAAAATAATTTGCATTTGTATTATTTATAAATGAAAATGTTTTTATTTTCTTTAGCAGATTCAATTAAAAAAATTATTTAAACACTACAACAGTAAATAATAAGTAATCTATTGATGTTGGATGAATTTAAAAAAGGAACAATATATTATTTAAGTTTATAATTTAATATCACTACTAAGTAATTTCCTAGATTTCAAATGTATAATGTGGAATTTGAATCAAAATTAAGTAGTTTAACATTTTAAAAATGTTTTGAAATTACCGACTTCATTTTTAGTTTAATGAAAATGATAGTATGTATTACATTAATATACATGCGTTAATACACAAGAGCCAAGAGGGAAAGACTGGCAGTTGATGCCCAAAAGAATGTAAGTACTAAGTAGTTAACTAAGTTTGAAATAAATATTAATTTTCTCGAATTAGTGTATTTACTCGGAATAAAACTAGTACTTATAGATTAAAATATTATTCACAAGATCGGGTGTTCCAAACTTTTTTATCACCAAGAATCACTTGACACTTTTAAATATATATTTTATTATTAATTCATTTTTTAAAATTTTTATTGTTTGATATTAATAAAATTAAAAAAAATATCTTAATTTTTAGGTAAATCTCTTAATATTTAGATTACAATTTTTAATTTTAATGTAAAAACAAATTTTTTTTGTGTATCACAGGTTGGCTATCGCTGCTCTAGATACAAATTCAAAATGTATAGCTTGTCATAAAACTAAAATAGAGCAATACATATGAAGGACAATATCTCAAGAATGGAGAACTAAAACAGTTAATGATTAATGTGCATTGAACTGTACTAGGTACTGCACTGACAGCATCAGTCAAGTCACTATACCAATACCAATAGTAACCACAAACTGACAAATGAGGATTTTACATAGAAAATATTAAATAATAAATATTTAAAATATATAGCAATAACACAATAATATTGGTAGTAAATGTAATATAATATAATGCAATATTTGAATCGTTTTTTATGAAAAGAGGTTTAGTCTAAAAAATAAAACTTTTCAGAAATTAAAACTACTTAATCAATGACGAGATTATTAATTTAAAAATAAAAATTGATTAATCATTGTTCTTAATGTTCTTATCATTATTAAATTATGCTGAGAACAACGATTAATAATAATTTCATATGATAATATTCGATCGGCAAAATTCGTAATAGTAATTCATTACGATACTCTTAGCACTATTCGTAAGTAAACAATTTTCGGAACACCATAATAGAATGAACAATCAAGCAATTTGACTCTTTTCGAAGTGACCGATCCGTCTATAGTCGCGGAACATATTTATTAAAAAAAAGTCTCAACAAATTTGCGACTTATCACCTTTCGTAGATAAACGATTCATTTGAGGCCTCTACACACGGAGCTACTCAAAAGAAACTAAACTGGTTCGTGATTTAAATTATTTATCGATTACCTACTAACGCAGTGGTTCTCAACCTTTATTGATTCATATCACCCGTATCCACAATAATCCAACACTGGGTTGCCCTGCCAAAGCATAGTTTAAAAATGAGTGTTAGGGAGGGAATATTATGATGTTCGGACGGTGTTAGTGGTTAGATGACGGTGAAGGCAATTATACGATATTATTCTAAACAATTAAAAGTTCTCTTAATTTTTTTTCTTTTCTCCGATGACTTCGTGTCACAGAGTACACTGGGTCCATATCGCACCAGGGTGACATGTCACCCCGGTTGAGAACCACTGCACTAACGCATTGGTGACAGATCCGCACACGAGCCTATTGAAAAGTGATCGAAATCACTAGTTTTTTCTGTTGACTGTTTCGTTATGGAAGTAGGACCTGCATCAGCATTTCCAACACCATGGATGATTGATGATTGGATATTTCTCCATCACCAGTGATGGAGAAATAATGATTGCATAAATTACTATTACCATATAACTAAATAAATAGAAGATGAAAAAGATTTCGGGTTCATCCCGTAAATCGAAAGAAATTTTTAGTAAAGTTGTATAGAATGGGATGTTTCTCTAATTCTTCTACTAACTTTATGTTAGTTGTTTGTTCGTTCATATTTTATTTTTCTTAAAAGAAGAGAATTAGAAAAAATAAGATTTTAAAAATGCACACAATTCGACGAGAGTACGTGACACAACTTGGAAGTTACTCGACAGTTAAATCACTTGGAACTGATCACTAACGCTTTAAATAGTAATTAGTAACCAGTAGCGCCTATGTTGTGTTACATTGAATCAGAATAACATTCGCTGTGACTCAAAGTGGATTGATTAATGATTTGCGTCAGTAATTAGTTTCTAATGAATAGATCCGTGTGTAGACATAAAAGATTGCATACCACTGGTGTATAAAACATGTGTAATGTATGAATCTTTGATCGTGAGAATAACGAAACAGATTCTGAACAAAGCGAGAAATGTATTGGTTTTACTGCGGTTTGTGCATATATTTATTTATTGTGTTTGTGTAGTGTACAATTTTTCTGCCAAAAATCATGATCCAATCAAAAAATAGCTAACTTGTTTTTATAGAATTTTGGTCATAGTTGATGCATTTGGAAGGTCATTTTATGATTTTCGAAAAACGGAAAAATTTACGGCAATACAAATTTAATTAATTTTCTACCAAACATCCAACTATCCAAGTCCAAATTTCAAGAGTAAAATCTTTTCTAAAATTAAATGTCTAGTTAGTCATTTTAGATTCGGAACATAGCAGAGAATTTATTAGTTTTACAATGATGTCATTTTTTTTCCTTCTTTTTTTATACTGTGTACACAATTTTTACACGAAATCTTGCTCTAATATATCAAGTGTAGCATACACTCTGTGATAAACAGACAAAACATTTTAGAATTATTGTACAGTAGTAGTAATCCAATAGATAAGCGAGATACCTTTTTTTCTTGTATTTCGGATCTAGTTACTCAGTTACTCACAAAGAATGTCGTTTTTTAATTTTCCAAATAGTTTTAAAAATAATTGGGGTAAACCAAAAAAGACGAAAAATGAAAACTGATAAATTTACGGCGTCAGGATTCTTTTATTTTAAACTTTTACGGCTTATATTATCTACAAGAAATAAAGCTCCAATAAAAAAACTACAAGAGACCATTTTTGTTTTATTTTTGACTTAGTAGGTAAGTAATTTTTTTTTTTTTTATTTTCTTTATAGGTTTTTTAATAATTTAGCAAAACCGAAAAAAAACATATAGAAGAACGGGACATTTTACGAAAATAATAATAATATTATTTTAATTTTGTTTTAATTTAGTTAAAATTATTCGTAGAAACTTTGACAAAACTTATATTTTGCTTTTTCTAGACGTGATAAAATTTTTGAACTATTTTTGTGCTGCTTATAGATATTTTAAATTTGCGACTTCTTTACGTAATTTTTATTTGGTGGTTAGTGGTTACTTTGTGCATAAAATATTGTTAGACACTCAGACTAAATAAAAATGTTTGAAAATTTGACAATTGTTAAAACGTACTACTTTTCACTTAAAAATAGTAAACATTTTTTTTTTTTTAAATCAAATTTTGACAAAAATCATAAATATTATGGACTTTTAGCGCATTAAAACGGAACTTCTCTACGAATCGTTCTTTGTTATCAATGGTTTATAATTGTTTACAGGTTTAAATTAAATAACTTTATGTATACTACTTTCCCAACTACAACAGTGGTTGTACCCGTCCCCAGTATCAGCTTTTTTTTTTTATCTCTGATCAAATTTTCTACCATAAATCTTACTCCAATTTTCAAGTGTATAAGAGCTTTTCTGAAAGGAAATTTGATCGAAGGGGTCATTTTATATTTTCCAAGAGGTTTTCATGTTTGTTAAAAACCGGGAAAATTGACGAAATTTATTATTTTTATTTTGTTTTTCTGTTGTAATTTAGTTAAAAATATTCTTATATCTAAAATTTGGGCAGAACTATATTAGCATTTTCTAAACCTAAAAAAAATGTTCAGATCATTCCAATTTTTAAGCTAATTATAAGCATTTGACTTTTTTCAATTTTTTTTTTTTTTGCGTTTTATGTGGATAAATTTATGCTTGAAAATTTACGTAAATTTTTCTTTGTAGTCAAAATAAAAAAGTTTTAATTTTGATAAAAATTACTAATTTTAAATAAAATATGTTTAACCGAACTTCAATCAGAATTGTATTCATTAGCAATGATGGATAAATCGATAGTTTCATAAATAAAAATTAAATAACAAACATTTATATATTATCCTACCTTCCCCTTACAATAGTGACTTACCCATTACTCATTAGCAGTAACAACTCTGTTTTTAAATTACAGTCATCATTATTAAATCTTTTAAACATTTGATCACTAGCTACACAGAATATTTTTCTACCATAGTAAATTATTATTGTTTACAGTCAGTACAATATTTGTCCTACATAATAGCTACTCATCTAAAATTGTTTTTAGCTTTTAGTCAACGGCATATTTCAGTTTTTTATAGGGGGGGGGAGGCAAAAAGTTTAGACCAACCCATAATACAACTGAAAAAAAACCACTCGCCAACTTATCTGTCACAATCTGAGGCGGACTAGGCCACCGGTGGGTCAGTGTCTAATTTGGCCTTGTGGACGTTACAGTGGTAGCTCTTGGGGCTTACAGAAAGTGCGACACAAATAAATCGAAATAAGTCGTGTCGACAATTGGGGAAATCTGGTACTTTAGAAGAATTGTCTTCCTCTTTTGAATTTAATTCATCAACGAGATTTACAGTAGGATCATTGTTAAAAATGTAGATTAAACTCAAAATTATATTTAATTTACAATTGACACAGCTATTTGTAGTTTGGAAAAACGCTTCAACATATCTTCAAAACGTATGGCTCATTTAGCATGTTTACATTCCTTCTAAATGTTCAGTAGTTAACAATTAATCGGAGAATCTACTATTTTGTGTGTAAACAATATAGGTACTTTATATGGCCACTCTAGATCTAAATCTCGGTGACAATTTTAGTCCCGGTCCGCCCCTAGTCACAATTATATTTTTTTATAATTACTATCATACGCATAAATAACCATTATTTTTGAGGGATGACTAAATAGTAAATATATATGTAGAGGAGTACCTGAACTATAAAAATTTGTATAATCACAGAGTAGATTAAATCATAATGGACACGGTCCAAAAATATACATTGGCTTTAACAAGAGCCCGGTAATTTAAGCTAAAGTGCAATCAGTGGTAAGTAACAAAAAGTACAATAAAAAATATTGTATACAATTATCACAAACGATGGATGGGCTACAATTGTAGGTTAGAAGTTGAGAAGGTAGAGAGGAAATTAAATGTATATCTGTAGGCAACGATTATTCATTGCCAACGAAAAACGATTCTGTTTCAAGATTTAATTATATATGTTTTGAAAGGTCGTAATATTTACGACTTGAAAATAATACGTTTCGTCCATTTTCACATTTATTATGAAAATAAAAAAACAAACGCTGTAAAACCAATACAAAACTGTAACTCGAGAGTGGCCGTAAACAACATCATAAATCATGACATGGTTGCAGGTTTGCGGCCCAAAAATAGCCAGACAGTAACTCATATCAGGCCCACTGATAACAAGGGGGTGGGAGCAAATACCTCCTCTGCCCCCCCCCCAAATTACGATACTGTTTTTATTATGATAAAAGGACGAGGAAATCAAAGGAGAAATCGATAATGCAATATATTATGTATTTGTATAAATATTTTATACCAATGGAAAGCAATTTGGCGCAAAGGTATTTTTTTATAACAATAATAACATTGTAAACATCAAACTGCTGAAATTGATCAATAACATAAAATTGGTTTTTATTTTACAATCATACATATATATTTATATGTGTGTGTGTGTGTGTGTGTGTGTTATGAAAGTATACATACATACACACATATCTACATAATATATATATATATATATATAATATGGTTTCATCGCCACCATTCATTTTAAACAATATATTGAAAATATGAAAAAAAGTGTAAGCACATACTGTATGGTACATAAATACAAATAGGTAACATTAAAAATAATAATAGAAAAAGAAGAAAAATATGAGACGTAATATAGGTAAAAATACGATTTGTTTGTTTTGAGAAACGAGTAGGTAAAATAATAATAGAGTTGAATTCAACAAATTATAAAAAAAGAGCAAACAAACAAACAAACATGCACACACATATACACGTGGAGTACATATTTAAACATCGTTCTTTGGTTGTACGTAATATTCAACAAAATTCAATTGTTCCTAATAATAAATCATTTGAATAATAAATAAAAATAAATCGCTTTTATATACAATATTCAATTTAGGTACTTAATTAAATAAAGCCTGCGGTGCCTCTATAGTTATTCGCTTCGGACGGGTACAAATAGTCATCGCTCCAATTAGACCGGGATAATGTTGGTTCAGAAGTTGTCCGTTGCAGTTTTGGTATGGTATGTACAACGGTCTCTAGGGATATAGTAATGTCTTTAAAATCGGGCCTGTCTTCTCTATTGTATTTGGTACAGTTTTCCATTAATTTACGTAGTTCAGGTGGAGCATCCGGCCTAACTTTTTTCAAATCAGGTCGTAAATAACCCCTACCAACCATGAATATTATCTGATCTTTGTTATTGATTTCTGTGTAAGGCAACTGACCAGAGAGAAGTTCATATAACACAACACCATAAGCATACACATCTGATTGGAAACTGTACGGATTATCCACCTGCATGCGTATTACTTCGGGCGCCATCCAAAGTATTGATCCAGATGGTTGATGATATTGCTGGCCACCGGACCATTTAGACTTGATAGTAGCCAATCCAAAATCGCCAATTTTCACAACATTGTCATTAAAGAATATATTGTTGCTCTTTAGATCCCTGTGTATAATACTCTTGGAATGGAGATATTTCATACCAGTTGCTGTTTGACCTGTTATTATTATCAATTGCAATACCTCAAATCTAAAGAAAAAATTTAAAAAAATCTAATTTTGAATATTTATAATTATAATAAATAGATAAATAGATTAAAAATGCAAACAAAAATGAATTATTTATGTATCACAGTGAATGGATAAAAAAAATTGTTTAAGTTTTACTCTGTATAGGTTTGTTTTAGGCACATATTCAATTTAAGATAAGATGATTGGATAGTACTTAATGAAATTTAATCATTTTATCAATTGAGGGCTCTAGTTAAAGTAAAAGAAGATTTTATATATTATTATGTATCTTTTATCCATCAGCTTTCAATCTAAATATGGAAATATTGTAAATATCTGAGCCTTACAATATTGTTATTTTCTAAAATAAAGCCCAACAAAACTAGAATTTAGAAGTTATCTTTAATTTTAATTCAAGGATATGCTCTTTGTATCTAGTTTGTAAGTTCCTACTTGTACAGATATCCCATGTTATAGTAATATAAAGAAATCACCTGTATGATGCCATCAAATATTATGTACTTTTAAGTAAAAAAATTATAATTTTAGATGATAAAATTTCAGTTAATATTAAGGAAATTAACATTAAATGAGTACACAAGTATTATAATTTAAAATACTTTTTACAAATTTATATGCATTGACTATAAGTAGGTAATATTTTTTAAGCTTAGTGGTGTACCTGTCTAATAATATATTTTCAATTTAGTTTTTAATGATAAAAATAAGAAATGTCAGAAATATTATCAAAATATTTTAATAATTGTCGGTTATTACCAACTTATATAATAAAATAAAATTAACTCACTTTTTTTCTAGTACATGTAAACAGCGATATAGACTTGAACCTTCACACCATTGTGTAACAATTGCTAAATTTGGTTTTCGTATAACTCCCATAAACAGTAAGACATTTAGGTGCCTAGTTTTCTTCAACACAGATACTTCATTTTTAAACGCTTGTAATTGTGCAGCTGTTGGTTGTTTGACTTTAAGCGCTTTAATTGCAACTGGACCATGCCAGTTGGCTTTATATACAGTACCGAATGATCCGGATCCAATGCAATCACCCATTTGTATGTCTGTTTCAGGTATTTCCCAATCCTCTAATGATTCTTGAGGACCAGTGTCTCGAAGTAATTTTTTGGTAGCACTTTCATCAGCACTCTTGGCCCGAGGTCTTGGCTTCAGTACGTTGGTAGGAGAAGCTTGGGCACTCTGGCTATGCGGTAAGAAACTTTGAGGTATACCAGATAGTGCTTGTGATCTCCGTTTCAACTCTGCCAAATCGTCCCAATTCATGTTGACCATATTACGACACACATTAGGTTCTGAACTCGACCGCTCACCATGACCGAGCACTCGACGTCTTGAAGATTGATAGTCAGATGTTAGTTGCAGTATACCAGCTGAGTTTTGATAAATACCGCTGCCAGCGTTACTGGTAGTCAATTCTCTATTCGGAATACACAATACAGGCACACCCATTGAACACTTTTCGTGAAATTTGAATCCACAGGTCCGGCAATGATAACCCTAATAAAATGGGCAAAAAATCACTTAATGAAAATGATTGAAATTAAATCAATAAAAAAATAAAAATATTTACCTGAAACAGCATTTGACGACAGTGATCACAGAATGTGAATGATGTACGTTTTGAAAAATTGTGCGTAAACGATGCTTGAATGGGTAACCAACACATTTTCACTTGGATCTCTTCATATTCGATAGTGGACGTTTGCGTGTCCCACGGTATTTGATGGTCTGTTCCGTTTCTGTAAACGACACAAGCGTTTAACGGAATTTTTCTGTGTTGCAGGCGTTTTTCCAGAGCCATGTGTAACGTTTCGCCCTGTTTCACCTCGATCGTAGTGCGCTGTTTGTTTGGTAAAAACGCCCGGATGGTGCGCACTAATGGCGTTGACGGTTTGTCGTTTCTAGTCTTACGATGTTCTCTTGGATGGTCGACCTGCTCGAGTAGTTCATGTTCTTTGGCTTCGAGCTCTTGCAACTTCAAGGTGAGCTCCCGGAACTCGGTGAAATAAATGGGCGGCGGATGGTCGAAGGTAGCGAACGTACCGTTTAGCGCTTGGATGTTGCATTTGGTCAGACGCAGCACTTCCCTTACGTTCTGCAGCTCGTTACGCAACGAGGTGATCTCCTCGAAGTCGAACGACATGGTGCAACAGCAGTCGCTGGTGATTCGAAGGCGCAGGCCGCTGGACTCGCCGGACTGGCGGACCTCGGGCTTTGTGCTCGTGTGCTACGGTTCCATCGCGGATGTTTAGGTGCCCCACAGACTGACGCGAGACACCGTTATGTTGTAGTTCATTTGGATGTATTCACGTCGACGTGTTGTAATAATACGACGGAGACATCCACTCCGGGTCTGTCACTACGACATAATGAAGCCGAACCGTTTGAAACCGTTGTACCGCAATCAACAGTGCCGACAAAACCGCATCGTGACCAAACCCAAACGACAATGATATTATGTTACTATTATGTTTCAGGTGCTCATCTGAAGAAAATACTATTATAATTATCTGAATTATCCAATAATAATATTAAATTTTGTCAAGCAAATTTACATAGGTACATAGCTGGTAAATTGACAAATATTTGTAGGTTACATGTTAAAACTACCCGGACAGTAGAACCGAAATGGCTGCGCTAAATACCGTGCGTCCGTTCTCTCTCCGGTATGGATTTTTGTCGTTTTATTATCTGTGGTCGGTGTTGTAGTAATAGTGTGGATCAAAAATTAATTGAAGAGCTCCCGAGTAGCGAAACGTTCATAAGTATTTTAACTAAACATTATCGTCGGCTCTATCAGATATAAATAATAATAATAGTAGACTGTTTTAGCACGGTCGAAATAAATCTATCTCGAGTAGGTACAACAGGTATTACTCGTAGTATACTTGCGTTCCGCATTGATAACGATAAGGTTAATAAGTCACTCGCGTCCACAGTTAGGATACAAATATTATACCTACCTACTTGTCGATATTACAAACGGGAACCTATTTAAATAAATAATCTGTACACAAATCAATACGATAAAATAATTATAAGCGTTTTATATTATACAACATTATAAAAACACGAATTAATCTTTTTCCATAAAATATCAAAATTATCTTATACTATAAAACAGTAAACAGTGGAGTCTCTGGCGAAAACCGCTCTACAAGATAATTTTTTTTTAACGTGTTTTTCACGTCCGTTCTTATTTTAGATTCTGAATAGAGCGAAGAATGTATTGGTTTTATAATGATGTTTATTTTTTTTTTTAGGTGAATACTTTTTTCTACCAGAAAGCATACTCCGATTATAAAGTATAGCACTTTTTCTGAAAGGAAATGTTTTCTGGGTGGTGCTTTAAAGAGGTCATTTTTTGAAATTCTTATTAATAATCGAGATAATGAGGAAAACCTGGGTCTTTAGGTTAAACAAGATTGAAAGATTAAAAATAAGGTTGTCATTGGCAACCGTTATTATTAAGTTTTTGTTATTTTAATCTTTTTTTAAACAATCATTGTTATCATGGAAACGCACACTGTTGTAATCGTTTGACTATAATATGACCTATATATTGTTGATAAATCAACACAATCAACTAAATTCCGCTAAGAATTGTTTTTTCTTTAGTAATGGTTTATCCTTGCTTACAGACATGATTTAAAATAGTAATACCATAAACCGTGCTTACAGATTTACATTAAATTTCCGTTTGTATCCTACCTTTCCAACTTCCCACCTACAACAGTGGCTGTATCCACGTGCGAAGTATGTAGATAGCATCATTGATTATATTCACAATCAATGGTAGCACTAACTGTAATAAGCAGATAATTTATATATTTCCACAAACTATATAATAGGTACGAAGTATCTACCTATAATGTCTAAGGTTCATTGGCAGGCATCTGCTTAAAATTTGATTGTAAATCGAATAAGTCCTATTGATTTCCTTATTATTAAATTCGAGTACCTTTGAGAAGTATTTTGATAGATTTAATAATCGAATAAATTGATAGAATCGTTATTATTTGATTTCCACTATGTAATATTGTAATATCGTGTATTATTAATTATTTCGTCATTGATAATAATTGTGATTTGAAAAAGTGTGTTACCACTCAACAGCTGATTTACAAACTTTGGCCGTTAATAAAATTATAAGCAATAATATAACATTCACAAACTGTAGTCCGTGGCAAGGCCTTATTTAGGGCTCTTGCCCCGGGTGTCTATTTTTTTTATATTTTTAATATTTTAATCCAATCAAAACTTCTATAATGTACTTGGTTCATTTTTACACATTATTTTATTTAATACACCTATCTATTTTATAAGTTGTTACCTACGTATTTTAGTTTATAATTTTATTATGACTTAACTTTTTTCATCTATCGAACACATCAAAATATTCTTATTTTTTAAACATTTTTCTAAAGTTTTTAAATGTACCGAAAAACTTTGTAAAATATACAAAGACGACTTAGACGAAAGCTTTTTTAACGACTGTGTACACTCCAAAGCCATATTAAATTATTTAAAGATAAAGTTCTAATACTAGGTATCCTTATAGGTAAACTTGCCATTTGTCCCGGTTTTAATGGCATGTCCTGGCCAGTCTTTCAGTTTTTCCCAATTAATAAAGGCTGAGAGTAAACTTATGAATTACGCTGTCGTATAAAGTGGGTAGGATCAATGAAAATACAGTACGAGACCTGATATGATCTATTAAATTAATTTTGATTTAACTTGTAACAAATCTTACGAAAAAATTATGAACTATACCAGATACAACTCTATTGAAAATGCATTCGAGTGAAAAGTATTATAATCAATAGACAATAAGACGGTTTAATGCAAGGGTTCTCAACCTTTTGAGGTGCATCCCTTTCATACTATTTTATGATGCCACGCCTCCTCGCACCATAATAAGAATGAATTATGTTTAATATACACATCATGCCTTTAATGGTGGTTATTAGATTTGCAAATGAAAATGAACGAAGTTTTTTTAGTCAAATTCTGTATCCTTCTGTATCCTATATTCTCATCTTCCCGTCTACAACAGTGGCTACATATGTCCTTTTTTTTAAATATTCAATGAATTTATTTTTTAGGAAAATATATTATTATCGTTTGAAATTATTAAAATAAATTATATTACATTTACTTTCTTAAAAATTAAATTTTAAGTTTATTATTATTAAATAGATACGAATTAATGATAGGGTTAGCACCATTTAGTTTCAATCGACTTTTTTAATGTTTGGCGATAGTTGTGATAACGCGCATCTCAGGTCACATTCCGCCAAAATTTCCACGCCTCCCTTGGCGTGCACTCCAGGTTGAGACCCGGTTGTTTAATATATTAACAGGCTACCTAATGCAAAAAAATTATAAATATTTTCAAAAAAAAGGCTTTTAATATTATTTCCCGGTTTGAGGATTTCAAAATATGGCATTCCTATAACTTATAGTTATTTATATTGATTAATAACCTACTTATGTACCTAATATTAGTTTTATCATTTTTGAAACTCATTATTTTATCAATGAATTATTTTTAATTGTATATAACGTTTGGTATGTATTTGTAATTTATCAAATCAATTTTTGAATAAACTTGTTCAAAATAACTGATAAATATAAACTCAATCTCAATACGTGTTATTTGTTTTTGGTTTCAAACTGAGATAGGAGCGGTGTTTTTAAAAAAAATTTCTGTTGAATTTAAATTTTGCATTTTATTATAATTATTAAACGAATGCAGTGTGAATATTTGTCAATACTTTTAACCAAACTACCAAAGTCTAAATGATTTTCAGTTACTAATTATTTACCGAGCATATCAATAAATAAATATTATTGCGCCCGTAATTCGGCTGTCACGAAATATATTCTTTTTTTTTTTATGGACGCCATGCGAATGTAGCCTTTTTTGACATATCTATCGCCTAGCGTCCGAGGGAAATATATTTTTTTTTAAAAGTTAGTAGTATGCGGGGTAACTTGACTTGTCTCCTTCCTATTAACTGGGTTCGGATTAATCCGATCAGATGCTTAGTTTGCACGTAACACACATTTACAATAATGGATGCGTTTACATCAGCACGCCTTCCTGAAGATTACGCTTAACACGAACTGACTCTGCTTAGTTATGAGTTTCTCCAACACGACGGAATGAAACGGACACCACATATACTAATATACTGGTTACATATCGAGCTACGATAAGAACATAAATTTAGTCCCGAAATGTCTTCGATAAACTGTTGATAAGAAAAGATAACCTGCGCTCATAGCGGACTAAGATATATTAGGGTTCGTACTATTTATTTGTCGTCACTGTGTTAAGGTCTTTTTACAATTACTATAAAGCGTGCCGTAAGACATTTCCTATCAGTTAAAATCACGGATTAAGATAATATACAGGACATCAGACAAACGTGTGATATATGAAGATCGCCTCTCTTTTGGCAAGGCCCCTAATACCATCTAGTGTACTATTTACTACAAACTATGTTAATATTTAATAATATGCAATTTATTACACTTGCCTACTCCAGTCTAAACTTTAAACTGTCATAAGTTATAAGTCATAAACGGTAAATCTCATATTAGTGTTTTGTAGTGTTTAGGATAAATGGTAAAATCAATACAAATAACATTAAAGAAAATACGTAATGTCCATTTAATTTTTCAATGCCCAATGTTTTTTTTCACATAAAAAATATCCTAAACTAATTTTGATGCACTAAATTCGGGAAAAATAATTTTAAAAATTCTATGATTGAGTTAGTATTATAAAATTATTTTTTTTTAAATAGATACTAAAATACTAAAATAAACTTAAGTAAAACTACCGCGTTATTAATAATTTCTATATTATGAAGGATTAAGAATGTTCATGGGTTAGTTATTGTATTATAATATGACATATATATTGTTGATAAAGCATCACTATCAACTGAACTCCGCTTAGAATCGTTTTTAGTAAGCAATGGTTTATCGTTGCTTACAATTACAAATTAATTTTCCCTCTATCTCCTACTTTCCCAACTTCTCACCAACAGCTGTGGCTGCACTCGTCCCCATTATCCTAGGACAACTTTTTTACTATTATTTTGCTTATATATTACTGAATTACTAGAGCACAAGGCAAGAGCCAACAGTAATCAAAACTCTTAAGTTAGTACTTAGTTTATAATGGGTAAAGGTGATCAGTGGTAAAGACCTCATACAAGAGCGTCGAGTGATTATTTTCAATTTGCTTGGCCAATTATTGCTCCAACCATATCGCTATGTACTAGCATACGTAACAAGAATTTTGTCCATTCCCAATAGTGGGAGTGGATCCAGGGGAACTGTAGATAACGTGCCTATGTCTTATTCCATTTCTCGTTTCTAGGCTCGTTCTTTGGGCCTTCCAACCGAAGAAGAGTGATTTTTACAATAATATTTTAATAATCCTTTTAAATAATTTTTATAAAATAAACGCGCAAGCTCGCGATAGTAATTGTTCTGTAATATCTATAAATATGTACCAATCCATAGGACAAAGAATTATTATTATCGTTATTATCATTATTATTTATTTTTATACAAAAATGTTGTACTCGGTCCGTATTTGTTTGTCTGTTTTTTTTTTTTTTGTACACAACACTAAATGCAGACATTTTGTATCTATATTATTATAGTATAAAAGTTGAAACACACATCTGCATTATTTTAATGCGAGTGGACGTGTAATTACAAATTTATATTTTTGCATGGTAATACGAGTATACATATACCTACCTAAAAGTTTATTTTGTTGGAGATAAATTTTTAAACTACCCGAATATAAAGTTTTTGTATAAAATATACATGTATATGTATAGATATGTTGGCAGTTTTTGTTTGTTCAGTAGCCATGCGCAGTGTACAATGTATACATTATGGATACCAAACACTAGTGAGGCGAATTTGCAGACCAAGAGTGCAACTGCAGCTTTTAAAACGGAGAAATTTCCATACTCACTTGCAATGGTTATATACTTCTCTTTTAATGTAAAATTATCCGCCGTCTCTTTTAATTTAAGTCTTCAAAGTCCGAAAACCTTTAATATTGGCTTATACATAATCAGACTCTGTATTATTTTATTTTTACTTAGCCGAACATATGTGTAAAATAATAATATATACTATTTTTTTGGAAGAGGGGTGCTGTTTATTTTTAAACCCTATTAGCATAAAATGCCTATGAACGCCTCTGAATTTTTTTGTTACATACTACTTCGAAGTTTTCTCACTTTAACCATTGTTTATTCATAATAGATTATAACAATCAAATAGAAATTGTAGTACAGCTATATATTATTGTTGGAATACACATTATTATTAAATTACATGTGTGTAACAGTTATAATTATATAAATGCAAGTTCAATCAGGAATCTACATGTGATGTTTTAATGTTAAATTAAAATAGTTATAGTAATATTTTAATTCAAATTTTCGTCAAAGCTGAAAATTAAGTATTATTATTTTGAATTGCTTATTAGGTACACCGTATTATAAATACACATCGAATATATTCTAAAAAAAACTTTTCAACATTAATATACTTAGATCGCAGGTACTGGACATGTAATAATTTAAATAAAAATAATAATATAAATATATTATGTTAAAGGTGTACCCGTGAACCACAACGGGTGTAGTGACGTTACCTTTCATAATTATTTCTAATCGTCTTACCTATCTACTGCAATATTGGTAAATTATAAATATTCACATCTTCACCTCTAAATTTGTTCTATATTATCCGTGTATTATAAACAATAATTTAAGTACATAAGAAAATTATAACTTAAAATAATATTATGTATAATATTATGATAGTGAGTACTGAAACTTAACATTATATTTTAAATAATTATTAATGTGCGTTATTATTTAGCTGCATAGTGTTGAATAAATCTCGCCGACGGATCTTTGACTTTAGTCCACATAGGCATCCAAAAGTAAGGCATGAATTTAGACGATAGCCCTTTGTAGTGGTTTTCAAATATGTCCCTAAATACCATTATAATATTATTATATTGCTAAACATGTATATTTTAGAAATTAGCGTAATGTATTTGTAATGTATATAATTTTGGTTGTACAATTTAATATTTATGGACTTATAACTCCTCTCTTGTTTTGTTGATTTCAATATTTTTGAAGTTATCAGTTTTTTGTTTTTGGAAAATTAACAGGTTTGTACAGTATTTTAGAAAATATTCCTTTTAAAAAATAAAAATAATATGACGTAACTGTATCTATTTAAAAAATTAATTTACAGGAATTAAAGAAAATTCGTAATGCCCTATATGATAATATATTTATTTAAAAATTATAGACGTCTGCCAGATTTTTCCCGCAAAATGATTTTTATTAAAATGGACTTTTTTGTATAGTATACTCATGGCACAGTTGCGATTTGGTCCAATTGGATTCAATGCAATTCAAAAATACATAATATTATAAACGCATACCTATAGTACAGAGATTCTTTCGAGTTCGGAGGGCAGTGTTGATATTTTTCTGCAGCTAATTTTAATTCTTCATCCGTATACTTCGGCTCGATCCATTCTTGAATGATGTTAAACAACGATTTCTTAATAGTCGTTACGCCGTCACTATATTATCATAATTATAATTTATGAGTTAACATAACCTATTGCTTTATTTTTGTTACAACCTACAAGGACTATAATTAATTTATAATATAAGTACAAAAATAACGTATTTTCATTAAGTAGTGAGGAGAATATTTGTTTTGTTTGAGGCTCGGCAATTTTTTAAACTTATCATTACCACCATTTATCACTACTCTTATGAATAAAATCAGTAATAATTTTTTTATAAGTTGTTGCTTCAATGTCACGGTTCTATGGTTTTACAGTCTTATGTCTAAGACCCTACCCATAACTCACAAACCACCCACCAATTTTAATTAAACCTCAAAAACCCGTTTTCACCGATTTTTTAAATTTGGTATTAAACATGGGCACGTGTATCGCAAATCACAATAATCAAAACGTATAATCGATTCGAAAAATGTACAATATATATAATATATATATAAAAATAAAATAATATATAAAAATATTATAAATATTAAAACAAAATAATATTTTGTCTAAAACTGGTACCTACATAAATGGGTGCCTTGGGGGGGGGATTAAGAGAGAGACATGTTCTCCCTTAGAAAATAACAAAGTATTCAAAAAATAATTATGCATACTTTGAATCCATCAAAATAAATTCTATTAAGTTTTTTTTACCTAATTATAATGATAACCTGCATAGACTTTTGCTTATCACTAAGCTAATGTTTACATAATTACATACTTCTTCATTACTTTTCAAGAAATACCAATCTAATATATCTATGTACTATAAATATATTTTGAAATCTAGTTTCATTTTTTCCCTCGTCTGAATAGGCGCCCTCGCCTACATACTTAATAACATGTTATATAAAGTTACACCGCAATGACACGTATACTTACCGATATGTTATTTACTATAATCGTGGAAAAAATGTCCAATTACAAAATGGTCGATAGTTAAAGCAAATATATTAGTGTAAAAATTGTCCATGTCTTTTCTTTTCTTTTGTTTTTTGATCGCGATTTTAGAATAATTTAAAACCGAAATATGTCTTATGAAACCCAATGTACCTATACTTATATTTTTGTATATACCTACCTACTGTGTACATTTATATAATAAATAACTGATAATACGTATATCAGGGTGTTCCTTAAAACTGAACTTTGGAAATCTATTAATTATACAATCTTAGTTTGTTTGAATACACATAAGAACGATGCATAAAACGTTTTAATAAACAAAAGGGTTGAAGTTGCGTATTCCTATATTTTTTTTTAAAAATAACATAGTTTTATATGTTTTTCAAGCGTAAAAAAAGTAATAATAACTATATCGAAAAAGTATAAGAATGTTATTTATTTGAAAGAACATTTTGCGTAATTCGTATTCTTGAATATATTTTTATAAAACTGAATTCATATTTTTTAAACCTATTAATCTCAAATAATGCTCTTTTTAGAGTAGGTAACGACTTGAAGTAAATATTGTTTTTGGTTTTTATCACGGGTCATTTTTCCATTATATTCCACTGTAAATTTAACTCTTAGATATATCATTGACTTTAATTATGTTAGAGACAATAATGGTAGATTTTTGGAAGTTATCATCATTTTATACGTACGCATACACTGTATATGTATAATATAATTTATTTGGGAATCTCGTATAGGTGTAATTTGATAAAATATGATTTTTAAATCGTAAAAGTTAATAATTTTGACATTCCGTGGCGGAGTGATAACATATTTTTACATATTATACCTATTTGATAAAATTTCTATAATAATGGAACTATTTATATTATCAAAGAAAATGTTTCATATGCAACGTAATATATTTTAATTTATTTTATAATTCCTACCTATTTGATATTTGATAGGTTTATTGCGTAATAATATTGTTTAATTTCATTAGAATTAAATTACTGGCAATTTTATTTTCAGTGGATAATTTTGCCTAGTGTACATTTTTTTTTCAATACATTCGTGTTCTGTTGGTCAATCAACGGACAAATTGAAATATAAGTTATAATTTCGATAGAGTATATTATTATTTGGTTCCAAATTTCAATGCAATAATCATTTTTTGGTGGATTATTTAAAACAATGCTTTTCAAGTACTTAATTCGATTTTTCGAATTCCTTTTTTTTTTTTTTTTATTGTTTTATTAGTTTTATATGGATATTTAAACCTACATTACATGAAATATCTACCTTATAGTTTAAATTCAAATAATTCAAAATATTATTATTATTAAATATTATTATTATTAGAAATTCGGTTTTCATGAAATATGCTTAAATAAATTTTAGTAATTTCTTCATCAATTCTCAATCGTTTTACATAATATGATATCTATAACGCCTTTTATTTTATCTTTATTAACGGCTGTGGTACAGCACCCGGAGTCAAATAAATGAAAACAATGGAACTTTTATTCTGTATTATCAAAGAATATTTTAGTATTTTTAGATAATTTGTTAAATTCATTATTTTGTTAAAAGGCATTTTTTTTTTTGCCATTTTTAGAAGATTTTTTCATTGTTTTTAGGACATTGAAATTCGAGCCGTAATTATTATGTATAATACTATTATTATTTTGAAGTTAAACAACAGAGGACGAAATAACGACTACGATAATGTGACCCACAAATCGAACACACCATCGTATTTCTCTCTATATATATTATATAAATCAATATAATATGTACTTGATGATACTACGTAACCTATAATCTAAGTTATATAAATTATGCAAGGTACGGGACACTATATTATGATATAATTGATCACGTTCTAATTGAATGGCATTATTATACTGCAATACGAGGGAGCTGATAAGAATTTAACCAGAATCTTTTTTTTAGTTTTAATTATTAGTAACCTAAACATATTTTCTGATATTTGTAAACATTATTGTTTGATAAATCGATTGACGTTAAAACCGCAATAGAAAAGTATAATTGTCATTCGTCCCACTTCTCTCCCGTCACACTAATTACCTACATAATATAAGAGACAATCACATTACTGTAGCAATTTTTGATTTGTGCCCGCAGGGAGCTGAAAATCATCACCTGAAAGCCTCTTTGTGCCGCCACAAAACATCATTCGGCAAAAGCCCCGTGCCGTCGAACGCGGACCTGAGTAGATATTTTTCGATTTGGTTTTGCGGTTGTCGCATCGTCTTGGGTAGTCCAAGGTAATACTGAGCGAAACGCAAATCCAGAAACGGCACCCTCAGCTCGAGCCTGAAAAACAAGATGACCAGTGAAAAATATAGCTAGAACACTATAATATAGTGTTGCGTTTAAAATTCGAATACTCATGAAATCCAGATTTTTAATATCGCTGCATAATCCGAACATAATTTTAAAGTTCAAAAATTTGAATTTTTAAAAAAATCAGCAATATTTCCGGAATTTCAGAGTTTTCATATATAGGCACTATATAGTAATTATGTATCCAAAAGCGAAAGAGGTTGTGTAGGGTTTGAACTCTCCCCTACCATTTCTTTCAACTCAATATTAACGGTTCAATATTAATTTTTTTTTCAAATATAAATTCACTTCTATAAAATAATTTATAATTAGACCCCCCCCCCATAAATAATACGAAGGATACAGGGAAAAAAACCAAAAAATTTTAATTTTTTTCTAAAATGACAATATTGGTACAAACAATTTGTACTGATGTACCTTTGTGATCGCACAAATTATTGAATAGGCGAAAAAACCAAAGTAATCGAAAGTAATGAGCTTTAAATAGTAAATAGTTTAGGCCTACAGGAAAAGAAAAGTTGAGCCAACTGATAACCAGACAAGTGTTTGGTTAATACATAGCTATAGTCATGGTTAATAATATAATATGACATTATTGTGTTGTGGTTACTAATTTAAAAGTTTAAAAAGTTCTAAGTTTTACTTTGTAAAAAAAATTGTTACGTTTTGAAATTAAAAAAATATTTTTCTCTGAAAAAATTAACTTTCCTGGTTTTTGCCGATATCCTTCATATATACTTACGCTTCTGCATATAGTATTAGACAACATAGGTGTGTTATTTATCCAATAAAATACTAGATATAAGTACAGCACTTATAAAATACAAATTTGTACCTCTTTTACAGACTATATTAATCAAGACAATAATCATTACCGATTAATATCCAGATAGTATGTATCGAAACATCCTGCAAAAATCACAGTGAATATTCGTTTAATGATCGAGTACTATTACTGCTACTACTATGTATCAGGGCAATTTTTTTAATGTTTCCTGTGTTCTAATGGAACACAGTAAAGTCCATTGGACACCTGTAGCAAAGTAAGATTTTGTTTATTATGTGTTCACTGTCCATTATAGAAAATAAATGTTAAATGGTCGAATGAGTAGATTTTGTAATGAAATATTACATTTTTATGTTTAAGAAATTAGAAAATACTCTCACTGGTAATTGTAGAAAGATCAAATGTTAAAGGGTAAGTTCGGTCTACCTTCTCGAGGAGTTTTTTTAATGGAGGTGTATAGACACGTATTGATGCATAACTATTTAATAAAAAAAAACTATGTGCTATGTATATTATTTATCCTGAGTTTTTTAATATCTGAGAAATCTTAATGGTATACAAACCCATGAGCCGCGGTCGTTCTGTCGGCTCGCAATCCGTCGTACATGTAAATGTCATTTAATAGTCTAAGGCTCTCGTTGTGTGCGTGTTCCGGTGAGGGAGCGTCTCTGAAATATATGTAACCTTGCGCCACCTCGTCGGCACCCTCGCCACTGCACAATACCACCGTGTCGGTTTTTTGGTTTATGTACTGAGCTACTAGGTACATGCCTGCACAACGATAAGTATTATCGATTTAATAGAATTAAAATATTATAAAATCATAAAATCATCGGTATAGGTACAAATATAATATTATGTACGCGATAGGCACACGTAAAAGTATAAGCTCGAATATTTCTTTTTCGCTGAAATTTGGATAATATTTGATATCAATGTAAATTTAAAAACAATTCTTAAAAATTGAAATGTTCACACTTCACAGTGAAGTTGTAACGAGGTTTGAATTTAAACTGTTTGTACTCATAAAATCATTGCAAACGGAACGGAGTAGTATATTATTATAGTAGGTAGTGTTTTTTCCGATGTTTTCGAGAAAACTTAGAAAAAAAATAGAATCTTGGGGACGAACTACTAAAAATGTCGATGAATGTTTCAAATAAAGTGCCATCGCGCAGAAATTCCACATCTTTTGAGGTACTGGATGAACAAATTGGATTGGAGTATTTGTCTACCCAATCAATATAGTTATTAAATAAAATTCGTTATACACAGAATCTAAAAGTGAAATTCCGAATAAAGTTTATACAGACGTAAGTATAAATGCGTACTATCTACCTTTATTGTACCTATGTACTTTTCGTAAAGGTACTTACCAAAACGATAGCGTATACCTATGTATGTGTATATATCTTACGTCCTTACCAATGAACGTAGGTATGTTTGTATGTACAATTTGTTAAGATATGTATGATAATACTGTAAAAAGGTAAAATTACTCGTTATACATCAAAAAAAAAAAAAAAAAAAGATTTCGTTTTATAATATTTTTTTAGGGCGTGGACTTCTTTTTTATTGTTTATTGTTGAACACGTTTTTATTTTTTTTTTTGACAATATTATGTTTCTAATCATTATTCGTACATTAAATGACATTTTTTAACATTATTTTGGTTATTATATCATATTTTAGATTAGATAAACATACAGACGTAGACAAAATTTCTTTTAAAAAATTAATTTTATCAGTTTATTTCACATGAGCCCCCTCCCCCCTTACAAACATTACATTTCAGTTGTGAGATGATCATCTCATGAAACCCCGGGCCGCCACTGCCTATTCGACAAAACTATATTCGGTCAACGGAATAATACGTAAATATTATCCAAAAAAATAACCATTTCCGAACTATTATATAAAAAAAAAATTTTTTTCTGGATTTTCGAAAAACGCCCAGTGCTTAATTTATTACTATCATTATATACAATCTATACGTAAGTTAAATATAGGTAAGTAAATATAATTTGAACAAATATTGAAAGATCGTTATAATTACAAGCTTTTATTTAACTTTACTTGACGGATGTTCGTCCGTTTGTTTGTTTTGAATCACAGAAATGCAATTTTGTTTATAAAAAATTGATTTGCGTATACTTATTTAAAAAATTATGTGTATTTACGTTGTTTGCTTTTATTTATTATTGTCTGTACAATTTTTCCATTGACTTTTTAAGCTTTTACTAGCGTAATTATTGCTATAATGGTACATCGTAGGATTGATATTTTTATTATAATAATGTTTTTAGCTTTAACTGCTTACCATATTATAAAAGCATTTTAATTATAGTAAAATCTGGTTATAAAATGATTAGGTTTTTACTGTGAATTTTAATTTTTTTTTTCATTTAACAATTGACTTAATATAAAACTAATAAAAAAAACACGCCAAACCGCGTTCACTCGGCTAATCACCGAGACACGCGAAGAGTTTTACAATATGTTAAAGGTTAAACGAACTGTTAAAAATATATGTTACTACAGTCATAATAGACACTACGTTATTATATCTTATATTAGGACATTTTTAAAGAAGTTTATGCTGTGTCCAAATGGATTTACAATATAAAGTCTATTGGACATCAAGTAGAGTAAGATTTTGTGCAGATTACTATGCAACCCATTGAAAATAAATGGCAAATTATTGGAAATTTTGTAACAAAATATCATATTTTATGTAGGAAAAACTCTCACCGGTAGGGGAAAGCGTAATTGCGTAAAGTCAAAAGAGTTAGGACACGTAGATACAGTGGATATTCACTAAACATTTTTCTGTCTTATGCCCAGGTACATAAATTATTAAGTTAATAAAAAATAATAATTACTAGTATAATAATAATATTAACAAATTGTTTACCACACGACGCTCTTATCGTTGTGATGTCCGCCGTTTCTAAGGTGTAAATAACTTTATCTAATACATTCAACACGTCTTCGGCAGTAAAAATCACTTCGTGGTGTTCGGAGCCAATGTGTTTGGCCACCTGTCTTGCTGCTAGTATGTCAGGACTATCTTCCATTCCAATTGAAAACGTCTGCGAAATAATAATTTCAAATAAATCGCAAATGGTTTTTTTTTTTGGTTTTTAATTTTACTTGGATCGGATACGGTAAATCCTTTTCTTTGGAAAGTTTGACCAGTATGGCAGCTATGAGACTGGAATCCAAACCACCGGAAAGCAAACAGCCGATACGTCGATTCGACATCATTCTTTTTTCGACTGATTGTGTCAATAAATCGCGAATATTGGCACGAACCACTTCCTCGGTCAGACCTAAAATTGTACGTAAAAATATCATCGTTGGACACGAACAATATATTATAGCTGTGACAAGCTCGTCGAACATATACGTATTGATATTACGATTTACTTACCCTCTTTGAGAGGTACAGGTGGCAAAATGGGTTCCTCGGCTCTAAAGAATCGATTTAACGAGATCATTTCAAGTTTTCCGTCTGGTAGAATATTGTACTCTGCCACGTGACCCGGTGGAAAAGGTTTCATTTCCCATTCAGTAAGTCCAAGTTCGCCCACTAATTTTATTAGACCTATATTATGTGCACCGAAAATGAATATATTTTTTAATACTGCAGTGAAAAAAAAAAATGGTTTTTGGAAAAAGTATATTTTGTTTAGGTATAATGCAGACGATATTAACGAGTAAAGGATACATTTTTTTCATTAAAAGTCACGATTAGTGTGATATGTGTATTTGTGTAAACGATTTTTTAGTTTTACGCTTACATTTAAATAAAATATTTTGTGTCTAGTTTATATATATATATATTTTGTGTATAACATTCCAAAATAGACCCCCAATACCTTTTGCTTCAGAAGATATGCCGACTATTCCGTTACTCGATGACAAGTAAAATAATGGCCTTACACCAAATGGGTCTCTTGCGACAAATATTTTTTGTTTCTGAGAATCGATCACACAGAACGCGTATTCTGCATCTAATTGTTTTAGAGCTTCTTCGATACCGAAGGTTCCGTAAAGTTGCAGTACGCTTTCAACGTCACATTGAGTTTCGTAGTTGAAACCGTGTTTTTCTCCAAGCTATATCAAATCACACATGAAAATATTGCTGAAAGATATTATCGTGAGACAAATCATATTTTTATAACCACATATTTTTATAATCGAACGGTTTTCCAAATTTTTTCAATTTTGTAAATTTTGAAATTAATGACTTTTCCACTAATTTACTGGCCGATTCTCATTTAAGAAGAAAAGAGAATGTATGACGGTAGTTTTTAAGGACGAATATGACGTTTAAGAACAATGAGCTGGAGTGAAATTTGTCCACTACCGTTCGCCTAATATTTAAATTTATGTATTTTTATTGTCTAAGGTTTGTAGGAAAAATTTGTCCGGTTCTTTATTTAATTAATTTAACTGAAGAGTATTGAGTTATTTTCTTAAAATAAACCAGTAAATAAAAATGCCACAAAAAAAAAAAAATACCAAATAAAAATATTTTTTCTACAAAACATTTAAAAAAAAAATATACGAAGTCAAATCATTTTTTAAAACAGAAATTGAACTATTGGAAATATACTTATTTTACATAAGCTATTATCCATCTGAATTTATTAAAAACAAATCGTTTTCAACCACTCTAAGTATTAAAAATAAGTAATTCTCCTCCGTATATTCTTACAGTGAATTTTAATAAGTCAGCTAAACACGCGATTGAGCTAAATCAAAAATGAAAGAAACTGAATATCTGTTGTGAAATTCATATTATTTTAATTAAAGAAAATTATTCGTGTTCAATATTATGTACCAATCACCTACTCAGTGGCGTATTTAAGAAAGGGAGTTAAGGGTTTCAATTTTTGACTAAAACATTTAATTATTTATTGATTTATTTCAGTATTTACTTGTTTCCAGTTGAAAATTTCTCCGTTGCATATCATAGTGGAAAACGGAAATTTATGTAATTTCATCGGTTGCATCCCGTAAAGGCTATCAATAATGGCGAGACGATGGAATCCAAGGCACGCATTCTAGAAAAAAAAAAAAAAAAACAATAATAATATTTCACAATTTAAATACTGTATGCTAACTATGTTTTTTTTTTTAATAATTTTAAGCGTATAATATTTACTTTCACTTTTAAATCGAACTCCAATCTCCAAGCGTCGGGTCCCCTGTGTTTGATCTTCGCAAAAGTCTTGTCATATTTGGAAATCGAATGTACTTCGATACCGAAAAGTGCCCAAATACCACACATGACCGATCTTTTTTTAAAAAAAAAAAATAATAATATTAACACTATACGCTTGTTTTGTCACGATGAAAATGTGTTCCGTGCCAACGGAAACTGAACGAGCAACTGTGCGGCGATCCTACATTTTAATTTACTCACGCATTCTTAGCAGTTGAGAAAAAAAAAATCGAGACATTGACATTGACTACTAATACTACTATAATTACGACTTCTACTACTACTGATATGTACTGTTTTATTATACGAATTCGTTTTTTTTTTTTATCTGCTATTTTATTAGTGAATAGGCCTCATCTTGGGCATTTAATAAATTATTGTCGCTCACCGATGTACACGTAATAATTAAATAATTATTAAATAGGTATAGCATTTCGATTGCACGCGTTCGACACCATTGTAATAGGCTAGTTTCGATTTTTAATATTATACGATTATTAAAATTCATCATAATTATATTCGTTGATTAATTAATAAAATCGATTGTGTCAACAAATAATAAACCGAACAGTATTCACTTTACTGTTTATATTGGCGGAGAACCAAAGAAACGTACCTAAACAATGTTCGCAAGCCCGTTGTAATATATTTTCCACTCTAAAGCGAACATTTTGATGCCGGTCTTTTTTGACGATTATTAATTTCATTTTGCCGTTTCAATTTGATTAAAATTGTATGCCGCCCTAAAGCAACGCATGGCTTGCTTGTACCCTAGCGACGGGCCTGAATGTTCATTATATGAAAATACCATAATTTATTTTGTAACAATTCCATATATTCATATCACAATAAATAATCTTTCTAGTCATTTAGGTGATGTTCAAATCATACAAAGTAAAAACAATTATGGTACCTACGAACCTACATCAATGTAATATGTGACAACGTAATGCAGAAGGTCTGAATTCGGAGTGTACTGTAAATTTTAATACAGTCGAATTCGCTTATAACGATCTTCTAGGGACCTAGGGAATCTGATCGTTATAACCGAACTTCGTTATATCCGGATCATAAAAAGTAACATGATTTTTTTGAAAAATTGATTTATTAAACATATTTTTGTCAAAACGGCAACTAAACGATTAAGAAACGTAGGTATTCTGTATGCAATACGGTCGTACAAGACACATTATCTGTTACAGATAAGATTAAGAATTAACGATTTGGACGAAATCAAATTTACTACACAATTAGAATGTACATGAATATTATTAATCGCTATGGGTGATTATAAAAAACAATTTTCGTTTTAAAACAACATCGCTATATCCGGATTATCGTTATAACCGATATCGTTATATACGAATAAAAGTATTATACATAACATATAAAACCAACCAAATACATTGATTGGAATCGTTTTACTCGGAATATCGTTATATACGGCATCGTTATACGCGAATTTGACTGTATTTAATTGGTATCTTTAAGGAAGTAACGTTTTCTATGTCAAAAACTACTGTTTCTAGTTCCAACGATACGAGGCGTAATTTGGTCATATTTGTGGGGGATAATGAAATGTTTCTACATTTTGTTTATAATGTTTGTACCCCCCTCCCTCTGCGGAAGTGGAGGGGTTAAATAATTTGGTTTTTATCATATAAGCACCTTTCAGAATTGAAAAAATACGTTCTGGTAATGACGTTGACACAGATAAAGTGCATAGCACTTTTAGGAGAAAATAAATATTAGGATAGATGTGTTTTTTATAAATATCTAGTGCCTCGAGTCTGGTATTTGGTATTTTTAACACGTTTCAATCTTTAAAAAACGTTTAAAACGCCGTTTTTAACTTTTTTCTTTTCGTTTTTTTAAACGAGTTTTTTTGAACCCTGATTATCAAATAGATGTTCACTATCTTTGATTTAACGTTTTAAATTGTCAAACCAAAAATTGAAAAAATGTTAGCTTTTAATACCTATGTGTTTCTTTATCAAATAATATATTATTATAGGTGATAAATACGAATTATAATAATGTTACAATAATAACCACAAATTTTTTAATACCTTTGATTCATGACTGTACAAATAATTATAATTTTCTTGTTTAGTTAATTAATTAATACAAATAATAATAGAATTCATTATATTGTATCATTTACATTATATGCATTTATATTTAACGAAATATATTCATTATGTAGTAATTTGAATAACAAACGGATAGTGGGAATATTTAACAACTGAAAATCAGCCGAATAACGAAGTGGCGAATTCGCGACAACATAATAACAATAATAGGTTCATTATAGCAACATTTAAGGTATAAATTATATTCGAGTAATTATATACGATACGACATCGTAATATCATTATTTTAAAAAAAACATTTTTTTAAAAAAAAGTGAACAAATGTGTTTTAATTTTACCTTAGTTATTGAAATGTAGATATGTTTACCCGTAATAGGCGGAAGACAAAAATAATTTGTCTTTATAGTTGGTTGTCTTGTTTAATAATATCTGTTGATCGTTTCAAGACAATGATATTATATACACCGTAAGGTGTTCACTATTGCTTGGACGAAACTCGAATGAACTCAAACAACGTTACTATAACTATAATATGGATACACAGCTAGCTAAAATAACTTCACTCGATAATTTTAGGGTTGGTCATATTATTTTCTAACGTATATATAGACCCCTCCTGTCAAAATAGGTTATTATGGAAATAATATAACCACGTATATACATTGTGTCTATAATATACCTATGTAGTGCAAAAAATATTATAAAAAAACAACTTACGAAAACGATGAAAATCAATCGACTATAAATATTTTAACAAACCATTAGTTTACAATAGATCTATGTATGGATATTATAATATTTGCCGATGACAGCATATTATATTTTAAATTTTTAACGTGAAAAAAAATGTAAACATAACTTTATTTGGTATTACCTATGTAGAGATATGTCGATATCAGTTTATTTTTTAATTTATTATTATATTAGTACCATTGGCGTGCCGAGGATTGATTTTCGAATCGTAAACAAATTTCTGGACTAGTTTTTCGGATAACAAATTAATGTCTGTAATTTCAATTTAAATTATTCAACTATACGTATTACGAATTTGTAAAACAAGTTCAAAATTCCTTTCGTCCCCCCCCCCATAGGTTGCGTTACTGATTAGGGCCGGTGGCCGATGAATTTTTTTTTTACTTCAGTAAGAAATAATCACTATTCATAATTTACAGACATCTACAATTTTTACCAAATATAATCATGTTATATTAAGCATTTTCAACATTTTTTAGTTACGTTATAATTTCCAAAATGTTTCGAATTCTTTTTAAGTAATTATAAGTAACTATGTATTTAAATTAGTAGAGTTTTTTCGATTTATGGCCTCATATGATGATTTGATATAAGGAACACTATTGCACTTTTAATACTGTAGTATTCGGTACTGTAACACTAGTAGTCTAGTGTTCAGTAATAATAATGATTAGGGTCCGAATTTATATGCAAATGCATATTCTTCTACAATTCACCTAAAATAATTTTGATTATAAACGTCGACGTTTTGCAATGTGTAGATTCTGTGATTGATTTTTTTTTTACATATTTTTGTATATTTGAATGAAAATGCATATTAATTACATATTTCTGGATAGTTGCACAAATTTTGCATGTTCTACAATAATAATAATAATTTAACATTATAATTCTATTTTTATTCATCAATTACGTATGTACAAATACCCGCTGTTGATTGTAAATAACCCATTATAATGTACAACAATAATTTAACGACGAATGACGAAAAAAATTGGATTTTTTAGTGGTAAATTTACATTAGATAACAGTATATGTACACATACTGTACAATACGTAAAATGCAGAACTTAGTTTTAGTTTGGTCTGTCCATTTATTGTGTGTAGTGTACAGTGTACTGTATATTTTGTTTAAAAATCTAACTTCCCTTGTATTTTTATATAATGTCTAAAGTAAATAATGCTTCTGGGTATGTAAATGAATATCTAAACATAATTAAAATAAACGGACATATTTTATTTTGCAATTTTTGTATAAATGTGTCATGTAACAGAAAATTTTAAGTAGCACAACATTTAGAAACTGTAAAACATATAACGAATCGCGTATTGAAAGAAAAAAAGAACACCCAACCTTTTATAGAAAATACATTTAATCAGGTCAAAACTAATAATCAAAATACAAATGAGTTTAACAAAGATTTATGTAATTTAATGGTGGCTAACGATATTTCACTAGTTAAATTAAACAATTCAAGGTTTAAATTGTTTTTTGAAAAATATTTAAAACTCAAATTACCAGATAAATCTACCCTCCGAAAGATCTACTCACCATTATGCCATGATAAAATTATATGCAAGATTAGGAATGAGATAGGGAACAGTCCAATTTGGGTTTCGATCAATGAGACAATTGATGTACAAGAACGGTAATATATCACTAGTGTCATTGGGAAATTATCATCTGAAGAATGTACAAAACCAATCGTTTTAACAGTTGAGCAATTACAAAAGGCAAATTTTCAAACAATTTCCAAATTATTTAATGATTCCATGAACAATTAATGGCCTGAAAAAATAGTACATGAAAAAGTATTGTTGTATATAATAGATGCTGCTCCGTACATGGATAAATCTGGTGAAGCTCTTAAAGTATTTCACCCTAAAATAATTCATGTAACGTGAATGGCTCATGGACTACACAGAAAAGCTGAAATCATTAGAGATAAATATCAAAATGTTAATCTATTAATTTCATATACTAAAAAGATATTTGTAAAAGCACCTTCACGTGTAAATACTTTCAAAGAAATCTATCCCAATTTGATTTTGCTTCCACAATCAACCTTAACTCGTGAGATTCATGGCTTGAAGCAACAATTTACAATGGGAGATATTTCAATGCGGTAAAATGTGTTATTAATGTTTTTAACCAAAATGAAGCGAAGTAGAAACGCACGTAGTTTATTTCATAATAAAGAATTGAAAAATGAGCTCGCC